ACAGTGTGGCTGCACTAAAAACTTGAATACACCACACTGTATGTGGATGAAATTCTCAGCGGCGACCGATCAAACGAAAGCTAGCTTAAGCTAATGAGCGGTTATTTCTCTGGTAGCGTTTATTATGCTGTACAAGGTGTTTCAACTTTTGAGTCTGTGGATGAAATCCTAGAAACGGCTACTGAGTGGTACTTCCTTATGGACGTTCCGCAAAAAGGCTTAAGCCTAAAAGCCAAAAAGGCTTAAGTGCAGCTGTTTATTGCGCTTTTTAGATCTTTTTAAGGTGACAGGTGTTTGAATGCAAAACGCCCAGGTCTCTTAATTTGTCTACTTTCTGCATTTCAGTGGCATTTAACTATAAATACGAGAGACAGTTATTTTGAAACCTTGAAGTGAGCCAACTGAAATAAAAACTAAAAATACATAGCTACAGAAACAGACGTCTCCTTGTGATGCCATCTATTTTCCCCATTGAGGAGTGCATGATATGATTAAACAGCTTGAAATGACAGCTCAAGAAAGCAAACAAAGGATGTTTTGAACTATTTTATGTTGGTCGCTTTTGTTCCCAACATTAAGCAATAAGTGAAGCAATGCCGCAGAACGTAGCGCGAAACCTGACGCTTAACTCAAGAAGCTACCCTAACTAACACACAATTTGTTTTGCAACATTGTCGCATAACGAGTTGAATAGCGATGTTGCGCTTTTCTATTACCACCCACGTTCGAACCTGTCTTGCAATAAGGTAGCCTGCGTTGAAAGCGGTAGGGGAAGGGGAAGGGGAAGGGAGAATTTGGGCACGCGCGAAGGAGAAAGGGCCTCGCGCACGAGCAAATTGCCCCTTCCCCTTCCCCTTTCAACGCTGGCCACACAGGCTAGCAATAAGATTGCAAGGTTTTTTTTCATGGGTGATAGAAGGCGGAATATGTTTGCTATTCAACTCTTTTTGCAGCAAAGTCGCAAAAAAAGTCGCACGCTTGTTCTGCAGTATAATAAAAATAAGGCTCACTGATTGCGCACATTCAGCTGCCTTTAGAAAATTCACGTCTTTGCCAGTAATTTTTCGCTCTCCCTACTAAATGTTTAGAGCGTCACCTTATGATTGAAATCCTGAAGTTAAAGCTTTCTGCAGCTGTACTTCTCATCATATTTTTCGGTTTACTCCGCTTTTTCGTTATTGTCATTTCGGCCTTTTTTGATGAACACAAACTTAGCGGAACATTCTAAGACCATTTCGCCGAAGAAACCGGAACAGTCTTTTGGTCCTCCGCACTCTCGATTTTTCTCATCCCAGATAAAATAACCAAAATATTTGTACGATGTATACTTATTTACCGCATCGAAACTTGGCGGTATTTTAAATGAGAAACTCAAATCGTACCGCTTATTCTGTGATCGTTTTATTCCGAGCGGTTTTCCTTCAGAGTGGTAAACTCTCGTAGTTTTACGTACATTTCCACTGATCATGGTCTGTTTCGTTTTCAGCACTTGTACTTGCTGATACCAAAACAGAGTAATTTTTCAACGTCAAAAAAATTGTCACTGGAACACAGCAGGCTCTGGAGAAGGAAGTCTTTTTGGGCGTTGATTGCTTTTTAGGAGGAAAAGACGCTGTATTAATAAAGAATGACAAAAGCCATATTAATGAGTATGTCTGAAATGTATGGTAATGGGGGCTAAATTGTCTCAACTACTTTCAAATTTTGACGCAACTCCATCATTTTTCAATTAAAAACTGAAGAGCCAGTTATCAAAGTCACCAATTTCTATACAATCTCGTTTACTGCAACTCTAGTAGGCAGACAGTTGAATGACATTAAAGAGATACATATTTCCTCTAAATTCTATTCCGAGCTACTTCTATGGTGGTCTGCGTTTCGTAGTGTTTTTGATAGTAGAAGGGAATATCAATATATTTTGCGGAATAACAAAGAGATACGTGTTGATAATAAGCCTGTTTTCTATAAAAAAACTTTTTGAACAAGATGTCATTTTCGTAAATGATCTTTTGTTTGAATTAGATACCACAAATTCTTTTACTATTGTTTCGAATGAAATTAGCAAGATTAACGACCTAATTTGGGCAGGGCTTCGTCACTTTGTTCCAAAACATTTAAAGAATAGCAATTGTCTTCGCTCAGAAATAAGCTTAATATTGACAATCGATAACAAAGAATTTGATTTATTAGAAAAGAGACTTAAAGATTACTACATGCTAATTAAAAGAATAATTGCCCAATGTCCAAAAACTCCAAACACTTGTGTCAAGATTTCAGTCTAAACCAAGACCAGCTGAAAAAAGTATTCCTTCTTCCACATGAGGTAGCGTTAGAACCTCATCTAAAAGCCTTTCAATACAAAGTCCTTAAGGTCTCGGTAAATGAAAATTTGAGTACATTGTCCGATTTTGTTTTTTTTTTGATTTTTGGCATGAGTGGGTCCTAAATTTTATTTTGGCAGAAAAAGAAAATCAGAAAGTGCTTTTTAACCCTTCTAAAATGAGCCTTTTCTGAGCTAACCAGCCAAGCGTGGACCTCGCGCTAAATCTTTAGAGCTGATTTTCTCTCACTCTATTTTAGACGCAAAAATCAAAATTCTCCGACCTCCAGTCGGGACAGGTTTTAAGCTATCGCTTTGAAACTTTCAGATATGATGGATAATGATATAGACTCAAAAAGGGTGTGAGGAATTTTCCGATTTCCCTTTGTAACTCATTTTATGTTAGTTTCTTTGCGTAAATCGCGCTCGAGATTCGACTTTTTAGTTTGAAATGCAATAATTCCGCTAATACGAGACATATGCAAATTTCCTCACACCCTTTTTCAGGTCTTTTATCTGTCAATCAGACGGCATGAAAAGGAAGTGAATATTTAACAACGCGAAAGGGCTGGAGCCTCAGCAGTAAACTCGATACCTCTGAGTTCGAGATCAAAAAACTTAAGCGCCTTTTGAAATTCGATGAAATAAAATCTTTTATAAGGTAATTTAGTCTTTTCGCTTTAATTTGATATATAAGTTGCCTTTGTAGCGAAAATACTCGCGCGACTAGAATTTTTTTCTGTGGGCACCTCGTTTTCCTTTACCGAGACCTTAATTCAGTTTTATTTACCAATAAAAAGTTATGCAAAATAGGTTATTTTCAAGACGATAAATGTTCACTATGCAAAACGGATTCGGAATTCCTTTACCACATCTTTTTCGAATGCAGGGACACCAAGCAGTTTTGGAAGGAATTTCAATATTACTCTTACACATTGACCAGAGAATTCATCTGTCTGACCTTACAAGACGTTACTACAGGAATATTATATACAAATTGCCCTTTACTGAATTATTGGATACTGATCGCTAAGCTATACTTATGGGGTTGTAGAAGAAATCAGACTCTTCCAGTCATAACTGCCTTTTCATCCAAGGTTAAAATTAAGTAAGAAACAGAAAAGCACAAATGTGTTAAAACTAATAAAATGGACAAATTTAATAAGAAGTGGGCTCTGCCTTTGGACTTTGTACCCTAGTGTCGTCTGTGCTTAGAACGTATTTTTCCTTTTTTTTTTGTATAGTTACTTCACAGGTAGCCCAAGCTCGAAATGTGAGCATCGGCGAACATCGGCATTGTTGCGTAACATTCAAAATATAAGGATTTGTATGGGAAAAAAACCTATCGTTTCTGTAACCTACGAAAATGAAAGGATTTCAATAAAAAAACAGCTTACTTTACTTAAAATGTGTGTTACGTCTCTCCTGTGTGGTCCACGTGCCGATTTATGGCCGTTTTATTGGTTTTTATGTAAACGATTATCTCTCTGTATAAAGGTTTAAACCTTTATATATAATGGTAATTGAACTGAGTGGAGTGCAATTTGGTCTGAAATCATACGCGTGATTTCAAAATCGAACGAGCACGCAGCGCGAGTTTGATTTGAGACCAAAATTGCACGACACGAAGTTCAATTACCACTTTATTACATCCATTTTGAAATCGCAGAATTTAGTCAGTACTAATATTTTTATTGGTCGAGTAGCCGGTTTGTTAAAAAGCCGAAACAAAAAGGCTTTTATATCTCATTTTGTATTCGAAACAGAAATGATGCGATATAGAACAAAAATGGTGCGATTTAAAACAGAAATGATGCGATTTAGAACATGAATGACGTGATTTGGAACAGATGCGATTTAGAGCAAAAAATGGTGCGATTTAGGAATAAATCACACTGCTGAGAGCCAATCAGATTGCACGGATAGCCAGTGATTTCAAAGTGGATGTAATAAAGAGAGAAAATCGTTTAGTGGTTAATTTACCGTTTAAGTTGATAGTCTGGTTCATAGTGTAAGGGAATGTAATGTATTTGTAATTCATTGTAATGTAATATCATGCAATGTCATGTAACGTTAGTATGTAACGCTGTGCATAGACTACGAGTAGTCCCCCATTTAGTAGGGCGAGCAAAACGCGAACGCGCGTGAAAATCACCCCACGCGAGAAAAGGCGACACGCGGCGTGCCGCCTTTTCTCGCGTGGGGTGATTTTCACGCGCGCTCGCGTTTCGCTCGCCCTACTATCCCTGAGGAAAAATGGGGGACTACTCGTAGTCTACGCTGTGCAGTATTTAATAAAAGTTTGAAAAGCTAAAAAAAAAAAGGCAGACAGTTGAACTTATGGCCGCTAAAACCCCGTTTAGACTCTTCGCTTTTATACAAGACTTACACTGAACGTTTTTAGAAAGAGTACCCCAAAGCGACTCCAGCTGCGGGCACTTTTTCTGCTTCCCGAGGGTCTTTGAAATGTCACATCTGATCATAGCATTTCATCGCCAGAATTTCAAGGTAGAACTACCTTCTTGCAGAGTATGAACAAAACTGATAGATTGATCTTTTTTCGAATTGTTCGTTCCCTTTTTTCCATTCTGAAAATGGACAGTTGAAATGTCCCAACACTAAGTCATTGGTGCTACTGGTAACAGCGGACGAAGACTGCAGACTCATATTTTCAATATGGTGGATCAACAGAGCTGATCAACAGTCGGATCAACATGAAACTGAAATTTAGCAAATCTTGAGCGAAACTATGTCGTTATTTGGTCGTTTAAGACTGGCAAAAACTTCATCTTCCCAACAACGGAAATCTCAGTCTTCCGGAGAAGGTATCAAGAATGCTTCGGTAAGAAACCCTTCTTTATTTCCAAACAGAGCTTAAAAGTTTATTTGTGATCTCACTTCCGTATCACCTAACGTTGATCGCGAAGCTAGTTTTTGTTATAATTATTCCTTAAACCTGACCATGCTAAATTAAAGCTTTTATTCTCTTATTTTTTATATAAAGAGATGCTATAGCCAGCTGTTGTTTTGTTTAAATTAATTAAAGGCTCCTTTAACCATGTCGTGGTTTTATGTTATCCTTTGTTTATTTTCGGTATGTTGTTGCTTGTTGCTGACATGTGCTTAGACCTTGGAAGGTCTCGTTACATGAATCATTTTCGTTTTCTATAGCAGGGTGAAAAGAGAGGAAGCAGTGAGACTGAGGCATCCTTATTTAGTGGTATGACATTAACAGCTAGCCCTGCAACTGAAATGGCTGGTGAACTGAGTTTCACTGGTGACAGTGATCGTGACCTTATGTCTACAAAACAGGGTACCAAGTCAACTGGAGTAAATACCAACAGGACAGTAAATCAAAATGTCTCAACAGTCCTTGGTAAATAAATCTTAACGATAATTCAGTCGAACCTCTCCACAATGGCCAACTTGTGGACAAAAGAAAGTGGCTGTTTTGGAGAAGTGCCCATTATGGGGAGGCAGGGGTGTAAAATGACAATTTTTTTAGGGAGTACAGCATGTTTATTGTGCTAAATTCATGCTTACAGCTGTATCCCATAACAGTAATCCAATCATATATAAAAGAGAGAGATAAAATTCGCCAAAAATTTGAATGATGTTTGGAATCAAAATGTTTACGTGACCAAACAAGCAAAGTTCGCAACACTGGCTATAAGTATTATAGAAAATTTATGCTTACTGGAGCAGTATAAATTAATGGAACACAATCAAAATAATATTGCCACGTTTAATCATCAACGAACCATATGGATCAAATTTCATGACCATTCTTAAATTTTTTATCAGTCCCTGAAAAAACTGGCTGTTTTTGAGAGTTTTTTTTGGCAGTTGGGGACGCACTTCAGTGGCCCTTGCCGTTGTCGAGAGGTGGCCATTAAAGAGGGTTTTAAACAAGAGTCAATTTATGGACTGTCTGCCGAAACAAAAAAAAGTCCTTTGTGGAGTGGTGGCCATTGTGGCGAGGTGGCTGTTAGTGAAGGCTTGACTGTATTATTACTATTCAGGGAATCTAGGGTTTGGGAGTATAGTGTACCATAAGAAACGGTTTCAGTTATTGTTTTTCTCACAGAAGTCACTGCAATGGTCATTGCAATGTTTTGACTGCCTGCTGCAGTTCTTTATCAGGTGATAGTGTTGATTTACTGAGTGGGACTATTAGTACCAATATGGTTGTTAGTGATTGGTGTATCAGGAAACACATTCGTGTTTAGTACTTTTGATCCGAGGCGTTGTTGGCATTATTAGAGGAGGGAACTGTTCCCCTAGCAGTTTGCTGTGGTTCCAATTGGTTATTGGGTTGCGTGATCTACTATGATGGTGAACTGTGGCTTTGAACTTTATTTAACAGTGTCTTCAAGTTAAAATTACTGATAATTTTTGAGGTATATACTATAGTACCCATCTTCCAGTTTCTGGTATAAAGTAAAGATGTTGGGAAATTTTGGTATTGGTGTGCCATTATCCCAACCCTCTTTGGCATCCCTGATCGTTAATGAAGGCTATACTGACTGAAATTCCATCCAGATGTCACTGTTTTAGAAGGGTTTTCTGAATAAGGATGAGGGACTAGACCCCAAAATCCCAGCCATTTACAATCCTCTTCTGGGAATAGCTAACAGCCCTTCTACAAGATACAGGGTTGTCACTAAGATTTCAAGTTTCCACGTAAATACAACAAGTAGGTGGGGAATCAAACGACTAGGGATGTCTTTTGGTTCTATTTTTCTTCTATTTTCCAATAAAAGTAGCCGGGGGCCACTCTCTTAGTAGCCGGGGAAAATCCCCGGCCCCCAGCTCTTAATGACAACCCTGAAGATAACCTTATTTTACTTTGCTAATGAAGTTCAAGCAGTTTGAATGAAATATTTGATTTGTTTGAAATTGTTACTCTGAGCTTTGGAATTTGTTTGCTAAATGTCTTTGCCAGAGTAGGTGAAAACCCTTTTTTGGTAACTTCTTCTCTTTACTTACTGTATGTTGTGTTTTAAACTAAAACAAATATCAGATATGCCAGGGTCTGAAGTTTTGCCAGAACCAATACAACCTATACCAGTCAATACCTTACAGCAAGCTGGTCACTCAGCAGCAGCAAAGAAGAAAAAGACTCGACAAACCATAAGGCCTGGTTATGCAAGGCAATCTGACTCTAAGACTAGGTAACTAACGACACAAGCTACTTGTTAAAACTTACTTCTTACTTGGACTTCCTTTGCTTTCAGTGTCATTTTCTATCGCTCATCATCATCATGACATCATCATCTTCATCGTTATCATTGTCATCATCATCATCATCAACAACTTAACGTCAACATCATGACCGTCACCTGCTTTTTCACTCCGTACTAGTTACACAACCTCTTTTCTATTTGTGCTCTAGACACATAACTGAACAAAGTGAAGAGGTCCAGGCTACAGAGATGTCTTGTGAGTCTGTGGAAAAAGGAGGAGTTATGACAAAGCAAGGTATATGTATGAACCTCATAGTACCAACATGTGCTCATTAAAAAAGTTTAATTTGCATCAGTTTTACCTTTATTGTTTGTGTGAAAAACTGTGGAAAACTTTAAAAAGTAGTAGTGCCGAGACTACCATATAAAGCTTGGTTTTCATACAATCATCATGATTGCTGAAAGAACTTCATTGATCTCAGCATTCACTGAGTGCAGTTCAGTGATCACATTAAATAAAAACATTTCCCAGAGAAAGTTGTGACATTGATTGCTGAGATAATCTTCTGTTCGATTGTAAGGTTTGTTTCCATTATTTTAGTTTGATTTCAGTGTTCACCTTTTTTTCTGGTGATCATATTGTGAGGGTTAACAAAAGTCTGACATGAAAATTATTATAGTCTATTGGAGTCTGCTTTTGTTTTGAATGCCAACAAAGTAAATGGCCTTGTAGAGTAAAATACTGACGGAAATAAACAATTCTCTGGGTTGTATTCAGTTATATCCAAATCAAATTCGAAGTAGACAGACTGCAAATTATAGTAGTTGCTAAATATATATATATATATACGTGTCCCAACTGTTCATCAGTAGGCTGCCTAAAATGTGTGCAATTCCACAACTGGTTTTGGCTCCATTAAATCTAAAATTATTGTCTAAATTTTAGATGTTGAAAATTCAGAGAACATCACTCAGCCTGAGGAACCCGCCAGTGCACTTCCGGCCCCAATGTATTCAATCGGCACACCATCTTCTTCAGATGAAAACCTATATCAAGATGTTGAGACACATTCAGACAGTGGTAATTTGATACCAATATCTAGTGATCTTACATCACACAGCATGGAAGTTCCAACCAAAGAACATGGGAGTAAAGAAACACAAGTCCTTAGAGGTGATTCCAGAGAAGAAAATATGGAAGGTGACACTGATCATGAAATGTCCACTCCTTCTGTCAAAGACTTTGATAATTCTCTGCATGCTGCAGAGAGAACAGATTATAACTTGCAAGGCGATAAGCTTTCTTCATTGTTTGAGACTTGTGTAGTGTTGGATGAGTCTCCTAAATTGCCTGGTCAAAATTTCACTACAAAAGGTGAAACAGGCTATTTACAGGCTGAACTTGCCTCTAAGGAAGAACTCATTCAAAATGAAGAACATGATGAACTTCATGAACTGGAAAGAGATCTTGTCTCTGATGTTGAAATGGAGATCTCTAAGCATGGTGCAGATGAAAGTAGTTTTAACCTGATCGACAAACCAGGTGACTCTTCTGACAGAGTAAAGAGCAAAGACAAGTTGAGCATTGCACTACATCAAATGGAATCACAACTTGCCACTTTGAGGTAAAATAGACCTGTCCTGAAGTTAAAGGACTGAGTGTGATATGAAGAACTGTATGGATTAAGTAGGCAAATAATACCCTCCAAAAACTGCACAATTCTTCATGTCCTATGAAAGCTGAATTCAATATATATGTTTTACTACAGTATTTGTTTTGAAAAATTTTCAAGCGGATGCATTCCTTACCTCTTTACATACATTTTATTCAAAATGTTGCCTGTTTTTGATTCAGGATGAATGGATATTATTTGTTTGCAAATATTCTTCAAAAAGCAGTTGACCTTGACATCTTTCGGCTTTGTGTATATAGAAGTTTAATGTTATGCCATATTCATGAGCTCTGCTTTGCCATAAGAGCTTAGTATGAAAAAGCCACAACCATTAATTTATACTAAAGAGGACAGGAAGCACAAAATCTAGTGGTACACAGAGATGGGACTACTTTATGCACCCAGCCCAAGACTGGGTGGGTCATGTGGGCCTTTGAACATGAAGTAACTGTATCATTGTCTTGAAACTAGTTCATAAGGGTAAAGGGAACTTGGGTTACTAGGGCAGGAAATGGTAGTGAATTAAACTGTTCTTTGTTTTTATTTTGCTTGCACTTGAAGTGATGACAAGCAGTCCCTTACAAGTCTTGAGGAGGAGTTATTCAAACTGTATACAGACACAGAGGGTACCATCAGTGAAAAGAAACAACAGATTAAGAAACTACAACAGGAAGAAAGTCAAGCTCTCGCAAATGATAACTATGATTTAGCAGAAGAAATCAGCAGTAGACTGGAGCAACTGAAAATAGATTTGGAATTTTCACGGTACAGGCTTCCAGCTCAAGATGAAAAGGTACTAAACAATACTCTTCTACTGCAAATGCTTGAATGTTGTAGAGTATTTTAAAACTCTCTCGATTTTTCTCCACAACAGTCTGTAACTAAAGACACTGCCATATATTTATTTGTGATAGGAAAGTACAGTCAAAGCCTTCTTAACAGACATTCTTTGGTCTTGTTAACTCAGTTGATAAAACTTAATTTTATTAATTTTGGTGCCCCCTCGCGCCCCCACAGTGCCCGGTGCTCACACTGGGGCACCACCCTTGTCCCCACTACACTTACAAAAGCCATTCCTGTCAGCATCCAGCCCCGGTTGCGGACACTGAACTTCTTATGCTTAACAAGGATGTTCGCTTAAGAGAGTTTCAACTGTAATGTCCTCTTCTTTGGTGAAATTTTTTCCTCTTTTGCCCCATGTAATGTAATCCAAGTCAGTCCTGGATTCAGGATTCCACGGATTGGATTCCAGATTCCTTGTCAGCAGAATATGGATCCTGGATTTCAATCGTTAGTGAGATTCCAGGTTCCTTGAGCTGGATTCCAGCTTCTAAACCCCAGGATTCTGGATTTCACAAGCAGAAATTTGCCGGATTCTTTAATCCGGATTACCTTAAGCCTCCTACGCAGATGTTCTTAGGGGTTCGTCACGTGTTCCTTGAGCGCGTGACGAACCCGCGGGAGGCTAGATTACCTTACACTGGGCGACCTCTTTATTACTTGCAAGGTGGAGAGAGCTTTGAAGCTAAGAGCAGAAGTAGCTGAAAAAGAAGCTACAATTTACAGAGAGAGCCAAGCAGCACTGGAACAAGCGCGCAAGGAACAACAGGAGTGTCTGATCAGCCACAAAGAGATGAGTACGCTGTGGGGTGCAAAAGAAAGGCAACGCCTCAATGCCGACCGAATGAGGCTGGAACGAGCTAGGGATCACTTGAGGCTTGACAAAGAACACACGGAGGCTGAAAAGATGGAATTAGGTAAAGAGATTACACAACAAACAGAGGCGTTTCAGTTGAAGAAAGAAGAACTCATGCTAGAGAGGGGGATACTGCAGGTGAGGGAAAGGCTATAATTTATGTATTTAGTACGAAGCACTAACTTAGAACTCTGTTTTCACGCCCCCTACTGGGACCTGCATTTCTACGTCGACATCAGAGCTAAGCAAAGGTCTCACCGTTTGCAGGGCTTTTCCTGACTTATTTTAAGACCATGAGTATTGGTTCTTCCACGGGGGTTCGCCCCGTGACCTCCCGCTCTGCAGGCCAGTGTTCAGTGTCTGCTGACTAAGATGGTCCGCAATAGGGTTCTTCAATCCCGTAATCCCGAGGGTTATTTTTGGCGTCCCACCTCCCGCGTATACTTTCAGTCCCGCAACTCGTCCTAATTGGGCTTTCAAATCCCGAATCCCGAGCTTCAAATAAAGGAAATCCCGGGTCCCGAAAAACCTACTAACAGGAGCTAACTAGAACTAATTTGATGCTGCCTGTTAGAAACTTCCAATAAAATACAACTCCTCTTGTTCTGGCCTGGACATGTATGCAAAAAATAATTGAATACTGACTTGCGTTCACTTTTTTCAACTTCAAACTTGAACACAAGTAACTGCACACAGGAGAAATGGGCGCGGAGTGAAACAAATTTTAATAGGGAGCTCAAGCAATTACAAAGACGACAGCAACGAGTATGCGGACTAACTATACTTTTTGTAGAAAATGAAATCGACAACTTTGCGCGTGCATCACAGTTTTGGCTTCCTTTATTTGCCGTCACTTTACATCAGTTTTCTAATGCCGCATTTTATGGAGAACGTGGTGGAATCCGTCCTTATAATTAAAATCAAATTAGCCACACCATTTTTTTTGGGGGGGGGGGTTGGCGTCAGATTTTCTTGCAAAAGGGTGGTCAGCAAATGCAGTATTGCTTATGTTCCTTTTTGTAGCGTATTGCATTATCTTACACATGGATGCCACGAACGCGCTGATCGATAGCCAGGCCATGGTAGAACGAGTGGTGTGTTACATCACAGCTAAGCCGGCCGGCGATAACCTCGAAAGCGGAAGTGCAATACGCCACTTGCACATCTCCTATAATGCATCTTATTTGCCCACCCCCCTCCCCCCCCAAAATGAAGAAAATTTGCATAAGCATTGCTTTCAATTTCTCTTGAGAAATGAAAAACCATGGTTATGCAAAATTTTGGGGCCAAATAAGGTGTGTAAGTGGCGCTATGCAAATATATGCAATGTGAGCGCAGGTTTGCGTGACCCGGCAATCCAATATGGCTTGCATATTGTTGCTAACAGACGACTGTCTCCACAGAATTGTTTCCTTTATAGACGACCCAAGTTCTTTTCACAGCATCGCTCTAACCTGCAAGAGACTTCTGCAAATTACCAGCAACACGAGAAGCGTTTTGCATACGAATCTTGTACGACTGAAAGCCGAGTACTTCATGAAGTGTTTTCTAGTCGAGAACGGTTGTGATTATGATACGTTTGGCAGGTTCAGAGACTTTCTCAATGAATCTGCGCGACTTATAGAGGTTAAGGGAATGCTTTCCTACGACAAAGTGATCGAAATATGGCAAAGAAACGGACCCGTGGTGGCTAAACTCTTTACTTGGTTCAGAGATAAAGAATTCAGCGTCGAAGAAGGTGAACCCAGAGCGACATGTTTTACCGAACATCGGAAGGTAGAACTTTATTTACCCAGCTGCGGAAAACGCATGGTGATAGAGACTTCATACTTCAATGATTATGGCCACAATTATGATCCCGAACTGAGCATTCGTGTAACTTGTGGAGATTTAGATGTCACTTCTGAAGGTTTTGCCAGCTCCTCGCCAGCAGATTACATGTATTGGGCGGAAAAAGAAGTCGCTGGTGCAGTGGAGCCGATGAAAGGTGTCATTGCACTTCTGCAGAAAGTGCTCGGCGAGACCGTTCCCTCAATAACAAGTCATTTCTTTATTTGGCTTTGTTACTTTTTCCCAGATGCTTCTAACCTGGATGAAGCACACAGACTTAGTTTCAAAGATGCTGGTAGAAATGTAAAACCTAGCTATGCTTCAGTACAGCCTGCCATAAACGAGTTCCAACAAGATCAACAAATCGAAACCAAGTTGGAAAGGCTGGTAGCTGAACTCAACAGAGAGGAAGACCAAAAGTCCAAATATTCTAGTTTGTGTGCAGAGGCTGTCCGTACGTTATCCCAGAGATCAGAGGCCAAAATTGTTAAGCAGCTCGAAGAACATGCACCGAGATTCAGATCAGTTGTAACTGACTACGACATGAGGGAACTGCCCAAAGAACTTCTGCTTGATCTGGTTCTACGAACATCTTTAGAGAAACGTGGCTATCGACCCGGTGCTATTGCTGACAAATATGTTGAAGGCACAGTATATTTCAGATGCGTTGGAGGCAAAGTCATGAAAGTTCATGGATCAATGCATGGTGATGGTGCGTCGTACCCAACTTGGGACGAAATGGAACTTAAATTTACTTTACCAGATGGTAACGTTTTAAGCCTGGAAGGCCGAAACAGGCCATTACAAATTGAAGATCTAACACCGGTCACAGAGCTTCTACGACAAGGTGTCAGTCAGCGAATGCAAGAAGAAAAGCACATACCTAATTTTGGTAACTTGTTCACGGCTGCATTCTTCTTATCTGCCCTGGGGATGAATGTGGATTCAGAGACCTTCTTAGGAAGATATGACAAACTGATCCCATCAGAGTCGGAGGATGAATCTTCAGCTGAAGAATTATCTGAATCAGCAGAAGAATTATCCGAATCAGCTGACGAATTACCAGGATCGGCGGAAGGATTATCAGAATCAGTCGAAGAATTATCATAGGAAAGTTAAACATGGCGTTCTCAATTAGCCAACTACCAACAAGCTGCTATCACTTTAGAGCTTGCTGTAGACATTTCAACTGCCGATTCTAATCACACTTGCTGTTTTCAGTTCTATCTCGTAAAGTACTTCAAATGAGTGTTCAAGTGTTTTGTTTATGGTGTAAATGCACCCAGCATCTCTGACTACAATCGGCAACAAAATTGTAGAGACACAATTTTTTTCAAATGAGGTATAGTAAGGAAAACAAACAATCTGATAGCATACAGTAAAGGTTCCTTGTTGTCAAATGGTAAACCAATCACTCCACTGTAATACATTTTTCCTCTCCTCAAGGTTGTAGGTTTCTATTAAATTAAGTTTTGTTGCTGGTGGTATTTCCTTTTGTGAAATCAAGTTTACAAGCAACGTCAGAACGTAATAAACTAAAATTTGACAGTTCTCAGTGGTCTGGATTAAATATAATGATCTTAGAAACTGCAGAATACAATTCTGAAGAAGAAAAGGGTGGTATGCCAAGATAACGCTAGCTGGTTGTACATTTCCTAATCTACTGACACTAGTATATTACCTTTAGGCAGTTTCTCATCCAATTTGTTTTACAATTTTAGTGCGTCCTTGATTGTTCAGAAAATTGCCCTGGGCCGGGTTGTTCGAAGCTGGGTTAAGATAACCCAGGGTCAGTGCGAAATTTGAACTCAGATATGAGAGCTTAAAAAGCAAATTCAGCTTAATTCACTTTGTCATCCAGACTCTGAGAAAAGGGGTGGGGGGGAGGGGTGTCTCAAAAAACTCTTTTTCGGCCCTTCGGGCCTCATTTTGGTCTAAAAATAAATAAGGGGGGTGCAGGGCCACTCCCCTGGATCCGCCACTGATGATTCAGGTACGGATGCAAGAATTTAAATTCGGAGGGGTCCAAAAGTGTGATGGGTTAAAGGTTATTTTCTAGTAAACTTTATTTTCGTAGATCCCTATATGCCATCCCGCAATGCAGTAAACAATTTTATTCACATGGCACTTATTCGCCCAGTTACTGAAAACGTCTCTGGTCTGCATGATGGATGCATTTAAGGCGTCTGGAGACCCCCGACCACCTTCCTCCCCCCCGCTTTCCTGATTCGGCCACTGCGATTGCACCACCCCTGAAAAAACTGTTTTTGCGCTTTCCAAGACAAATTGTAGAATGGGGTGGGAGCGGCGGTCGTTGCACCAGGCACGGTCTTGTAACTTCTCTTGTAACGGTGTAACAGTAGAAAGCTTTCCGGATTCGAGAACGAGGACAGGACGACTTCGAGGACGAGATTTAACTTCAAGTTTTTTTTTCGCGTATTCTCAAACAATAGATACTGTAAAATTCCGAAAATAAGCCCCTCCAAGTATAAGCCCCTCCAAATATAAGACCCCCAAACTTGTAACGTAAAGAACCGTCCGTTAAATCGCCAACCTCGTCCCCAGGGCCCCACCCATTTTTTAAGGGAAAAGCCCTGGGGACGAGGTTGTTAAATCGCCCCTCCATATATAAGCCCCCCTGGGGCTTGTACTGGGAAATTGCCCTCAAATACAAAGTAAAACAAAGCAAAAACGGTAAATTTCCTTCCAACTGTAAGGCTAGCCCACTCGATTTTGAAACGCAAATTTCCCTCCATAGACAAGCCCCTCCGAATATAAGCCCCTCAAAAAAGGCCTTTGAAAAATATAAGACCCGGGGCTTATTTTCGTAATTTTACGGTACCCCGGAAAGCTGCATTGTACGTTTTTCCATCAGAAAAGTTAGCACTATTATATTTAGTGAAGGATGATAAGCCCTTTACCGATCCTAAAATGATAAAACTTCTAATATTTGAGAACTTGTTTCCGCCACTATGGTACTCTCGCCAAAATTCGTAGCCGAATGACGAAGGCTTTTACGTTTTCCCGCCAAAATGACGCTGGTTCACGCGCGTGCACTAAAAATCTCGTTATCGTAGTCGTTCCCATCTTTGAATCTAAAGGTCTCTAAAATAGTGAGACAGGTTGCAAGAAAAACGGCAACGACTGACAGCCCGGCCGATAGACTAACATACGAATGTCTCAGTACATTCAAACCTCCCGTAAGCGACCACCCAAAATGCGAAGATTCAGTGGTCGCTTACGAGAGGTGGAAGTGTCGGTAAATACAAACCATGCCTTAAGTGGTCCATTACAGGGGAATGAAGCAAGGGAAACTTCTAAAGCCGTTATGTAAAAAAGTGGTAGCGGTCGTTTACGAAAGGTTCCACCTGAAGTAATTTCACTGGAAAAAGTTGTGATATTTTGGATACGTGCAGTGCCGGATCCGGACCTTGAGATATGCGGGGAGGGGGGGGTCATCCAAACTCTGAGATAAGAGGGGGACCCCCGGTGTCCCCCCCAAATTTTTTTCGGCCTATTGGGCCTCAGTTTGGTCTAAAAATAAAGTGGGGGGCGCCGCCCGGGCCCCTCCCCTGGATCCGCCGCTGAGGTGGTCGCTTATGGGGGATGGTGGGACTTGGGGATTCGACTGTACGTTTTTTTTTTTTTAACTCTTATATGTATATTTTGTTTGTTTGCTTGGTTTTGAGGGCGAAATTTTAGCATTGGAAGCAAAGCTTAAGGAGTTAAATGAAAAAGAGGCCGAGTTCACGGACGCCATTAAACAGCAGGAGGGGAAAATTGAATCAGTGAAAATGGAGTTCGCCCCTCAGCAAAACGCCCTTGACAAACGGCAAGAAGAAATAGAAGAAAGAGAAAAAACAATACAGCAGGAATATGTGAGTAACAAGACGCCTATACAAGACGTGCATTGTGCTGCAGTACTGTAATGTGTATAGCTACTTCCATACCGAGAAATAGATCGAAATAGAAAAACAGATCACGCTCCAGGGGGACATATTATTTGCCAATGGCAGACCAATAAAAAGGAGATTACTGCAAGTGTGAAACGTTTCAAAATGGGTTTTTAGGGTAGGCTGAGAGACGGTTGATTTCTCTCAATATTTTTGCAACTCCTTGGAAAAATCCGCTTTTTCAACTAATCGGAAGTTCAACAATCGTTGTCCTCAATAGTTCACAAACCTTTTTTTCCGCTTTTGAGGCCAGCGACAGATTTGACTCTAAACAAAGCTGTCAAAGTTGGTCTGAAAAAACTCGTCATACGATTTTTCTCACTCAACCATGAAGAAATGTATATTTCTTAGAGTACTTTGTAAAACGTGTGCAATTCACAATTGATTTTACGTTCCAAAGGTTTGAGACTTTTCTTCTAATCAGAATCTAGCAATACCAAACCAAAGACATCAGTTGAAAACCACCCTGTCTGATGAAAAGAGAACTCATTGTCTGTATGAACAACATATTTGTCATTTCTTATAGGAGATGTTGTTATCGACGCAGAAACAGTTTGATGAGAAAACTGCAGAACATTGTACAGTAGAGGAGCAGTAAGTATGCTGGTTCATTTCTTTGCCGTCACTGCCTGGCAACGACGTGAAACGTCATGTTTAGATGAGGACGTGAACACAATTCTGCGTCTGTTTATCTTTTTCTGAACTTGAATCACGGTCCTCAAAAATGCGTACTTCAGGAAGAATCAACTACATTTGACAAGAACAAACAAACAAAAACGAAATGAAATGGGAAAATGAATGAAATCGCCAGTACTCGAGCTTTCTACGTCAACTCAGTTGTTAATGGAAATGTTGTTCCTACGTTGTTATGTTTTGGACTATCTTTCCCAATAATATTTCCCTTTTTTGTTTTAAATAGCTTGACTAAAGATTTGTCTGCTGCATCCAAAGAATTAGAGAAATCCAAACAGATCATCAAAGAGCTGGAGGAGAAACAACAATCTGTACAGACATTTTCAAGCATGGAACACTTTACTTTCACAAAAGATTGTGAACTAGCAAGGTAGGTCCAGGGTCCTGTTGTTCAAAGGGTGGATGACGTTATCCTTTGGATAAATTTCTACCCAGCGGATAGCGCTGTCTTATCCCTTAATACGTATCCGCTGGATAGTGGATTATGCGGCGGATATCGCTATGCATCGTATTCTCCTGGGGTGACCAGGAGAAAAACCAACATCTGACATGCACTTAACACGCTACTCTGTCCTTGTGGTTTGATCAGAATCTGACGCATGCGTACTGCCATATCTTTCCAGCAGCTTTCAGGTAATGGGGGAAGAGGTAAATCTTTCATCTTTTCTGAGGGGCTGTTTACATGACACCGGGGCGACTTTCGCGCCGGAGTGAGTTCACTCCGGTTCCCTCTCATGGCTCTACATTTGTTTACATGATACCACGACAAAATGTAATGCTGGTGTGAATCACCCCGGTTGTTGTACCGGGGCGAGAATTTCACTCCGGTACGAAATCTCGCAACGGTATCATGTAAACGCGAAACGCGTTTCGGTGTGAAATCGGTCTGCCGGTAGAATGGAACGGGTAGCGCATGCGTAATGTTTGCGATTTTGAATCTTACTTGTATTTTATCAACATGAAGTGTACCTTCAAATAACGAGATATGAAATGACCCAGTCATAATGTCAACGCGATACGAAATAAAAAAGTCATCCCGGTATGAAACTCGCGCCGGTGCAAGTTTTCTCATGTAAACACCCCGTGAGGCACTTAGTCAAGTTATAAACTAGCTTACCTCCGAGTATCACAAGACACAGCTAGGTTGGCAATACATTACAAGGACCACCAATACCCAATTGATTTCGCTGTTATGTTTGCCATTGTTATGGGCTCATTCTGTAGGTAAATCTAATTTGGCGCTAAGCAGAACTTGTATGCTGCTTTTATTCTACATTAGACTTCATGCCAAGCAGAGGGAAGTCTACCAGAAAATCAAGGCTTTGTCAAACAAGATTCAGCTCCGACAAAGAGGCGTACTAACATTGCGGAAGAGTTTGAATGAAATCGAATCACAGATCTCTGACCTGGACGCGGCCAAAGAAATAGCAAAGCAAGGTAAAGAGAAGAGAAAGATAAAAATGTGCACGAGGCCACAGGTGTGGTACAAGCACCCCGGGAGAGTACTCCAGAAAATTTCGGTTGAGGTGACTGTGGCATGCCCTATTTTAGACCAAAATATGTGATTTTCTCTACCCTGTTTAAGACCTGAACCACTGTTCTCAAAGAGACGAATGATAAAAAATATTTATGTCCAATGGCGCTGCGCACAGTTTATATTTAGTTATAGAACTGAACTCAAACAAACAAATTCAAATTATTATTAGCAAATTCACTTTTGTTTGTTTGTTTTTTTTTTCATTTAAATTTCATGTTTGTCTGACTCTTGTCATTAAAAAGACAAAAGTCAGAAAAAAAAATTGCAAATTAGTCACGGTGACGTCACTTGTGCGCTGTGGTATTTTAGACACTGGTTCTAGAGAGTGCAGCACCTCACCCTATTTCAGACCCATACGGGTAAAATCTATACGCACTGTCAGACCGAAAGGGATTAAAAACTTTGGGACTGCATATAGCCATATAGTGAGTATCTGTTGGCCAGGCCCCAGTAGTTCAAAAGGGGGATAACGCTATCCACTGGATAAGTCTCTATCCAGTGCATAAAGGAATTGGTTTCCCTGAAATCTATCCGGTGGATAGCGCTATCCAACGTTTGAACAACCAGGGCCAGAACTGTTTTGTTGTGTTACTTTTGTTGCTGTTTAGAAAGAAACTTTAAAGAAGCTAAAAGGTTGAAGGAGGAGAGTGAAGCTTTGACGAAACAAGGAGTTGAAAGCCAAGGAAAACTAGAGTCTTTGCTAGAAGAAATCACCACAGATAAAAAAGTACTCCAAAAAGCCGAACAAGAGAATAACGACTTGGAAACAGAAATTGGTGAAAAAGAACGCCAGGATGGTAATTGCGTTAACCTCACTTTTTATCGTGCTAGAACACCGACAGTTCAAAACAATCAACTACGATACTGCCTACAATGATATCCAAACACCGAGTAGTAATTATCATACACGAGAGGGAGTGTTTCAACTGATATCCAACACCGAGTAGTAATTATCATACACGAGAAGGAGTGTTTCAACTGAAATCTAAACACCGAGTAGTAATTATCATACACGAGAAGGAGTGTTTCAACTGATATCCAAACACCGAGTAGTAATTATCGTACACGAGAAGGAGTGTTTCAACTGATATCCAAACACCGAGTAGTAATTATCATACACGAGAAGGAGTGTTTCAACTGATATACAGACACTGAGTGGTAATATATCAAACACATACTATTTCTTACGATAATTAATGTGAAACACGAGGCACAGTGTTTCATTGCATCAAACACAGAGAAGAGAGTTGAAAATAAGACCCATACCGGAGTATCTTCCAAGGAACTTAGAGGTATTTGATATTTTAAAGGAACATTGCTATGAGTGTTCCATAACTTAACAAAGAAAATACTTTCAAAGAGATATTAGGGAAGAAAAAACAAGGAACTTTTCAAGGAATATCCAAAAACATGGTTTTGAGTTGTTTGGAAGTTGAAAACGCCTCTTTGCAGATCATTTATTTTGTTCTCTGGAACATTTTTCGTATCAGTCCGCATGGTCAGAGGATTTTTTGTATACTGTTATGTAACGTCATTTCAATTCTCTTGTTGATTCACCGTAGCTACTTTTTTGTTCACTTCATTTCGCAGCTTTTGTTACCGTGGAGAAGGCATGTCTTGTGCTTCAGACACTCCGTGATCAAATCAACAGGTAGTTTAAAGTTTTTGTTGACATTAAACTCATAAAGAGCGGGCGTGGGGGAGGGGGATTGGAAGGGGAGGGGGGGGTGGTCGGGACTTTATTACTTGCTGAGATAATTTTGTGATATTTACTGATCTCTAAATGCATAATCGAGGGGAAATAAGAGACAAAAAATTCTAAAACCGTTGAACTGTTTTGTTTAACTTTGTAATCTTTTTATGCAGAATTGATGGTAAGAACCTCGTGAAGGTGTTGCTACAGACCGAAGCGAAAACTTGCAAGGTGCGTGTGCCGTGTTAAGTTACCCTCTAGGTCTCTTTTTGGTGATAAAATACCTTTTTAGTTGAGTGTCTTACAACCAAAGCAATCGCTCTATTATCTAGAAATCACTCACGTAAGCACTCAACTTAATTCTCACGTTCCTTTTCAGAATCTCATATCAGACTTGTGTAACAAGCACGACATTCCAATCCCAGAAATTAGACACAGTGTGGACGATGAGGAAAAACCCCAGAACAGCAGTGGGAGTAATGTAAGTTATCGTCCATTGTGGTGGCTATTACTGGGATGTTAACCAATATACACGACTAATTTTTGACGGAATTACTCTGAATTACTGCAGTAAATCTCACGGCTATCACTTTAGATTTTAGGGTGACAAATATTACCCCTTTAAAGGAACGACGATTTCACCCGTCATCTAATAGGAAATTCCCTCGGGTCACACAGTAAACGAGAATAGGCGCCAGTAAACTAACATGTGTATATTAGATACCTGTTCTGTTTGTCCTTTAGAAGGAGACATCTCAACCTCATGAGACGTCAGAATGTGAGAGCTCTGAAAAAGAAACGAAGAGATTCGAGGAATTCCAGGACAAACTAACCGAACTGGAAGGAAGGTTGGAAGCTGTGGTGGAAGTAGAAGATTTCGATGAAGCTGATATCCTTTAGATATAAACCAAGGCTACCCTATAGGTAGTTTCGTTAACTGAATGAGAATGATAGTTTTTAAAAGAAAGGTTTTTGCTGTCTCGGTGGAGTACATTGCAATTTAGTCGGTTATTTTCCCTCAAACTTGCTCTTTATGCAAGGCGAAACGCGTGAAAAAGGTTCAACATTTAGACATAACTTGTTGATTTGTCATAACTTTGATAAATTAATGAATTTTACAAACGAATTTACCTCATATGTACTTAATTTCACGTTTCTCGCGATTGTGAGTAAATCGCGAAATTAACTGAAGACCCACGATAAAAATCCTCGCGAAATTTGATGCCCTTTCTTTATACAGTCGACTCTCTCTTAACGGACACCTCTACAAGACGGACGCCTTTGTAAAACGGACACTTAGAGTTGGTCCCTGCCTTTCTTTACTCCCTTCACTTAGTGCCGGTCCCAAAGGTGTCCGTCTCTAGAGAGAGTTGACTGGATTGTCCTATTTAACTCGCGAATTAATGCCCGGCGGAATACTGTCTCGCCAAAATCGCGAAATTAAGTACCAATAACGTATTACAATATCTGACAACAGTGTTGTGAGTGGGTGTTCCGACTGTTCCACCGTATCGTAAAAACACGCATGCTGGTGGACTATAAAGAAGAGCTGTTTCTAAAGTTGGCACGGCGGTCGCCTTTCTTTGTACTGACATTCATTGCTTTACTTCCTTAACACGTAATCAGACAGGCTTCAACAGGAAATAACCAAGCTCAAAGAGATGATGGAAGAGAGAGCAGGTCAAGTGTAAGACAAAGAGAAACTTTACCCCAGAGAAATGCAACTTGACAGACCAGGTGACGAGTTAATCCAGCAGGAAACTGAAGACAGGCTTGCAAATTGTTTTACTTCGAAATACAGCGGTAACCTCTTGATGGTCAAAAGGAATTGTGACGTTGGTTCTGATGTACACTGGTACACTTGGTGGTCAGCTCTCAAATCTCGCGCTCTTTTTAAACCAATCAGAGACAAGCACACTGCCGTTTTCGCGCGCTTTGCGGTAGCAGCACTGCCTCGTACCCAGACGTCTCTCTTTCGATGTGCGCGCAAAGGAAGGCGGAAAGGAGACAACGGGCGAGAACGTCTGCACCCTTCCCATGGTCTCTTGCGGTTCATCACCAGTCACTCGCGTTTCGCGCTCGCATCTGCCATGCGAAAAACGAAGCGCGTGAGGAGGAGGCTGGTAGCAACATGCGTTTACTTCACGTTCTTATAGTGTTATTGGATTGTTTTGCGTAGCTGACGTCATTAGCCATGGTGATCACTTTGTTTTTGGTTTTGAAATCGCTCTAATTGACCATGGTAACCTAACACTTTGCAGCCGACGACAAGGACACGTAAAGTGTATAACCTTTCTCTTAATAATTGTTTGGATCCTTACGGAATCACATAACCAGGATAAGCCTCTGACCTTAGAGACACATTTTACCGTAATCTTAATGGCTGCTACAAAAAGATAAGATTAAAAAGTGAAATGATTTTCGAATTTGAAAACCGGTAATGGACCACAGTCAACAAGCGAAACGAAGTAAAACTTAACGTGTTTTCAAAAGATAAGAACCTAAGTTTCATTATATATTTTCTGAAATATTCCGAGCCTTTTGATGTTGCCCAGCGTTTCGGCTTTCTCCATAAACAACTTTACTGTGTACTTGGCCTTAAACGTTTTGGCTTTGGATTAACTCTAGGTTTCTAACCTAGATAAGACTACGTAGTTTATAGTTCCTTAACATATCACACATCAAAATTTCAAAGAAAAACGGTAGCTAGAAAAATACTCTTTAATAGTTCACTCTTTCATTAGATACTTCTACAAAAATATCTGGGCTTTAAATAATAAAAAGTTATACCTTTAAATAGCTATATACAGTCTATTTGGCTGATATATATATACAATTTTGGTTCGAAAATATTCATAACCATGATTCAAAAAGGGTCTCGCTATCTATGTATAAAAAAGTTGAAATGTCCTACCAGATGCATAATAATTTTTAATAACCTAGCCATAGTACTTTCACTTTTTCTTCTTGAAAATGTTCCCCAACACTCCTTTTCTCTTTTCCTGTCTACTATGACCGTGCGCAGAATCTCCACTATCAACCACTGACCGCATGGGACCAGTAAAACCTTGAGCCTGTCTATTATTCCTTGACTGCTGGCCAGTCAGACCCGCAGGCTTGGGTTTAACGGGAGGTTTGGGGCCTCTACCTCCTGAGTCTGTGGAGTCACGTGAGTCTGAACGTGAACGCCCATCTGATTTGAATGCCGGGGGAGGAGGGACGGGTTTTGTTTTACTCCTCCTTGGGGGAGGGGTAGGCTGCTTGAGTTGCGAAATGATATTTGAGAGAGGGCTATCCTCGGGTTCATTGTCGTAGTCACTTCTATCATCATCTGAAAGGAATTCCGGAGGCGGGGATGCCGGTAACACGGGAAGATCTTCATCATCCGAATCATCAAAATCAGCGAAATCCGGGGGAGCTGGTGGGACTCGCGGGGGTGCGCTAGCAGGCTCCATCGGAAGGATACCGATATCCCCTAAAATATCATTCTCACTATCATGGTCGTTCTCAGTAACTACACTGGTAGCTGAAAAGTCCGTGGGGAGTGGTATACTAACAGGGGGAGGGGGAGGAGGGTCAATAAGGACGTCCTCGTCATCATCAAAGCTTGTGACAGTAATAAGAGGCTTAGGCAAGCGTCCATATGGTTTCGTCACATCCGCGGAGCCGCCGTTTTCTTGACTTGCCATTAGCGGTGACGTCGTGGTGCTTGGTAGCCTCGCCGGTGGTGTTGGAGGAGGGGGACTGGGGATATCGAGGTCAATTTGGCCGCAGGCTTCGCTCATACTTTTGACCCATCGTTCGAGATCTTCTGGATCCTTCGCAACAAAAAAGAAGTCAGAGTCGTCGTCACAGAGCAACCTAAAAGCATTCTTTCGTCTGACCACATCACTAGCCTCTTCACAGAATCCATCCGTCAAATCCACCGGAGGTGCAGCATAGTTGGTGCTTTGCGCGTCCTTCTTGTCGCGATAGAAAAAAAGTTGGTTCCCGCGTAACACCGTGTACAGCGTCTTCCACATGCGAGCATGCGCCTTTCTGCCACCAGATTCAAGCTCTTGTTTCCGCTGCAAGATTCCTTCAACAGTGGATGAAACTGATCCTTTTTGCTGATCTTGAGGAGTGCTGGCCGATTTATTGTTATTGTCCTCGTCAATCTTTTCTTGTCGCCTTTGCTCCTCCAGTTTCACTTGCCTATTGCTTTCCTGTAGCCTTTTTTCTTCCTCCTGTTTGGCCTTTGTCTTCGCCATTTTCTTTTCTTCCAAAGCTCTGAGCTTCTGAGCTTCCTCCCGTTGTTCTCTCTCTTTCTCTTTTCTCTCGGCTTCTTTCCGTTTCCTTTCGTTCTCTTTCCTCTCGGCTTCTTCTTTAAGTCTCATTTGCTTTTCTCTTTCTTTCTCCTTTCTGTCGGCTTCTTCTTTCGTTCTTATTTGTTCTCGTGTTTTCCTTTCCTTGAGTTCTCGTTCTCGCTCCTCCTCTTCTTCTCTTTCCCTTCTTTCCTGTTCTTCCTTCATTTCATTCTCTCTCTCACTCTGTTTATTCATCTCCTCTTCTTGCTGCGTCAATTTCGTAATTCCCAAAAATTTCATTTCCTGAGCAAGAAGCATTTGCTCAAACTCCTCGTGCTTCTTTAACAGGTCTTCCACCCCCTCTAACGAATCGCCAACGTCACCCGATTCTTGATCAAGATCACGTGCATTGAGCCAGGCCTCTAACTGGTCAGCGTCCCGTTTAAACACCAGCACCTCCTTACTTTGTTCCAGTTCCATTCCTTTTTCACTCCACGTAGTTTGCAGCGCCTGCCATGCTTTGGACAACCGCTGCTTTTTTTCTTTCACATCCGCGGACGCAGAGTGTTTGTCCCCAATAAGTTTGTCAGCCGCTTGGTAGAAATCATTGACACTTCTTTGACGAGTGTCTATTTCAGCCTTATGCTCCTGATGACGAGCAAAGCAACTCTCCGCATTAGTGACGTCATCAGGCAGTTCGTCCTCAATGATAACTGACGACATATGACCAATCCACGACCTAAAATGGGAAAATAAACTTCTTAGTAACTTCACTTCTGTAACATGTATTGGTTCCAACAGGTAACCGGAAACCGTACTGTACAGTACGCTTTACCGTGTTTCTCATTTAAACGCCCGGTGCGTCTTATTTAAACTTGACTCGATGAACGCGCCGTTTGATTGAACACACAGAAAAGAAGAGAAAAGAAAAGAAAAGGGTTTTAACTCATTGCTCTTCGCAGCCGTACGTCGTTGCTATTATACATAAAGCTTATCAAACACGAAATAAATGCCTGAGGGGCTTTTCTAGAACTCTGTCTATTATACACCATTTTCACACTGTCTGCCATAATACACCTTGTCTATCCCTCAACTCTCTAACTCTCTTCATGTTAAGTTATTATACTCACCACGGCTGACCTCTGGGAAAGCACTTGACTCCTATGAAACTGTCATCTTTTACTTTCTAAAGCATCTTGACATGTATCTGTACAAACTATCTGGGACACATCTCTCTAACTAAAATACTTGTCCACTGTTATGGCCTATCCAATGCCATTTCTTAGTAAACACCTCTTGGGACACCATTTTCACTAGCCAGTAGGTTGTCATTTTGAGGTAGTTTATGACTAGTGCCAGTTTCTTTGATGCAGGCGTAACTCAGCTGCTGTCTAACTAGAAGCCAAACTGGAGTGCAATTCTTCGCCACTTAGCTGTCGGTATATCAAAACAACTGGAGTCATCTTTGCTGCCCTATGATTGTCTGTCCCTTCTACGTAAACGCTTCTACCATTTTGAACAAATCCAGCAAGAAATGCTCACTAACTCTATGAGTGGCGCACTACTATCAACTTTGTAACAGATTTATGTCGAAAACGAAAGAAGAAAGCAAACCATCCCTGCTTCGCAAGCATCTCGTTCCATCCAAGACGGCGGCCAAGATGGGGAACCAATTCAGCTGTACAGTCTTGTACGTCCCCACGCAAAGGGAACTACTCAGCTAGTTTGTTATTAAGGTATTGTATTGCTGAAAAATGTATCGTTGCAGCTTTACTGACTAACGTGAAGCAACACCAGCCACAGGTCACAGCTGGACTTCAGCCTGTCAGCGAGACAACACTGCTTCAGGTTTTGGTCTTACGGCACTTATATGAAAATTTCTCTTGACAAATGCAACACAGAACACTTACATAAGATCCCTGAAGTCGTTTAAAAACTTTTGCAGCTCTTCAGATTGTGTTAAATTGGATTTTTTACTGCTGGCTTTTTCCTGCAGGCGGCGCCATGATGACAAGACCTCGTCCCTTTGTTCCATTAGATGTTCCTGCCCCTCGGGGAACCTTGACGCAAGGTCCTCAGCTTCTTGGGACACTGATTCGACCTTCTCTCCGAGTGCATTTAGATCCAACTAGAGAACCAAAGTAAACAATATTTTAGGGTTCGCTTGAAAGGACTCCAAACCAGACGTGTTGTGACTTACCAAACAAACAAAAGTACTGAAGGAAAAATGTCAAGCATTCACACTTCGGAAATAGATGGGATCCAAAAACCGGTATAACAGGAAAGCTCTACTCGGAAGCTGTCATTTGAATTCGCCACGTTTGCATTCGCCACTTTAGAAACGCGAAGGAAACTACGACGAGTTAATTTTCGCAAAGAATTCTGGGACTGTTGCTGGGGACACCAAAAAAAAATTGACCAACAGCAGACCTGCACGTCCAAAGTAAATGGTGAACTTAGAGAGGAAAGACGACGGCAAACCTTGTTTGGTAAGCGTGAAAATAAATTCGTTTGAAAAAACCTTCTGCCAAACTTCACATTCCTTCAAACAGATCTTTTTGTAGAAGAGCAAAAAAAAAAAAAAAACAAAAACAAAAAAAACATCAATGTTAAGTGAATTCCCGACAAAACACGCAAGTAATAGCTCCGTCACGTTTGTCAAGCGTTTTGTCGTCCTCTTCTTTCTGCCGTCCTGTTGCGTAAACTCATTAATATCCCAGAAGTCTTGGTGAAAATTAACTAAGTCCAGTTTCCTTCTCGGTTCTAAAGTGGCGAAAACAGCTTGTTTGTCCCCCGAAATTCTGCTCACTTAAGGATTTTGTCCACAAAATCAAAGTAAGAGCCACCTTGTACAGCTAAAATGTATACAATACCACAGGGAAGCGTATTTCATAAAAGCAATAACAATCAGGTAAAAAATTACCCGGACTACTGTTACGCCACTGACCTGAAAACCTTGGTGTTTTCTCTGCAAGGCCTGGACACTACTTAGATCACGTGCCCCATCGTCACTAAACATCAAAGCTGCCTCTTTTTCTTGAATCCAGGCCCTTGTCTCTTCCACGTTCCGATTAAAGGCGTGGATTTCTCTGGCTCGGTCCAAAGCCTCTAGCCGCGAGTTGGTTCTCTCTTTCAACGTATCCCACATTGAACAGACTTCCTCCATTCGGTTTTCAATGGCCTATTAGACGTAAGTATGAAAACTCACTCAAAATAGTTTATTAAAATTATAAAACAGCTGACACTGAATTACCGATTACATTCGGATTCAGATTCAAAATAATGTGCTTTAATTTTAGAAAGGATAAAGGGCTTTGAGGTGGCTGTCACAAAAGTTAATCCAATATCAATAAACATGGACAGGAATGAACAGCAAGGCATATACAGCAAAGTACATGGGTTTGCAATCCCACGATTCAATAAAGAGATAGGCACGCAAGGCGTGCACACGACTACAACTTTTTTTAAAATACTGTGCAAAGCCTTCACATCAATTGACCATTTGGGAATGTACTTGAGACTAGCTCGCTGTTGGGTCGATGTTGGATTAGTACTGGACCGGAGTTGGGTCGGTGTTAAATCAGTGTTAGGTCGATCTGCACTAGGGGACACACCCCGCTCCCTTCTCCTTGAACTACAGAGCCGAAGTTCGAAGTGTTTACCTTTCAGCTATCACGCCTCCACAGGATCAACAGTGTAGAATACATCACTGAAATCACAAAAGCTTCCTTACCTCCCCCTCGCTATTGCCTTCATCCAATAACGCTTGCGCTTGCGCAGTAAGACTTGCAATCCTCTCTCCTGACGTCACCAAGTCACGAGTGAAGTCTTCGAACTTCTTGAGGAGAGTTTCCACGTGCTCTAGATCTCGACCGTAGTCATCGGACATGGCAATCGATTCCCGTTCGGCAATCCACGACTCGACTTCGTCAGCTTCTCGGTAAAAGTTGAAGAGTTGGTTTGAGTCCAGGAGTCTCTGGTGACGTTCAGATGCTTTATCGCTGAGTCGCTGGAAACGAGTTTCCATCTCCGACTGAAACGAAAATATACGAAGTCAGAAGTGCAACTGCTTAATTTAACGAACACATATGGTGCTCGCTGTTGTGCTTTCGTTCCACAGGTTTTAAAGCAAAATAGAGACTCTCTGATAACGGTCTGGGATAATTGTTGTTTAGCTATTCGCCTCAAAGTGTACGTTTTCGTCAGGGTATTTTCACATTATTATCGACGAAAAACTGCTTCTGAACTTAGGTACTGAAGAATTTGGAAGCCAAACAAATGCAGTGCCATGGTCATTTGTTGAAATGTTAGAAGACCTGCTTTCACCAGTCCAGTTTCTCTACTTTGCACTTAAACGTTATGACTGGTTCAAAGTTAAAGGCAAAAGCAAACACAACTTGTTTGCATGCTCCGAATTTAATTCTTTATCCAATAGGCCATTTCCGAGTTCCCAGGGAGCCTCTGTATCAAAACAAGGTTAAGTGCTCAGCCTTTGATAAGGAAATGATTTTTCATTCTCATGCAAATAAAACTCATTTCCTCAAGAAAGGTTGTGCACTTGGCCTCATTTTGAAAGTGAGGGTTTTTGGAACTCGGAAGTGGCCCTTTAGGCACTTTGGAAACGAGAAGGGAACTTGGCCGAGTTAACTTTCGCAAAGACTTCTGGGACCTCCCCAGTAACGATCCCAGACACAATTGCGGGACACATTTCGGCACCAGTTCCCTCTCGTTTCTTAAACTATGGGTGTCCAGATCTTATTTTAAAAAAACATCCACTAAATTTGGGAAACAAAATTATGTATTACCTGGCGCCTTTGAATTCTCTCTGCATCGAAATTCTCGGCCTTCATCAAATCCTGACACGCGTTCTTGAGATCTTCGACCTTTGCTCTGTAACTATCTAACTCCAATTCAAGGGTCTCGTGCTTACGCAGCAGGGACTGGGCACTAGTCTCGTCTCGGCCATAGTCCTCACTCGAAACTCGTGGCAGTTTCTCTCGTATCCAGGTCTCTACTTCAGTCACCTCTGTGTAAAACTGGGAAATGAAGGAATACAAAATTACAAACGAGCAAAGGCTCTCCACGTCTTGGGTTCCGTTTATTTGGGAAAATCCAACTTCCGTGCGGGACCTTTCGCAGCGCACTCGCGCGGAAATGATTACTGTACAGATGACATAAATGCGCACGTGCTTGTGTCTGTTTATTAAACCCGCGGAGCACGTATTTGTCTCCAAGCCGTGTTTGTTTGCTACGCCAAAAAAATTTGCTTCCAGTTCGTTTATAGGTTTCACGAAGCGCGTTTTTTATAAGGTCAAGGGTAAATAACTCTGATACATTGATATCATTAAGAAGAGTTGAAACCAAGACAAGAATAAGTAAGCTTAAATTTTAAAGTTTCAACCTGTTGGGCTTTGAGAGAATCCTGTAATTTTTGCTGTCGAGCCGCTGACAAACTTGTTAGCTCGGCCCAGCTGTCCTGCAACTTGGCACATCGAGCCTCGATTTCATCCGTAGCGTAGTGATCACGCTCTAAAAGCTGCTCAGCGGTGGAAATCACTGCATTGATAAGCTGCTCATGCGCTGTTATTTCTGCATCAACAGCCTCTTGTTTCTTGAGAAGGTTTTGAACTCCTAAAATTGAACGAAGTAAATAACACTTAATAATAAAAAATTGACACCACAAGCGCAATCGCAGTTGACCATAGTGCTATAAATTGTAATGCATAAACATTTGACCTCATTGCATGAAGAAAATCAACAGTGAGCAGTCAAAACTTCACAGCTACATCTTAGGCAACTACAGTCACAAGGGACAGAAGCATTCTGTTTGATCTTAATTCTAGTTTTTATTTTTCTGTGCTGCGACTAAAGCTGTACAAATATTTACAAGTGACAAGTCTTAGCATCCTGCGATCATGTTTCAAGTCAGTCCGGATTATAGTCGAATGGCGCCGACATTGGTTGTGTGGGTAGGAACGATTGTCACCCGAACGACGACGTAGTCTGAAAACGATGTTTCCGAACGAGGCACGAAGTGCCGAATTAAAGGAGTCCTCTGGAATTTGTGACTACATTGTCAGAAAAACGAATTTAGCCGTGCATTTGGTCCCTGTCTACAACCGTACCGATTAGGTTGCGCCCAAGATCATCAGTCTTTACAAGCGGTTCCTTGTCTCGTATCCAGGCAAGCTCTTCTTCCACATTGGCGAGATATCGGTGAAGAACGAGCGAGTCTTGGAGTTTATCTCTCCGTGCTTCAGCTGGCTTGGAAAGACCCACGAACCTAAATAAAACATTCAGAATAGATTCTATTAAATTTAGAATCGAGCTTATAAAGGGATATCGCGCACCAGATCGCTGTTTTGAGTGAAATAAATTGAAAATTGTTTAAATGGATTATCTTCTATTTAATTTCCTTTCCAAAGGTAAGGTTTACAAGGGTCAAGTTCTCCTAATTTTCCACGGCAGTGGGGACCAACAGGAACGGTTTTACAGTAGGAGTAAAAGATGTGGGGAGTGGAAAGTTCATACAACCCTGCCCATCCAAGCCAATACAAACGGAAAGAGAACTGGGAATATAGAGTGTGAAATGTTTGCAGTCCTGACATCCCTGTCTTTCCATCGGGATAAAAAGCACAACTAAAGAGAGGGAATGATCTGGTAGTAGAGAGTACAGGACGTTTCCCGAGCCTCTTTCTTCTCCTCAGGACAACAGGAGCCTTAAAGGACGGTGGGTGCAAGAACAGAAGGACAGTGCACTCATAGAGGTGACATGGACCTCCTAGGAAATGGCGGGAATTGAAAGTACGGGGCATGCATCTGGATGGCTATATCCTTCCCTACGGGTAGATGGGAGCACCAAGAAAGAAGAAGTAGCACAGAGTATGGGAAGAGAGAGACATTCAAAACCCCCGTCTTCTCCCAGGGGTCGAAAAAAAACACAATGAAGGACCAGCAAGTTTTAAGCTAAGGGCGTGTATGGGAGGTAAGAAGTCCCCTCAAAATTCACCACCACCACAGTGGTGATAAAGAGCCCCTGGAAAGAAACAGGAAGTAAGTATAAGATTCTGGGAAACTGCCCACCTACCCTCCCCAAACTCAAAATTTTCAACTAAGCGAGAAGTTAGTATTAAAGATGAGTTGGGGGAGGGTTTGGTGGGCAGTCTCCTAGACTGCCCACCTATCCCTCCCCCAAACCAATTTGTCTAAAAGTGAGAAGTTAGTGTTAAAAATAAGTAGCTGCTCAGTGGAGGTAAACGACATGCATTGGAAGCGGAACGTCAGTGAACTGAAGATTTGGGCCACTTATAGGCAGCGGTTTTACTACTATTCACTCAACTAGACTAGATTTAGTACCTTTCTGCAACTGCTTTGGCCCTGTCTTCAATTTCATCCTTCTCAAAGTGATCAGCTTCCACAAACTCAGCTGCCTGAAGCAAGATTTCGTTTACTCTTTCCTCGTGCGAGGTGATGTCTGCTTCAAGTAACTGCTGCTTTTTTATAAGATTATTGGCACTCTTTACATCCTTACCAAAATCCTTCAAACATACAAATACTCTATCAATCAGAATACAATTTGCTACAAATTAAAACCTAACCTCTCCGAGGTATAATCGCGAAACAGAAGGAGAGGCAGAACTTTTACCGTAACAACTTGCAAAGCATGGAACAGCTTATCTTTACCTGTAAGGCAAAGGGACTCAGTTGACTCTTTAAAATAGCATTGTGGAATGAATTTTTTAAACAACAGCAGAATCTTGATCATTTTTCTATTTAAGTTACTTGATGAACTGTGAGATGATTATAATGCTATATTTTATCTTTTAAATAATTTAGAAGATTCTATAGTATCTGTATTCTTTGGTTTTTAACTTGTATTTTTTATAGCTTAGTATATTCATTTATTATTATATTATTTATTTATTATTTAGAGGCCCACAAGTTTATTAGCCCCGGCTATTTCGTGCTAACCCTCATAAATTAAAGTCTTTACTATTACTACTACTATTACAAATGCTGTACAAGGTGCTCTAACTTTTGAGTGTGTGAGTGAAATCATATAGTGAAAGCTACTGAACAGCACTTTCTTGGATACTATTTATTATGTTGTACAATGTTGCACTGAATCTATGGATGAACTCTTATAATGCGACCATTTATATGAAAGCTACTGAGCAGTACTTTCCTGTGGTACTGTTTATTATGCTGTACAAGGTAGTTCTAACTTTGAGTCTGTGGATGAAATCCTAAAGTGTGACCATTCAAATGAACGCTACTGGTGCAATACTTTCCAGCTTGTGGTACTCTTCACAATGCTGTACAAGGTGGTTCTAACTCTTGATTCTGTGGATGAAATCCTAAGGTGTGACCATTCAATGCAAATGAAAATTACTAAGCAGTACTTTCAGTAAAACGCTCATCATGCTGCAGAGTGTGGTTTTAACCGACTACTAAGATCAGTAAACCGACTAACAATATTATTAACAAGGTTATCCTACGGTGATTACTGCCAAAACTCGAGTTCAATTACTACGTGTTACAGTAAATGTTCATTTTTTTTTTCAAATTCTCCAATAATGGACGTTGATGTACACTAACCTTAGAGGCCAAACTGTTTTCATTCTCTGTTATCCATGACTCCAAATCACCGACATTCTTTTCAAATGTTTGCCGTTGAATAGCTTCTTTGAGCCGCTGACCTTTATTAGAGGACATATCAGCCAGAAACTTCCACAGCTCGTTCAAATCCTTAAGCTTCGCTTCTACGGTTTCACGTGATCGAGGCGTGGAGTTAACAAGCGCCTGCCCTGTGCTGAGCACGTTGTCAAGTTGCCCCTTGTTCGCGGTTAATTCGGCTTCAAATGTTTGGTGTTTCTGTTGCTTCTGTACAAGGTTGGATGTCTCTCTGTAAGAAGCTTCAGACGCTGTTTGTAGTTTCTCGTTCATCCATGATTCAATCTGTTTTGTTTGAGTAAGAAAGCGAATTTAGGGGATAACAATTCGCCACAGTCGGAACGACAAGGAAACTGGGTCGAGTTACTATTGCAAAGGCTTATGGGACTGTTACAAGGGACACGAGAAAAAATCGGCCAATAGCTGACCGGCGCACCTCCAATAGCGATCTCAGAAACAATTGCGGGACGCATTTTGGCTCCAGTTCTAACTACCACACCAACTCACTATCTTTCCCGCTCTCATCTCTTTGCGCCGGCCCCACATTATGAACATCTGGAACAGGCTACCTTCGTTTCTGCGTGGGTGCGACGCGACATCCACGTTTATCGAATAACTTATCACTCACCTCCTCAGCGTCTCTCAAAAACTGAAACAGCTTCCTCGATTCCCCTAAATCTCCAACCTTGGCCGTAGCCAGCTTTTTCAGTCGTTCCCAGTTTTCCAGTACCTCCTTGCACCGTTCGATTATGACATCCGAATCCACGTGCTCCTGCTGTATCAACTGGTCAGAGGACTGCTGTAAGACCTTGATCTTTTCCTCGTAAGCTGTGAGCGATTTTTCAAAGTTGAGTTGATTTTTCAGCAGCGTCTCAACCGTGTCGAGGCTGTCGCTAGATTCTTCTGCTTGTAGAAACGCCTCTTTGGCCGCTATCCACGCGTCTGCTTGATCTGCGTCGCGCAAAAAGAGCTAGAAGAAAATGTTAAAGGTGTATCAGATGTAAGAGACCACCCTGAAAACTTATGGCCAGAAAAGAGGCTTACCGAAAAAGGCTGCATAGGTAGTGACTCATAAGTGACTCATAAGTGACTCATAAATTTTGGTTGGACTACCCATAATAACAGCTCCCATAATACCATACGTTAATAGAGAAGTGGTTGCAACATGTATATGATCTCTCCAGGGGCTAAGTACTATGCAATAATGCAAGGTAGAACCAAACCACCATTGCCCTGCTGAAAAGCTTTCGGACAACGAATCCCTTATCATGCCACCAGCAACAAAACCTCTTAATAGGATTATGCACGGTCCATACTCTACTTCCTTGCTAACATAAACTAAGATCTACGTAGATATCGACCAGCAATTGGCCACTGTGAACTTGCACTAAGCTTTGCTCGTTGTCGTGCCGAATTGAATTATGGGACTGTTTTGGGCGGCGAATTTTGACCCAGTCTTCCGCTACTTTGTAATAGCCAATTATAATGACCCTGTTGACGAAGTTCAGTCATTTCCATATTTAAGAACCTTACGTAGGAGATTACGTTGAATGCATGCGCCGTAAAATAACCAATTAATGCTCCGCATTAAGTCCTGCCTACCACTAAGTGCCAGGATTATGTTCTTCAACTCTTTTATTTTACCCCTTTTCGACTACGGACATTGGAATATATTAAACTCTGCTGCTGATATTTAAGCAGCTATTAAGAGCGGCTTATCTAAAGCTAAATTTTAATACATACTTTTATCCTGCATTATAGAACATTCTGCTACACTATTTTTAGCTAAATGGCTTAGTCTTACAAGAGGATCCCCCTGTAAACCACTTATTTAGTGAAGTTGGCTTCCTCATTAAAGATTCAGAAACTCATTAATAATTCATAAAGAAAAAACAAATTAAATTAATGTTTAAAGAGTTTCTTTATATCTGATAAGACACGGTTAAACTGTACGTCCAATTTCTCAGACCAAAATAAACCCAAATCTAAATATTAATGCAAGAATGAGTTGATCTATATCAGAGATTTTGAAGCCGCTCAAAAAAACTCGCAGTCGTGTATTAACAGGTTTACAAACTCGAGATAATATCGACTCCTCGTTTTTTAAACACTAGTTATCAAAACAGTGCGCAATTCGATACAACACCGACCCAGTCCCATAGTACAATTCGATACAAAACCGACCCAGTCCCATAGTGCAGTTCGACACAACACCGACCCAGTCCCATCGTGCAATTCGACACAACACCGACCCAGTCCCATAGTGCATTTCGACACAACACCGACCCAGTCCCATCGTGCAATTCGACACAACACCAACCCAACCCAGTCCAATCGTGCAATTCGACACAACACCAACACAGTCCCACGCGCAACCAGAAAATGGCTGATGTTTCCTTGGGGTCTTTCCTTGCCTGTATATGATAGATACGCAATGCGTGCATACACCAATCTTACCTGGAGTTCATAAGACTGTGACAACTCAACCTGCTTTTCTTTCCAAGACTCCATCAGCTCGTCTTTCACCAGTGTCATCTCCTCACAATTCTCTTGAATCTCTTCGGCTGCAAAGTGGCCCTGATCCACTAAACTGAGGCCGAATACGTGCGCACTGGTGAACGAATCCATGCGCGCTTCAATAACGCCCTGTAGAAAAAAAAAAACAAAATTAACGTCGACGCAGTTGTGCCAAATTCACTCAGTAGAGACCTTTACATTTGAGGACGAGGAAGACTGCGAGAACGAGATTTAAGTTTTGCGATTTTTGGCGTATTCTCAAAAAGTCGACACCCCAAAAAGCTTTATTGTACTTTTTTTTTTAACAAAAAGCGTTAGCACGGTTATCTTTATTGAAAGAGATTAAGCCCTTTCCCGAGCACAAAATCAAAAAACTTTTAACAGCTAATAACCTGTTTCCCTCACTATCGCATTCTCGCCAAAACCCATAGTAGATAGACGACGGCTATCGCGTTTTCCCGCCAAAATAACTCTGGTTCACGCACGCGCCCTACTTTGTAACAAAATCTCTTTTTCGTAGTCGTCTTCGTCTTAGAATGTTATGGTGTCTATTAGGAATTGGCAGTAGGCACCCTGATAGACCACTTTTACCAGTCGTGGGAAGAAGCGTTGGGAGACGAACAACAGAGTGCCATAACCATTAGTGCGACAGGAAAGATATGACCACAATAGAACAACATGAATGAAAGCATTTGCACATTTGGTACCTTTCTTTCCATGTGTAGTTCAAGCAATGCCTCAGCCTCTCTGACGTTTTTTGCGGGCTCCCCGGATGAAATTCGCATTGCCAAGTCTGTCATCCAGGCCATTAGGTCACGGTAGTCCATTAAAAAGATCTGAAGGAGCCGATTAGCTTCCAATTTACCCTTTCTGAAAAACGAACAGAAACAGCATGTTATAGTAAATGATGCGGGAATGAACGGAAATATGCTAACATTGCTATATAAACTACAGAAATGGTTTTACCAGGGAATTTCTTCCAGAGTCTTAATAATTTAATGCGGGGGTGAAAGGCTAATTCCCTAATAAAATAACTCACTGCAACAGCTTAATCTGCAAAATCTTGATTAATGTATCACTAACACTGATTGAAACTGTGATGTTTTTTATTGATATTTTTCAATGGGTTCCTTGTGAATTTTCTGACAACTTTGTTGCGTGAGACGTTGCTTAGAGTAACACTCTCTAAAACGGAGTGGCAACTTACAAGCTGCACTAATTATTGAGAAATACGAATATGATCCTCTTTCCTTCCACACTTGCTGCCGTGAAACGAAAGAGTTAAAAGACAAGTTACGTTCAGGATGGTCTTGCGACTTGTGCTGCAACAAAATTCTGAGAAAAATTAAGGAAAAAATGCCTCGGCGGGTGTTTTAACGACTTACGCACAATACTATATAGCCTCATTACCTTTCATCAAACAAGTCATTCAGCCTCTCCCAGTTTTCAATGATTTCTGCCTGCTTAGTTTGAATGGCCGGTACCATGAGAGCCTGGGTTCGAGCCAGACGACGAGCCTCACTTTCAAGCGCTTCCATTTTCCCTTCAATGACGCTTAAGTCTCGCTCCAGGTCATCGTGTTTTCTCAAAAGCGTCTCGACACCAGGAAGATCACGGCCAAAATCCTCGCTGGAAAATGTAACAGCCTAGAAAAGAAAGTGCGGGGCTTAAGCAAAGGCATTTTTGAGCGATGCACGTCAAACGGAAGTGAGTCCTTTTTTGCTTTTAATATGCCTTGACGGTACCAAATTTGTATTTCTAAGTATCTTTTCCCTCATAGAGACGATTTGCCCAAAAATTTGGTCAAAATCACGCCCCAGGATTGCGAAAATTCCACTTGCAGTTGATGTGCGTTGATCAAAAACGTCTTTGCTAAAACTCCCTGGTAACGTGGTTACAACCTCGTTCCCAGGGTTCTTTCCTGCTTGTTCCTGAGATGCGAAAAAGCGGAGCTCTGCAGGGTCGAGTAGGAAAGAAGACTGGGATTGACATTGATGTGATTACAGTTCAATGTATTGAACGGGGAAAGATTATAAAGGATTCGTGCTTCTGAAAAAATCTAATTGTCGTAAACCTGGCTTAAACAAAATCAAAAGAAGGAAATAAGTTTCTTTCTGGCTGGCAGCTACAATGGAAGATAATTCCCTCAACTACAAGACTATCCCTTGGCAATGTAACACTGAAAGTGCATATATATGTTGTAGTTAATTTTTTACGCCTACGGATCTGTAAGTAGCTTTCTACTTGGACCTTTGTAAATCTTAGCGACGGCTTCGCCACGAAACCTTGGTGAGATTATACAGAGATTATTTGTCAATATAACTTTTAAACCTGTGGAAAACCCATGATGGTACCTTTCAAATGAAAACTGTTCCATGGTACAGTTGTACTTTTTTTGTAGGGATTTTACGAAAAGAAATTTGAATTTGACCACTTCTAGGAGACAAAGGAGATTTTCTTTTCCGCGTAAAACAAACGAAATAGAGACATGGGGATAAGCTGGTGTAAACGTCGCCGAGAGGGTATATAGCGGATTCAATGAAGGTTGTTTTGGGCATCGGTAATTGGCACTTAGGCATTGGACATTTGAGCTGCCTTACAGAACTCACTGCAATGATTTGCTTGAGTGACCACCAAACAATAATTTCCCCGTGCGCAATTACTCAATGCCCAAAGCAACCTTCATTGAATCATCTATACGCACTAAGTACAAAGAGGTAGCGATACAAATACCTTTTCGTTGATCAAATCTGAAACGTCTTTACAATCCCTGTCAAAGGCATGCATCTCATTAGCCTCCGCTAACTGCTGACGTCGTTCACTAGCTCGGTCCTGGAGACGATTCCAGCGCTCGGTCAGCGCCTGCTGGCGATGGGTGATATCCGCTGATCCAGCATGTCCTTCGCATACGAGTTTTTGAGCCAGTTTATCGATCGCCTCTACCCTTGCTGCCTCTACTGCCAAATCCTTATCGAATGCCTTCATTTTCTTTTGTAAACGCACACAGTGTTCAAAGTCTCGCCCGGTATCTTCTGAAGATACCACTGCTTCCTGAAAATACGGGTTAGAGAACATTCATAAAAGCGACAGCGAACAACAATACAAAGCTGCCATTTCTAGTATAACTTAAAAATAAATTTGCTTACCCATCGACGACGATAACGTAAGAGTAAAAAAATATATATATAAAAGAAAAAAAGAAAAAAAAGAATTATGCACATGAACACACTTTATTGTGCAATTCTTTGCCATCCTCTCTACGACAACGGCGTACGATTTTCTCATTTTTCTTGTTTGAATCCAACAGCCATGTAATAACTAGGTAGGATATAATCGAAACAGGTGAGTGTAGCCCTGAACAGGACTGTTGTTGAAGGTGACTGACGTATCCACAACCTGTGGGGCACTCAACATCCGAGTCACTGAGTCAAACTAACAAAAGTGTTTTATGAAGTTCACAAAATAAGGGGCACCTAAGTCTTTTAGCCTTGATAAAATGCGAAATGCGAGTTCAGTGAAAGGATTAAACGTTTTTCCTCTACATCTGTGCATTTTTTTTTTAATAAAAAGAGGCTCAGTGAATCTTTTTGTCGAAAAAACTAGCGGTAAAAACTTGGCCGTGTTTCCAGATCAGATTGAAAAACGCTATTTCTGCGTCTTCCGCCTTTTTCTCGAGAGCTATTTATAAGTTTTCCAATAACACAAAACTCGCAAATAAGCAGAAGGTTTAATTATGCCTCTTACCTTTTCACTGATACAAGAATCTGCAATATCAACCTCTTGATTAAATTTTTGATGGTCCCTCGCCTCTTCTAATCTCTTGCCCTTATTGGCTGACGCTTCAAGCAGTTCTTCCCAATGAAGATACAGTGCCTCGATGCGACGCTCCACTTCCTCGGCTGCAAAGTGCCCGGATGTAATAAGCTCTTCACCAGTCTCTCGTACCGCGTCTATAGCCTCCTCGTGAGCGGTCAGCTCGGCTTCAAAAGCCTGGTGTTTCTGAAGTTTGCTGTCTAAGTTCGCAGGGTCTTTGTAACTTTCATCACTAGCAGTTTGGAGCTTTTCAGTTATCCAGGATTCCGCCTAGGGAGACACGTAGCGCAACCTTTACCACAACACTATACCAAAGTTAACTTAAGTTACAATTCGCCACTGCGTAGCTGTCGCGCAATTGTTTCTGGGATGGTTAGTGGGGACGCGCCGGTCAGCTGCTGGCTATTTTTTTTACCTGTCCATAGTAACAGTCCCAGAAGTCTTTGCGAAAGTCAACTCGCCCCAGTTTCCTTCTCGGTTCTGAAGTGGCGAATGGGCAATTTAATTTTTCTCGCAACTTGAATCGAAATTTTGTGAACAGCCCTGTTCTGAACATGACTAACAACATTGCCGTTAAAGCAAGCGTTTCACGAAGAAAAATCAAGAACTTTAATGTGACTAAATGGGTAAAATCGAGCCAATGTGGTCAGCGGCTTCACCCTACCAAGCACGTGTTCTGCGGGGGCAGCCTCCTAAGGTTACAGGGCTTTTAGTTTTGCTTTCGTCGTGGGTCATTGCGGATCCGTTGGATGTTTATTTTTCAGCGGTTGCTATGGATACCCGTTCCTAATTAGTAAAGTGACAGTGCATTGGTAATATAATACATTTTAAACAGCGAATGACAGCATAGGCTCTGAAGTAATTTGCTTAGCTTTTGCAAATTTCCCAGTCCCTTTGGCCGAGGTTACACATCCTGCACGTCCCTAGAATAATCCATATCCGGGTTAAAAAAAAATCCCTTTCAAAACGAGGCTAAGAGCAAAACGTTTCTCATCAAAGTGAGTTTTATTTGCATAATAATATGCTTTGAAACAGAGGCTTGGGACGACTCGGGAATGGCCTCTTAGAAATGTTCTCGCAGGAACTGGAATGAACAGAGATTTACTGCCCTCACCTCAACAACGTCTTGGTAAAACTGCGCAATCTTCTTTGACTCTTCCAGTTTGTTTCTCCTCTTTCCTAACTCTTCTTTCAATTTGTTTCTTCGGTCACACACGGCTTTCACTCGCACCTTCATCATGTCAGATTCGTTATGACCATTCTCAACCAACGTTTCACCAAATTCGCAGAGATTGGTGATTTTTTCATCTTGCGAGGCTGTTAGCCTCTCGATATTTTCGTGCTTCCTGAGTAAGCAATCAACCTCGTCAACACTGTCACCGAGCTCTGCCCCAGCAAGCACCACCTGAAATTGGGGAAATAAGATCTGACAAGTGAACAATAAACATTAGAGAGATTAAGATTCACGTTTACCGCAAGCGAAAAATGTCAGACTCAAGCTGAGAATTTCTCAGAATAGAAAATAAGTAGATAAAAACAGTCCCGAACGATTCCAAAAGTTAAAACTGGCATAAAACTACTATTTTTGTGTAGAAGCAATAAAGATTAAACGGAAAATAAGGGAAAAATTTGGTCATGTGGTACAAATTCACGTCTGCCGTTTGGCGTAAACATGAATCTTAATCTCTCTAATAACGATATCATCCAATGACAATTGCACTGTGGGTCTGTTTTAGGGGACGAATTTTGACCCAGTTTTCTTTGTAACATTGTATTAGCCAACAGCAGAGGCGATAGCGTCCCCCAAACAGACTAATTGAGCAATTCAACAAAACACCAACACAATAACCTTCAAAATGACCGGTACCATTATTTAGGCAAACGCACAGAAAATTTTCCTCCAAACAAGTTGGTGATCGTTTCACGTTTGTTGATAAGTGAGTGTTCGGTTTGATGACGACAACTCAACAAGGAAGCACTGTCAATTTGGGTAACCGAAATAACAAGTATTATGTAGCAAGGTTTTAGGAACCATAAATGCAAAGAAAACTTTGCTCAGTTTTAAAACCTTGGTAGCAATCTAAAGAGACCTACTGCATAGTAGCGAAGCGTTCGCGCGGGCAAAGCTAGCCTCCTCCACTTCGGTGAATAATTGTTATATATTACCTCTTGGGTACTGGTGAAGGTATCAATCTGTTTGGCGTCTCTGAGAAAAACGTGCAGGTCATAAGCTTGGTCTAGTTCTGTCTTGTGGTCTTCCCATGTTGCGTACAAACTTTCACGCTCTGTAAGAAGCAGCTCCAACTTCTCTGCGATCTGAAAAGATGACGATACCATTTTAATACCTTTAAACTATTACGGTAGTCTATTATAAAATATGAGCACAGCAAAGTAAACTTTAAGAGCTTTAAACTAGTGGATGGTCGTGGTTACCTCATCAGCTGCAAAGTGTCCATTATCGATCATCCTTTCACCCGTCTCCATGACCTTGTTAAAACCCTCCTCCCTCGCGTCCATTTCAGAGCGGTATTCATCAATCCGCCGTAAGAGCGTTTCAGCATCTGTGACGTCATGAACTGGCTCTCCAGATGAGATGGTGCGACTCATGTCAATACACCACGACACTAAGTCCCGGATCTGATCGCACAAAGAAAAAAATAACAAAATGGGGCTTTTCAGATAAACCTACAGAAAGGCCTTTTACGCAATATAATGTATTTAAACTCTATTTTGAAAGGGTGTTTTAGTGTTAAAAGATTTTGACCAATCATTAGAGTTTCAAACAACAGCCAAGAAAAGTTTACAATTTTACATGTTTCCCACATAGGACTTCTTTTTTTATTCAGACTGAGAGGAGATTTTGTTATATGGAAGTTGGTTGGAAAAGTAAGGATGAATACATATACTGCTTTATAACGTTTTCATAACTTTTGCTTTTTAAGCCAATCAGAAGTATAGTAAGGACAATTCCAACATGTTCATAGCCTTTGTTCCTTTCCTTCTTATCTGGACCGTTACTTAATGATTTTGTTAGAAGATGACTCTCCTGGACCCTTGCCCACTGGGCAGGTAAGCTTTAAGAGTTTCTTGCCTAGGAAGAAAATCCACTCGTCCCAGACTAGCGGACTGACTACGAATGGGACTTTTTGCGAGCCCTGAATACAACTGTGCAATGGCCTAGAAGGAACTTAAAAAAGCTGGTCATATTCTCATCACCCAACTTGTTGGACTTTCGTAAACTCACAGACTACACGTTATCAAAAATTGATGTAGTTAACCTCGCCATTAAGTTTGTGAAAGTCGTTGGAGTCCTGCAGCTTGCATTTCTTCCTGGTCGTTTTACGATCAAGTTCATTCCACAAACCCAAGACAAACTCTTCGTGCTTTTTGATTGATTCAGCAGTGTGACCTAATTAAACAAATACGGTCAAACGTAAAAACTAGAGGTTATATATTGTAAGTACAATGCAACAAGCAGATGTTGAGCAGTAAAAACATCACCCTAGAAACGATGAACTGGCAAGGGAATTTTGCTAATTACAAACCCTTTAATCAGGTCAATTAAATAAATATATAAATATAATAAACAACGATTTGAAGGTAGCACATCCACATAGTGGTTCTTCGTCTACCTGATTCCTGGTCGAATAGGAATTGGAAATGTTGGTTTTTGGGGAGAGGGGAAAACCGGAGTACCCGGAGAAAAACCACTCGGAACAACGGAGAGAACCAACAACAAACTCAACCCACATATGGCGTCGACGCCGCGATTTGAACCCGGGTCACATTGGTGGGAGGCAAGTGCTCTCACTACTGCGCCAGCCTTGCTTCCAATTAATAGTTTGGGATAAAGGATTAAAAGGGAGTCCTAAAGTCACAAGTTCTTTGTGATTTAGGTCATAATTGGCCAGTTTACAGTCATATGAAAATAAATTGAAAATGTTAGCGCGCCACAAAATGCGATACTTAGCGCAATTCAAATTATGCAAAAGGTGTGTTACGATTTTCAATTAAATTATAATGATATCGCCGGCCATTTCTGTTAAAAATCATCTCGACACAAAAATCGAGATTGCAACGCCTATATAGCGACAGGACACCCAAGGAATTCGTGATTAGTGTGCTGCTTGCCTGGGGGCTCGTAGCAATTGTAATCATGCTAGTCTTGACGAATCAAATTATACCGTAAAATTCCGAAAATAGGCCCCTCCAGGTATAAGGCCCCCAAACTCGTAACGCAAAAAACCCTCCGCTAAATCGCCCCTCAAAATATAAGCCCCCCCGGGGGGCTTGTACTTGGAGATTGCCCTCAAATACAAAGTAAAACAAAGCAAAAACAGTCAATTTCTTTCCAACTATAAGGCTAGCCCAATCGATTTTGAAACGCAAATTTCCCTCCGTAGATAAGCCCCTCCTTATATAAGCCCCTCCAAAAATAAGCCCCTCAAAAAGAGCCTTTGAAAAATATAAGCACCGGGGCTTATTTTCGGAATTTTACGGTATGTAGAAAATAGTAACAAGTATAGAAAATAAAGCATGTTAATAGCTTCACCTTGGTAGGCGACCTGTAACTTGGCTGACTGAGCGCTCAGTGTTTCAACTTGTTTCTGTACAACTACCAAGTCTCTCTCGTGCCCCTCATGTTTCCTCTGAAGGCCCTGGACACTAGCCATATCTCGTCCCAGATCCTCCATGGAAAGCGACGCATCCTTCTCTTGGAGGCGAGCGATTAACTCATTCAGGTCTCTGTTGAAACCATGGATTTCTGCCGCGCTGGCCAGTCGCTTGGTGCGGATCTTGATCTGATCTTGCAACTGGGCCCACATTGATCTGCAATTATATCGATAAGCATAGAGGGGTTACAAAAGCACTACGTGCCAGCATGCAATTCAATTGGCCCCTCCAGAAATACCATAACATACCATAATGCCCTTTGTTTGTCACTCCAAAATTTTGCATAAGCATTGTCTTCAGTTTCTCTTGGGAGTTAAAATGGCCCCAAGAGAAACTGAAAACAATGCTTATGCAAAATTTGGGGTGAAAAACAAAGAGCATTATGGTATGTTATGGTATTTTCTGGAGTGGTCAATTGGCAATTAAACTGGCCATGTTGAAGAATATCCGGTTAACGACGTGAACTTCGCTTGTTGTCTTTAGAGGATAGAAGATTCATTACTGAAAAATTTTACTTTCAGGTACTAAGAAAACGTCCTCCATACGAATTTAGCAGCTCTAGTCGACACTTACATTGTGATTTTGTAAAACAATACTCCACAAACCTGAGAATATCTTGCTGTTCCTTGATGACTACTGTGTCTGTATGTCCCTCAGCAACCAAACGCTTGGCAAAGTTGTCTACTTCACTGAAGCGTTCTGCTTTCGCTGTTACACTGCGTTTGAAATCCTCAAACTTGCCCTGAATCGTCTACGAACGAAATATAACACAAGATTCACCATTTCACGCAACAAAATGGATAGGTCATGAAAATACAAAATAAAAACTCATAAATCAACGAAACTCACGAACAGCCGTATCAAGACAAAGAGATGAGGTCCTGGAACTAGAGACGGTCAACAGCGTAATAGGAGGATCACGTGATGGAAGATCGCGTGACCAACAATACACCAATGATGCTGAAGTTGTGATGCAAATGAAGTGTTTCTTTTTCTAACAACTTTTCGTTCCACAATCATTTAAAATTTAGAGCTATGCAAGGCTTGATATGGCCAAGTAACTTTTTATCCTTTTACTCACCTCTAAATGTTCAAAATCTTTCCCATAGTCCTCAGTAGCAGCCACGTGAAGCTGCTCATTGATCCACTCAGCGGTTTCATTCACTTCACGCAAGTACTGATGCAGCTTTTTGGACTCTTCCAATCTGTGAAGCCGCGAGTTGGTCAGCGTCTGTAGGCCTGAAAACTGTTCTTCAATATCACGCTACAAAACAAAAGGAGATAGACAGACAAATAGATAGACAAATATCGTGAGGAGCGGGAACCCGAACGCAGTTTGAACCCCTCACGGACTTATAATACGGGTGGGGCTGTGGTTGTGACTAGAATGGATACCTTAAATCAGGTTGGACACCTCATGTTTATTACACAACGTTATATTCCTGGTAGAGAACTTTATAGCGAATTTATTGGGCAGATTTTTGAGAAAAGTGGGGAAGTCAGAGTAAGAGACAGTTGTTCAAGGAAAAGAGTTGAATACAGGGTTTAGCACCGAAGTACAGTCATTAGGGTTAAAAACGGTTAGCTTTCAATAATCTAATGATCAATTCCATGTAAAGTACGTTAAAATCAACCGGTGTGGGCAGTTAGCCCTTGATGGTTTAAAGGATACGGATGTGGATTATACATCAAATGATGCGCGTTCAAGTCCTACATACCACCTAATGTTTTCCTTCTTATCTTTGACTCCCATTATGTATTTTGAGTGAAGATAACATCCTGATTTTGGGGTATCAATTTTAGTCACAACCGTGGGGCTATTCTGCGTGTCGAATTTGTGGGACCTGTGGAGGGTTTTGTAATCATTTTTTCTCCCCACAAGCTTTCGGCGCAGTGATTTCTGGGATAATTTGAGGGTAAAAGCGTTAGTTTTGCTTGGTCGACCGTATTCAGGGCAACCACTATCCAATCATATGTAACACTTGGCCACCCACACGATCTAAGAAATCGTAGCGCCGAAAGATTCAGTAATTTTGCTACCTCTGTGCCCTGTGTCCCTGACGCATGAGAATCCCCAAGGACGCAAGATAATTCATGGTATGCGTCCCGTAGGACGCAAACAACGATCGACGAATTTGAAGATTTTTTGCGGAATATCCTGTTTCAAGATGCATATTACAGTGAAACCCCGCCTTACGGCCACCTCGGTAATACGGTCACCTCGTTATTACGACCACTTTTTTTTGCCGCTGGTAAGAACCGCTATACATTTTCTTGTACAAAAAAATTTGGCCCATTGGTGACCGACCGTATGAACGGGGTTCCTCTGTAATTTTTAGTCTTTTTTGAGCTTTAAGTATATCTGATTAGGACTACCGTATTTATTCGAATAAGCGCCCAACCTCGAAATAGCGCCCACCTCGAATAAGCGCCCATCCTAAAGGCAGAAAAAGTTAATAAGCGCCCACCCCCTCCTCCTCCCAATCAAACTCAAATAAGCGCTCACCCCCACCCCACTGACTTGAGTGAATAAATTCTAATAAGAGACTTCCCCGAGGACGGAGTTTTCTTCAGCGTAATTTACAGAAACCTTGGTTTGTTACTTCTTCGCGTTTTGTTATTAGCATTTATTGTTCTGTTGCAAAATGAACATACTACACTTGCTGAAAATGGTGAAAATTTAATAAGCGCCCAGCCTCGAATAAGCGCCTACTCTCAAGGTCCAAAAATTTAATAAGCGCCCAGGGCGGTTAATCGAATAAATACGGTATATTTTAATTTCAGTAAACTGTGATAAAGAGTTTTGGGGTCTGTCTCCAGATTAACTGTCTGGTTACGTACACTGTAATGGCCCAAGTATTTTCAATTTATGATTCCTTGTCTTCTTGAACTAGGACTCATTGGTTATGGACAGAGACTGATGATTTTCCACAAGATGAGTCCCCGTACTCACCATAACTATTTGCAACAAAATCACTGAGGATTGCACCCAATCCCTTTATAGTTTCTGAATTCTTATCTCTTACTATACTCTCTACCTGTCTGGTTGCAATCTTTGCCGCAGCAAAATGGCCACTATGTATCAGTTTCGTTGCCTGCTCTGCAAGTGCTTGAATGATTGGGTTGTATGAGTTTACAGCTGTCTGCAAAGCAGTATGCTTGGTCAGCAGCTTCCCGGCGGCTAATTCATCTTTTCCGTAATCCTGATTGGCTGCCAGTCCCGCCTTGTCATTCATCCATGAGTCTGCTTCGTTTGCTTCTGTAAAGTACTGGAAATAACAAAGATAAGATCAACAATTGAACGTCAGTTCTGTGATACATTTCGTCGCTCTACAGCACGCTTTTCAGCTTTTCCACCTTTGAAGTTCACAATAATAACATAATAATTCCCTAATTTACTCTAGGTAGCATATTTAGCGCAAAGGCTAGTGGGACAAAGCAAACGGCTGAAACAAATAATTTAAACTGAATATAACAGGGTTAAGAATCCCAACTGCCTATTTACAAGCATGGTCGAGGATTTGACCTCGGGAATTTCGTGAACAAATTCAACTAGTGGTGGAATGGGGGGGAATTGAACCCAGGGCCTACGGATTGCAAGTCCAGCGCTCTGATCTCTGATCTCTCGGCCACGCTAACAACTCGGTGATTTACACATACCACCTGTTTCCAAGTAAGATCCTTGGTGGACATTTCGATTGTGGATAGAGCATCTTTCGTTCCAATACATTTATTTGGGAAGATTTTAGCATCGAGAAATTTCAGTTTTACCGCGGATTTTTTTCCAAATCGACACCTCAGTAACTAATATCTGGGTGCAACTTCAGCAAAATTAAATTAAGTTGGCAAAACCTTCGAGAGGCCTTTTAGGGCAAAGTGTCTCAACCAATTTTGACGCCGATTGTAGCCCGTGTCGAATTCTTACATTTTTTACTCACAAATTACACATCTATGAGAAGAGATAAAACATTTAGCCAGAGAAAGGTTATTCAGAAAGCTGTCGCTCACTCACCTTCTGTGACTCTAGAGCATCATTTAGTTTTTGCTTACGTTCAGCGGCAGCCCCCATGAGCGACTCCCAGCTAGTACTAAGTTCCTCACAGCGCTCTTCGATTTCGTCAGAGGCATAATGATTGCTGTCAATCAAATCCTGACCAGAAGCCAGCACCGTGTCGATTCTAAACTGATGATTGGACAGCTCATTTTCAAAGGCCTGAAACACAACAATCCGAACAACAGGAAGCGTTAACTGCGTGATGATTCATGGCTATAGTTTTTTTTATCTGACTAAAGAAAAAAAAGATGGAAAATGGAGACTGGGCAGAAGAAGAAGAGTCTGCCAATGCAGACCTTTTCACTTTATTCCTTCTACTCCCGTCGTCAACTAACGTTCCCGTCCTGTTGCTAAATCAGCCTAAAGTAACTACCACCTCGACGGCATAGATGTCAACAAAGCTTAGCAATAAGTTAAACGAATCTTATTGTCTCTGGCGTCGCGTAGTCGCTTCGTGAAATCAGCCTATTAGGTGAAACACCATTGTAATTGTGTCATTGAAATTGTGACTATCAAATTGCAAATCGCAGACGTTTTTGTCGTGCTTATCGATGCCCACTTGCACTTGGCTATGTTTTATACACGCTGTTACAATGTTTTACCAAGTGTCTTTTTTGCAGTCTTTGAACTCCAATCAGACTAGTTCCCAAGTCTTCTGATGTGGCCAGGGTCATATGTTCTCGTATCCAGGCCATCTCCATTTCAAGGTCATAAAAGAACTGGTGAAGACCTAATGAGTCTTCAAGCTGAGACTGGCGGTTGGAAAAAAGCTCTTTTAACTCGTCAAACCTAAAACAAGAGTTAAGAATAAGCAATTCAGGGATTGATTAGACCACGTCAAAGGGTCATTTACACAGGCGCCTTTTGCGGCGATTTTAAGCGCGATTTTAATTGGCCTGTGTAAACTAGCGACGATTCTATAGGAGCATATGCCATGTTCATAATAAATAACCCTTAGATCATGGGGGTGGGTAAGGAAGTATTTTTGTAACTCACGTGTAGAGATCGTACATAGATCACAGACACGGGCGATTTGAAATCGTAAAAACGGACCCTTAAGATAAGCCAAAACTAAATGAACATTGTACAAAATATTATTGTCCAGTTTTTTGTGGTGTCTCATCAAGCCGATTAGGAATTGTTCATTGCATAAAAAACCGCCATGGGCCCCGTTTCTGGAAAGTTTCGGTAATTAATGGGCCTAAAAAAACCGGTTTTCCCGTTGCTGAGTTTACAATCAAGATCGAGGTTTCAATAGGTTTATTTTATTTTATTTTATTTTATTAGCTGCGCTTATTACTGAACAATGAATGATAAATGCTGAATAGGAAGGGGTGCCACAGCAGCGGTGAGCCAGTTACAGTGGTCCCAGGTTTGTTGATGATAAGATGAAACTATCAGTTAACAAAACAAAATGGACAGGTTTGTTAGGCTGCTGTAGGAACGGCACTTTTGTTCTTTCGGTTTCGATCTTTACATTTAGCTTCAAGCCCAAAAAGTTACCGGGACTTCGAGAAACGGGCTCCGGGGCCTCTTATTTCTATACAGCTCTTATCTGGAAAACAAGAAAGACAATTTTAATGTGAATCATTACCTCTGCAAGATAGTCTCTGTCCCCTGTTCAATCCTACCAGCATCGAAATGCCCGCCATCAATCAAGCCCTGGGCGGCATCACAAAGAGACTGGATCTGAGTATCATGCAGTTCGATATCAGTCCCCACTCCTTGGTGTTTCTTGAGAAGGAACTTGACACTAGACAGATCATGGCCAAGGTCTTCAACAGACATCAGCGTCTCCACTTCGTTCATCCACACCTGGTGAAAAGGACACAAGAAAGGTGCATTTGACTGACTTTTCTTTCATCCCAGAATAAGAACTAGAGCCTAGTTCTTAAGTGTTCTCTCTTGTCTCTTTGACCGCGCGAAGCCGCTGTCACGAAGTCTTGGGCGGCTCGTTCTTCTCGGTGACGTCAAAGCGCGAAAGTAGATTCCAGTTCTTACCGAACCGGAAAATTCATCATGGTTTCATTCATAGGCATCATCATTCATTCATAGGCATTGTTTACTGTTTGTCTCACGATGGTCACTAAAGAGGTTCCCTAAAGAGGTGACTAGTGAGACAAACCTTAAGCAAAGTCTCTCGAGCAATGAATTACAAATCAAAACGGATGAAAACAGCTGCGAACCTGGGTTATACCCCACCAAAAATGCAACTTTACCAGCAACAAAGTGAGTGTGTTGGACTTGTACGTATGAGCAAAGCCAGTCATTCTGTCTACAGACACCTTTTCTGAGAGTACGAACAACTCACAACTCTCCAACAACTTCACACTAAATAACCAACCTTCGTATCTTCCATGGTCCTGTTAAACTGCTGCTGTTGCTGAGCCTGCTGTAGCTTGCCACCCTTGTCAGCGGACTTGCTGACTAAGTCACTCCAACCTTCATTTAAACCTCTCAAAAGGTCTTCTATTTCACTTGCGCCATAATGACCCTCTCTGATGAGTTTTTTGCCACACTACAAACCAATAGTGAAATAATAATTAATTATTTGTTTTTACAATAATTACCCGTTTTATTAGAAAATTGGCTTTTGAGTATGTGGATGAAATCCTATGGTCTCCTTGAAACACGGTGGCACTGTCCCACTTCCCAACCAAGTACCTCCTGGGCGAGAACTTCGTAATAAGCGAAGCTCTAGAGGGAAGCTCTAGGGGGAAATTTCAAGAAATGCCTTTCAGACGTCAAGTTTTCTAAGCCTGCGATCAGTTGAATAACGTAACTTGAGCACTTAAAAAAAACATCTCATCTAAATGTGTTGTACACCTGAGCCCGCGATAGAGCGCGTCACACTGGTCAGCGGATACCCTATTTTGACAGCTGTCAATTGATCATAACATTGATATCCAATATCAATTTAGACACAATTTGTATATGCCTTAGACTTTAAAGGTAGTAAGACATCATAACACTATAAGAAGTTTACCGCATTGATGCTGTCAAAGCCATTCTTGTTGGCTGCAATTTCAGCTTCGAATGCTTGATGTCTCTGAAGTTTCCGCTGAACATTTGTCAAGTCTCTGAATGACTCATCAGTTGCAATTTGAAGTTTCTCTTGGATCCAGGCCTCAAACTGAGAATGAAGAGCACATGGAAGTTACCAATAGACCTTTTTAACTCGAATGTTTTGTTTTTCCAATTCAGATCAAGTCATGCATATGTTGTGGTTTGATGTAGAATATTCTCACTTGTTTCAGACTCATTAACACACCCGCAAGCAAAGGAGAACAAAATTTAAACCAAGGATAACATTGAACCCTAACACATACATGCGCACGTGGATAAGAGGACTTTTGAAAGAAATAGTTCTCTGAAGGAACATCACATGGTCTAAAATAAGAAAACAAAACGTACAAGCTACAATCCATCAGATCCATATCGACAAAATTGTTGAGACACCAGTGATCTCACTAGCCTAGTCCCTGTACGGCGTATAGATACTGACGTATCCGACACGAAAAACTTTCTCGGATAACGTGACCCGAAACGCAACGGCCACTCACAATAATGAGGCGTAGGTACTAAGCGAGACACTTACCTCAACTAGGGTGACATCAAAGAACAAAACAACCCAAACCCCTCCCCCATCCCCTCCGTTTGAAGTTGGGTGTTTATTTTTTCCTACAGGTAGCTCGAACAAGACCACAACATTGCGTGGAGAGGGAAAGTTTTATTTTCCCTTTTTTAAGTCGGCAAAACGTTGTAAAGGCCCTTTAGGGCAAAGTGTCTCAACTAATTTTGTCGCCGATTGTAGAAAGGTCTATTATTGTAGTTTGAATAAACGATTTGAAGAAAGGAACTTTGGATGCTTAACATGTAGCTGAGGAAAAATCCAGGTACCTCTTGAGTATCTCGCTTAAAGTTTTGAAGTATCTGGGATTGTTGTAGTTCCTGCCTTCTTTCTCCAGCCAGTTGCTTGACATTTTGTCTTCTTTTAACAACTTCATCTTTGCGTTTGGAAATCCTGGTGATATAAAAGAAATCATGTGGTTCACAGGAGATTTTTGTAAAACGCAGTAATAATAAGAAAGTTCAACTGACAAGGAAAAGGTGTGTTACAGCCACATGATATCTGTGCAAAAAAGGGCCGGAATAAGAAATACAGGTGTAACCTGATGAGCACGGTGTTTTACGTAGTCTTGTACAATGATACCTGATCTTTTAAAGACAACAGTATCCTTCGCAGTCGTTTGTAGCGTTGAGTGACCAAAAACAGGTACGTAGGAAACTAGGGGTGCTTTACCACTTCTACAAACCATCCAGTTAGAAATCTCGTGCCTAAAAATTTAGCAACTTGTAATGGCCAAAGGTTAGGGAGTGCGGGCGAGACCCATCAAAGGTCAAAACGCTCTTGCTCAAATGCCATACGCTCTGCTTTGCGTAAGTTCCACGTGATAATACGTCCAAACGCGCATGATCAGGTTGCGTTCTAGGCATTCCACTCATTCTTAGTGGAATTCCAAACGAATGCTGGCTATATCATATATATATATATGTTGCGCATGAGTAATAGCTACTTAAAGACGAGGATTGCGATTGGGATTTCCTCACGTGTCAGGTATTTCGCAAACCGGAGCGCCCTCCAGTCTTGGTGTTACTTACCAGGAAGATTGTCGATAACTACACATGCACGCAATAAGCTAATTAAAGCTAACAAATGTCTTTTTATACTGAGATCATTAAGAAACCTTTTGCCTAAACTGAAGGTCACAGAATACAATCTAAGACACATATCCAGTCACCGGCCGAAAATGAACACGGATTGAGTTAAGAACTCCTATTTTAACCGTCTAATTTTTAAATGTGACCTATCTTTGTAGTTATTTTGGAAACGAGTTAATACTGTAAAATAGTAAAATTTAATACTATTAAATCATATTTAATGTAGTTAACGACCAGGAGCTATGGTCTCGGGTGTTTTTGGCATTCTTTGGTAGTGCGTTGGTCATCTGTAGCGTTGTGCGTGACTATGTTTGCGTTTGTAGCATTTACCATTGTTCATGAGCTGGAGGGCAGATTCCTGTCCAGCGGTATGTCGCTTTGGCGCATGCGGAGGCCACGTGCCTACGTTGTGTTTGCGTTGTACTCGAAGTTTTGTTAGCGTGGCGTGGCGTGGCGTTCCAGTAGCGTAGCGTTTCTCTTGGTTCTGCCCTAGTTTTGGTTAGCTTGGTTTCTCAGTTCGAGTAGCATAGCTTTTTCTCTTGGTTCTTTCAAAGTTTTTTCCGGTCGAAGTGGTTTTCGTTGCCGTGGTTCGTCGTTTTTCCTGTTGTGGTTCGTCCTCTGCTGGGGAGTTTTTGGTTGTCCTCTGTAATGCCGCGCCCATCTCGTTCGACCAACAACAGCTTATCGGCGGGCCTTCCTACCGAAGACCCCCTTCCATCTACGGCATCGTCTGAAAGTCCTGTGTCGAGTACGGCTTCTAGCTCTTGGTCGCCTCAGTTGGCTGACTCCCTCACCGAGGCTGTGGTTCGGGCAATCGGAAACTCCATTCCCGCCATTATTTCATCGATCCAGAGAAACGCCTCCTCGCAGGCTTCTTCTTCGGTTCCAAGCGTTTCTGCTAGCGGGGCTCCACAACCTTTATTTTCTTCAGCGTCCGCTTCGAGTGTGAGTACAGGTGACGGTGTTTCTTCGGTGGCTTCAGGTACGTTTACCCTTCCCGCGTTTGTTCCTACGTTTACGCCAGTGCCGGCCATTACCGTCTCGAGCTCGGCCCGCCCCGTGGCTCCTACTCCCTCCACTTTCGTATCGCTCGGCGTTACTAGCGGTCTTCCAAGCCTTGAGTCTTCGTTGGCATCTCCCAAGTCTGAGAAGGCTTTTATCGTTGGTCCGGGGCATGCCCCTATTCCCTCAAAACTAGTGTCAAAAATTGTAGGCGGCCAGTTTGTCGAATTGGCAGATTTGTTGTCCGTGAACCTTCGCGCCGTGGAGCAGGAGCCGCAAACGTTCCTCGATGGTAAGCTCGTGGTGTCCTCGTCAAAACGCAGGCAAGTGGAAATAAAAGACATTTTGACTTGGACGGAAGCCTTTACTATTTTTCAGATGGTGCTGTGTGCAGCTCACCCTCATCGTTGGCCCGATCTCTCCAAGTATAAGCTGCTTATCATTCAAACGGCTCGTCATTTTTCTAGTTCAGCTTGGTTAGAGTATGACCTGGCGTTCAGAAAGGATGCGGCTGCCTCTGGCCTCAGTGACTGGTCAAGGATGAACTTAGACCTATACAACTTTCACTTAAGGTCTCCAGCCATGGCCTCACCCCCGCCACCTCGGTCGTCTTCTTCCACGGCATCATCTCCACTTCCTGCCGCCTCCCGTGACACCAGCCTGGTCCCTCCTTTTTGCCATTCATGGAATGACGGGCAGTGCCGCTGGCCCTTTGGAAGGTGCAAATATCGACACCGCTGCAGTAACTGTGAGGGTGAACACACCCAGATCAATTGTCCATTTCCCAACTCCTCTAGCCCACGATCCCGATCTCCCCAACCCAGGGGGAGAGGGGGACGGTACTGAATGGGCAGTTTTGCCCGGTGAGGCTTGTGTACATAGTGTAAATAGTTCTGTTGCGTCGTCAAGGGGGCAGCGTGATCTGCGTTCCTCTGTGAAGCCGTCTTGTTCTGTTATAGTTCCAGTTAGTATACCCAGCGTTGCAGTTTCGGTTCATTCTTTCTCGCCATTAGCCCCAGCCTTCCAGGTCTCTCCATTACGGTTGGCTCAATTTCAGACAGAGCTGCAGCATCATCCTGACCAGGCAGCAGTGGCCTATGTGTTGTCCGGATTACGTGAGGGTTTCGTATTGGCTTTGAGTCGTCCATGGTCAATCTGAAGTCCGCTTCTTCGAACATGCGTTCCTCCTTCGAGCACCCATTTGTGATAGACTCCTACTTGCAGACCGAAGTTTCCTCCGGCAGGGTGGCTGGCCCCTTTTCAGCCCCTCCTTTTCCTTCTCTACACATCAGCCGCTTTGGGGTCATTCCCAAGAACAATCAACCGGGCAAATAGCGTCTCATCCTTGACCTCTCCTCTCCTGTTGGGCACAGCGTGAACGATGGCATTCCCAAGTCTCCCTTCACAGTGCAGTACGTTTCAGTCGATGCAGTTATTGAGGGCATCATGGCGTGGGGTCGCGGAACACTAATGGCTAAGTTTGATGTGGCCAGTGCATACCGGAATGTGGCTATCCATCCCGACGATCGCCCCTTGCTGGGGATGCAGTGGCGTGGGAAGTACTTTGTCGATCTGGTTCTCCCGTTTGGGTTGCGTTCAGCGCCATTTATTTTCACTTCTATTGCGGACCAGGTTGAATGGATCTTGGTTCATAATTATGGTGTGGACTTCCTACGCCACTACCTGGATGACTTTTTTACCCTTGGTCCACCGTCATCCCCGCTCTGCCACTTCTATTTACTTACCTGTGTTCGCCTTTGCGAAAGGCTTGGTCTCCCCCTTCATCCTGACAAGGTAGAGGACCGACGACTTGCTTAACTATCCTCGGGATTGAACTCGACTCCGATAGGCTTGAGGCTCGCCTGCCCACTGATAAAAGAGACCGGATTGTTGCCTTACTTGAAGAGTGGTCCACAAAGCGTTTCTGTAAGAGGCGGGAGTTGGAATCCTTGATTGGCCACCTCCATCAAGCCTGCAAGGTCGCCCCACAAGGGAGGACTTTTCTTCGTCGGATGATTGACTTGCTTTGTGCCTTCCGCCTGGACGATCACCCCATCAGGCTAAACCAAGAATTCCGTCGGGACCTTACCTGGTGGCGGGAGCTTTTTCAAACCTGGGATGGCCTCAGTTTCTTTTGTATGCCCACGTGGGCGCCCGTCCCGGATTTCCAAGTCTCGTCGGATGCTGCAGGGTCACTGGGCTATGGGGCTATTTTTAACACCAAGTGGTTTTGCGGCGCTTGGTCTATGGAGCAACGGTCGTTATCGATTGCGTACAAGGAGCTCTTCCCCATCGTTGTAGCCGCCGCCTTATGGGGTTCTCAGTGGGGCTCTCGGCGGGTCGAGTTCCTGTGCGACAATGAGTCAGTGGTGGCTGTACTTAAGTCTGGCACTTCACGGGACCACCTCTTGATGGGGCTGCTGCGTCATTTATCCTTGCTGGCTATACGCCACTCATTTATGTTTACGGCGTCTTCAGTTCGCGGCTTGGCCAATCCAGTAGCGGACTCCCTCTCACGCTTTCAATTTCAGCGTTTTCGTCGTCTGGCACCTCAAGCCGACCTGACTCCCTGTGTGATTCCCGAGTCGCTGCTGGCCGCACTCCAGACGTGTTGACCCAGAGGTGTCAGTTTCTGCTCTCCCAGGGACTCGCGCCCTCCACTCGGCGTGTTTATCTCTCTGCTCAGCGTCGCTATATTGACTTTTGCCGCCGGGATGGTCGCCTTAACAGCGATGGCCCCTTCCCTCCTGCCGATGAGGAGACTCTCATGCGCTTTGCTTCACTCTTGGCCGACAACTTGACCCACGCATCTATAAAGGTATACCTGTCAGCAGTACGTTCCCTTCACATTGACCATGGCTTGTCAGACCCTTTCGTCAACTGCCTTCGTTTGCAGCGTTTACTCAGGGGAATTAAGCGGGTTCAAGGTCCAGTATCACCCCGGCGCCTGCCTATCACCCTGGATCATCTGCGGGCGATTCAACATCGTCTGGACTTCTCCAGGAGAGACCATGTGATGCTGTGGGCGGCATGCTGTTTGGGTTTCTTCGGTTTCTTACGAGCTGGGGAGTTCACGGTGAATTCTGCATTTCAGCCTAGTATTCATATGACTGTTGCTGACCTGCAGGCTGATTCCCTGGTGAATCCTACCTGTTTTAAAGTTCATATCAAGTGCTCTAAGACTGATCCGTTTCGCATGGGCTGTGATGTATATGTGGGGCGTGGTGAGGGCCTGGTGTGTCCCATCCGTGCTTTGGGCAACTTCTTGGTTCTGCGTGGCTCTTCTGAGGGTCCTCTCTTTACTTTTAGTGACGGTCGCCCTCTTACTCGGCAACAATTGTCATCCACAGTTCAGTCTATCTTGCACTCAGCTGGCTATACTGGCTCTTATTCAGGCCATAGCTTCCGTATTGGTGCGGCAACTACAGCTGCCGCTCGGGGAGTTCCGGATCATCTGATCAAGACCCTAGGCCGGTGGTCTAGTGATGCCTACCAGATTTATATTCGCACTCCAGTTAGCTCCATCGTCCACGTATCCAGACAGCTGGCTGCATAGCAGGTATCTGTACTACCTTTGGGGCTGCCGTGGGGGTGGGTGCCTCAGGTTTGGACCCTCGGGGCCTGGGGCTCTGCAGCCCCGAGCCCCCTTGCTCCGGGTTTCCTACCCGGAGGTCCCTTCGGCTTGGCGCGGGGGGGCTCGTGGCTGGGTTGCGGGTTGGTAGGCCTGTGGGTGTTCTTCCGCCTCGGGGTGTATTGCGGTTGCAGCCCCCTGGCCCATGGGCACCCAACCTCCACTTGCGACGCAGGCGTTAATTACAGGCTGTAATTAATACATGTAACTTAGATCAAAATTGGAACTTTTGTTACATAAAATAGGTAGTTTTCATCTTATGAATTAGTAAAGACCATTATTATTATTATTATTATTATTATTGTATGCTCCTCTGGTCATCCGCAATTAAATTTGACGTTGTTGGAAGAGGACAAAGTATAGCCAAATCAACGGGAGAGACTAAAAAGAGTACAACAGTTGCATCATCTCAAACGACAGCCCATATTTCCTGAAGCTTCCAAAACGGAATGGTGGAACCGAAACTTCAGGTTTTCCCCTATAAATGGTAAGTACCCTAGATGTCTATTTGCTCTGCTTTTTAAGGACTCTAGCCTTACCACGGTCCATTGTGGTGGTCAGCGTTTACCAGACTTTTGGCCATATCCGACAAGGAGGTGAGTTTCTCTTCCTGAGCCGACAAAGTCTTCTCAAAATTCTCATGCTGTTTTAGTAACATCTCAACGTCATCCACAGAGGTCTGTGGACAAAATCAAAGTGGAATGATAACGATAACGACTTAAAGTAACATGCAGGCAACCAAAATATAGGGATTAAGTTAGCTTCAAGTATTATATGCGTTATTGACCACGCTTGATGTCAAGATGGCTGGATATTGGTCAAGTTCGTCTTTCTGAATGGAGTTCAACAGCTATACAATAAGATATGTTTTATGCTTCTCTGAATTGAATGTCTCACAACCGCAGGCCTTGTCGTTATGCTGCCCAGAGAGTTTACCGTATTTCACACACTCTAACCAATATCAGTTATTTCAGAATAGTATTTCATACCCCCAGATCATCATTAGAAAGAAAGGCCTCATGAGAAGCTGACAGGGAATCCACATGTTCTGCATCTCGGATGAACGCCTGCAAGTAAAACCAACATTTATTAACAACAAGTTACCACGAAAAGTTATCTTCCCTCATGTGATCCGGCTTCATGATGGACTTGCCTTTAAAATATATGGTTAAAAGGCTTTTTGCCGGCCAAGTCTCACACATACCCTCATCATCCCGGCTGGGAAATAAGGCCACAATCAAATTTCCCTGCACACTACCCTGTCCTAAGCTTTAGCCTGCGTTTCACCCTCTGTTAAAAACAACTTCTCCAGCACTATCACCACTGTAAGCCGTCGGGTTGTTTTTGAGCGGCCTCTTTTCCTCTTTCCAGTTGGGGTCCATCTCAAGGAAACTTTGGGTATCCTGTTACAGGGCATCCTTAGGAAATGACCAAGAAAAACTCACCTGTAAATCCTGGCTTTCATTGAGTAAGTCATTCCTCTCAAACCAAGTGTCCTTCAGGGCTGCCTTCTCTTGTTTCAATGATGTTAATCTGTCTTTAACTTGTTTCACTCGTGGATTAGAAGCCAACATCTTCTGACCATACTCTACCAACTGGTCAAACCTAAGTCAAAGAGAGAAGTTAATCATGGGCTGCGTTCAGGTCGATTTAAATTTACCTTAAAGTACCAACACAGACAGTATTTTTTGACTTTGCTTCTCAATCATTAAGGGTGTTAATCAGTTTAACTCTGACCAAAAAGAAGGAAAACCATAAAAATAAGATAGTATGAATCACCAAGGCAATCTTGAGGTTTTGATAAATGAACATGGCAGTAAAAAGAAGACAACAAATGTCATTCATAAGACTTACCAAAAATTCTGTACTAATTTAAAAGAAATCTTGTATTTGATTTCCTGCTTTCAAATTTATCAATAACTCACGAAAAAAGGCAAACAAACAAAACAACACTAAGTTCAATTCCTACGTTTTCTTGGATATCAGATTACTTCTCAGTGATTAAATATCGTATAAACACTCCTTCTCATGTTTGATTTATTACTTCTTGGTCTTTGGATATCAGAAGAGACACTCATTCTCATATGAAGCACTCCTTCCGGTCTCGTGCTTGATATATAAGTCGCCTGAATGTAAAATGAAACACTCCCTCTCGTGTTTCGTTTATTACTTCTTGGTATTTGGATATCAAATGAAACACTCTTACTCGTGTTTGGATAACAATTGAAACACTCCTCGTATTTGATATATCACTTCTCAGTGTTTGGCTATCAAATAAAACACTCCTTCTCGTATTTGGATATCAAATAAAACACTCCTTCTCGTGTTTGGATATTAAATGAAACACTCCTTCTCGCGTTTAATATATTAGTTTTCGTTGTTTGGATTTCAAATGAAACCTTCCTTCATGTGTTACATCTTCATTGGCACTGTACGTGCTGCAATCTGCACTTGCACTGTTACAGAGACCCCTATAAACACTCTACCTGTCATTGTGAGTTTGAATATCCTCCCACTTCTCCTCGTGCTCTTGTATTAGTTGTTTAGAGCTGTTTACGTCTTTTGGTGTCTCTGCTATTTTCAGAGACTCGCGCATGTCAGAGGCCCAAGATAACTGTTGACAAAGCAGTAGAATTAGTAGATCAGGGATGATTAGCTTTTAAACAAGCCATCAAATTTTAAAACATTGTGCGTAAACATTAAACAGTTAAATTTGACCCGCCACAAGGAGACTAAAGAGTGAAAAAATGCATCTTCTTCAGCGAAAGCCCGCATTTACTGAAGCTCCCAAACGGAATGGCGCAAAGCATTTGATTTTCCAATCGGAATTTTCGGTTTCCCACTGTAAATGGTAAGTACCCTAGATCATCAGAGTCCCAAAAAGGACCGAGGTGTCCTTTCTGGGTAGCCCCTACTGTTTCGGGATCAAAACAACGCAAAATATACGGTGACATATTCGGCTGGCAACACATCTCAAAACTTAAAACTAACGGGAATATAACTCGATTTCACTCGTTGCAGATGAAACTTAATGCATTTCAGTAGTGTGAGTAGTGTGAAACGTTTACCAAATCCCTTGAATCAGCCAAAAATCCTTGTTGACCATAAGCTTCATCCAAGACTTGTTTTCTTTTACTAGCTTTGCCCTGAAAATGAGAAAAAGATAACATTGCGACCTTAACTTTCCGAGCTACAAGTTAACTTTATAGTTTAAACAAAAAAAATTCAGTTGTTACGAACAAGACAATGCAAGGCTACAAAGCACTTCCTCCTTTGTTAAAAGCTTCATTAGATAGTTTCTGTTACAAAAGTGTCACAAGGGACAGATGGATGACAGATGACTAGGGAACTTGCCGTTTTATAAGAGAGGGATTACCCACCTTAAGCCCATTCCACAGTCCGAGTATTTCTGCTTCTTTTGCCTTAATCTGCCTGGCTTGTCGAGGATGCTGGGACACTAGACTAAAAACAAAACCATAGGGGCAGCACTTTTAATGTTATGATGATAACCTAATTAACTGAAAACTTCAAACTTCACCAACTTACGACTTTGCTTGGTCCTGAAGCTTCAAAAGTTTTTCGTCAACTGCCGCAAGGTCTCTTTCAAATCCCTAAAACAAAATTTTGAGTAAAATGTCAAAAACATTTACGTCGTGGGAATTATTTAGCATCACAAAAACTAACTACACGACAATGTACATTTATAAAGGCAAGAATTTCACTTAAAAATGGCCGCGTCTTTCCTAACCCTACGTGTTGCAGTGAGGAGCTGAGTTATATTTACAGTACATTCAAGTCTGTACGCAAAAGCCTATAGGTGTTACTACTCAGATGAATTCTCTTTGACAGTACATATGTATAGTGTTATTTCTTTTCTCGAATTTTACAGAATGAAATCTTGAATTCTGTCGTAAGATTTGGCCACTATCGGGAATAAAACGTTAACCTCTCATAATTATTTACAAACATACTGACACCATTTTCCTTCCGTTTGCAGTACAATGCAATGAGGAGAAGCTGCCTTCTGTGGGATTTGACGAAAGTAAATGCAGAGAAATCCATGGGCACGTGATTTTGCTGGCTACTAGGCTATTTTCCTTGTTTACCTGATGTCGCCTTTGTAAGGCTCTCACAGTCTCTAAGTCTCTGCCCATGTCTCCATCTGATAGAACAGCATCCTTCTCTTGCATCCATGACTTCATCTCGTTGCACGAGTCAAAGAAAAGTTCCACACTGGCAGGTAAAGAACGATCAAGCCATATTTCACCCAATCAGAACCAAATAAACAGCCTACCTAACCATATACAAACCCTGATGCATTTTTTATCAACAGCAGCTAAGTAAACATATATGGATTAATATTACTTCTCTCCCAAAAAGTTCCAAATAGGCCTTTTTACCGATACAGCGGCCATATTGAATTAATTCGATTTAAAGAGTATTATAGGATGCCCAGGGGGCATGAGCACATTTCGTTTGTATTTCGAGCGCTTTTCGGGTCATTTTTTCTTAAAGTTTTCTTAGACTAAGATTGTAATGGGAAAAAAGATCCTTATGCAGTGTTTGGATGTAATAATGCTCGCCTTTTTCCGGAGAAATATACAGTGAAAGACCATATTTCTAATACTAAAAACGAAAAAGGCGAGCATTATTACATCCAAACACGGCACAAGGATATTTTTTCCCATTACAATCTTATTCTAAGAAAGCTTTAAGAAAAAATGTCCCGAAAGGCGCTCGAAAATACAAACGAAATATGCTCATGCCTGGGCATCCTATAATACTCCTTAAATCGAATTAATTCAAAATGGCCGCCGCATCGGTAAAAAGGTCTATTGCAGAGTTATTTTAATTTTAAGTATTATTGCCATTTGCCAATTTTAATTTAAATTTTCACAACACTAGTATCAAATGTCCAAATGTAATGTACCCGCTTTAAACTACAAATTGTAACGACTTTCCGTTCGCGAAACCTGTCACAAATATCAAACGAGCCGACTTTCGTTGAAGGCGGGGTGAGGGTTTCAGAATGTTTTGTTTCAGAAATACTCCCCAGTTGACGACACTGTTTCAACAATTCCGTTCGTAGCTTCAGAAATTCTTTGCCACATTATTTGTGGCTTTAGTGTAAAGCTCAAGAAACAAATACTTGCACGAGAAAACCATGGTAAAACAATGGTATGTGGAACTCACCCATGTTTTTCCTTCAGTTCTTCTTCCTTGGCTTGCTTTAAACGTTGAAGTTTTTCCCACCTTAAAGTTTAAACAAGAACCACAACTTTCAACTGAGAAAGCAAATTCCACGTAACAATTTTACTTCTCTATTGTATACCAGCACAAAACGCATAATCCCTATAACAAAAACTCTTTAAAAACAAACATTATTCGGTAACTACCTGTACAAATTCAGAGGTTTGGCGCAGGAAACTTGACCTATAAAACGGGTCTTTCAGTAGAACCATTGAATTACGAAAACAGCGAATATTATTTGCCAGTAATACCGCTTGTGAAAAAAGCTTAGGAAAGAGAGGAGAGTGAATTTATAACACAAAAAACCACCCTTTCAAAACGGAGTTTAAATACATTATCGCGTAAACAGCCTTTCTGTAGGTCTATGCAAATGAGAGCATTCCTATTGGGGAAAGCACATTGCCGCATAACAAAAGAACTTTCTTTCCACCTTACCCGGATCATTACTTAATGTCAATCAAGGGAATTGTAACTTGAATCTTACATGTCATTGATTTCTTTCCTTCTCTTCTTCACAGCTGCGGAGTGTCTGTGATCCGTGGTAATGAGCTGATCTGCTAATGAGTTGATTTCAGTAATACGACTACCATTTGCTGTTAGCTCCGTCATAAGACCCTGTGAAATGAGTGTTAATTTACTGAGAACTGTCCTTCCCAGTTAAAACCACTAATGCAGCGTTCACACCTACAGCCCGAGCACGGTGCCCGAATACAGTACTCGATGGGCACTAATGTGAACACATCTTCTTTTCAAGTACCCACGCTAGAATTCGGACACGGAACCGCTGTCGGAGAAAAGAGCCTCATGTGGTCAGCAGCTTTGCATGCCCACCTACCCCTCCCCTAGGTCAACATTAACAATTTCTTCTCACTTAGGGCAAAATATTGGCTTAGGGGAGGGGTAGGTGGGCAGTTTCCCAGGAGCGTATAATTATCCGAACAATGTTTTGGAAAAGCAATATGGCAGACGTGATGTCATGTGAAAACGCTCTGTAGGATTGAGACCTTATACTAGAGCACTACAGTGGGCACCAGGTCAACGTCCCTGCGTGTGTACGTTTACTGAGAGTTTACAGGCAACCCACTGTTTGTATTTCCGTAACTTCCTGACACGCTCACATTTCAAAATGGTGTCTAACCGCGCGAAATGGAGCAAAAAATTTAAGCATTAGATCTCATCGGCCTAAACCCCTTAGGCACCTTATGACGTTTAAACAACGTAGTATTCTTTATTGCTTCTACACTAGACTTCGATGAAATTTCTAAGTTTCTTGGCATTTCTGCTCAGAAAATGTTCATGAGAGAGTAAGTCTCTTCAATTTTTATGGAAAAAAAATTCAGGAGAGCTTAGTGGGAATCAAACTCGGAGCGTGGAGTCTATGGTCCATCACTTATATCACCAGGCCACTGAGGATTTGCTGGCCAGAGATGGCTTAATTTAACCCTATATAGCAACAACCGTAACCCTTAATAGAAGCTAACCGTTTCGAGTCAGTGCGTAACCCTAATTACCATAGTCAGTGCTCGAAACCGAAGCGATAAGGAATACTATGTTGTGTAAACTTCATGAGGTGTCAGGGAGGTTTAGGGCGATGGGATCTAATGCTAGACAGTCACATATCGGATACCCCAAGTGTGAACTCAACACTATTTTTTCAGCACCCAGGATGACTGGTGCTCGGGCAGCATGAATAAACAAACCCTAAGTAAGAACAAGTTGTCTTCCCTAGACCCCAGTAACATGAGACTGCCATGAACTTAGGGCATTTTCCATTTGTCAGAACTGTAGGGGCCAGAGCATTTCCGTCTCAATGAAAATTTCCCTTGTATTCAAAACTCTCCAGCCAGATTAGTCAAATAGTATACACGAAGGAGAACGTTTTTCAGGAAAAACTCATTGAAAAGGCCTATTTCATTTTCGGACAGACTGGTCGGGCAATCGTCTGGACGGCCAGTTCTGACAAATGGAAAGCGCCATAAGACCGTCAAGACACAGGATTCAGATTGGTAACAATAAGTTCCTGTGAGACTACTCTAAAAAATCTGATCACGTACGAAAACTTCGTTTTTTTGTTAACTGAGGTTAACTGAGTTTATAAAGTCAATCTACAACCGTAAAAAGATCGAAAAGCTGTTGTTTCGAGCGGAAGCCCTTCCTCAAAGCGATTCAAGGTCAATCAAGTGGCTTTTTGTTGTGTAAGGTTTATATAGCGAATTTTGTTCTAGATTTTTGGGTCGTTTCTTAAATTGCTTTGTTGTAAGGATGGACAGAAAACTGTCATGTTGTGACTAGAATGACAGGGAAGGTTGAAAAGGTGCGCGACTAGTTTTGATGCATCTTTGTCAGGGCAGTACAGGTACAACTTCTGAAAGGCTTCCACACTAATTTCTGCTTCTGTTCACATGAAACTCCGCTCTCAAAAAGTCTTTCTCATTGGCAGAGTTAAAGTTGTGTAGGTCTGAGTTGGCAACGGTCTCATGGAAATGGGGCCTAATGAGAGACACGTTTGTCTCACATAGACTAGATGTTTAACAAAGGAAATTCATAACAGGAAAATGAGCTTCTAAGGTGCAGTGCAGAAAGGATCATCTTAAGATGTCCAGACCTTAAAGAGGTGTCGCGGTGAACACCGAGAGAGTTGAGTTACGTGCAGTGCAGTAGAACTTCATGGAAGGACATTATTAGAAAAGAAGCCTGTTAAGTCAATCTGAGTGACTAAAGTGCTGGAAAATTGAATGAAAGATTTTTCAGAAAAATATAGTTTTTAAGGTTACTTTTGTTATTAGATGCAGACAGAGCAATTTGAACTTTGTCGCTGAATATTCTGTTAGCTTTAAAATGCACAGTGCATGTTATTGCAATATGCTAGTCTCCTTCGCAAACGTTCGGGTCGGAGTCACGCAATTCTCCCCCACCCCCAACCCCCACGCGTGGAGGCTGGGAACATTGCGTTACTCTGGCCCGAGCGGCTGCTAAGGAGACTAGCAATATGCAGGATTGATTACACTCATCATTATTCTGTCGCACAACAAACACAAAAACATCTACAAAAAGAAAACATCAATACCAGCTAGTTCAAAACAAAACACACTGTGGTTACCACACTAAACAAGCATGAATACAAGCACACTAAATAAAATTTCACTTTAAACAGTATACCTGTTGACGAAACACAGAGAATTAAAAGGAAAGAAAGCATTAAACTATCGAAGCTTAGTACAGGACTCTACCTCAAGATTTTTGCGGATGGCATGAATGTCTTTTTCTGACTCTGAAGCATCACGAGAAAGCTGAGTTTCCTGATTTGCCATAGCAAAATGTTAGAAAATTATAGAAAGGAGGCAAAATTAAAGCAAATTAATGTTAAGAACAATGGCACGAATACAGCTGGAAAAGAAGAAAACAAGATTACGATAAACTGTTCTTGCCAACAATGAACCACGCCCTCAATATATTTCTTAGGAATGGTGGATGACGTTATCTTTCATATCTCTTCTGACCATTTTAGAATGGGTGTTACAAGATAAATCTTCATTTCCAAAACACTTTTGCAACTTGAAACTTAATGCCTTTCTATCACAACCCAGCTAATAAGTCTACAACCCATGTCAGCCTACAAACATTCCTTAGGTATGGCACGCAGAGTTTTTAGAGACTGTTTTCTTCCGTTGATTTCCCTGCGCATGCTCTTTAACAGCCAATTACATGACGCGTACGTCATTCCCACGGCCAAACTTTGGCCGCAAGCTCATAAAAATGTACAACTTTGAACCGAGCAAAAGGCTAGCACAAACCACGTGAGAGACAACCTCGTTTCCAGGGTCCTCTCCTACTCGTCCACGGAGGAGTTGAGGACCTTGGGAACATGTTACTCTAAGAGAATGACAGCACTGCTAAAATTCGGCCAGATTGCAGGTCAAAGAAAAAAAAAAGACTAAACAAATATTCAATCGAGTAATTATAGCCTGATGAACATTTTTAGAAAACTTATGATAAGAAAAATAATAATAAATATTTATATAGCGCCTGTACTTTTCAGTGCTAAGAACTTAAAACTTACAGTCATTGCATTTTATTGAGTAACGAGTTGTGTTCAAGAAAATCAAGACAAACCTTGTTTTTCATCCACGCTTCAATGTCGTCACATTCATGACAGAAGTGGAAATACTTGATGGAGTTCTCGAGATTTTCACGTCGAATCTAAATCCACAAAAAATAGGAAAAAGAAAACGGTGAATAATGATGAAGAATGATTCACGTACCTTAAAAATAGGACCCACCTATTTTCTGTCTTTACAGCGAATGCTGTGTAAAAGACACTTCCACTATTGGCCGCGAAAAGAGAGAACTCCATTTTTTCCAAGCAAGCGAAAAGAACATCATAATAGGCAAAAAAAAGAGGAAAATACCCCATCTTCTTCTTCTTGAGGTGACAATAAGAGAGGTTAAAAGGAAAGGCGGGTTACGGGTTACGGGTTACAACACCTTCCTGGGGTCCCCCACCTTCTTTGTAGACAAGCCCTAACCCTGAAAACATACAAATGCGATTTACCTCTGCCATTTCCACCAGTCTTGAGTACAAATTCTGCAATGAAACCTGTCTCGTTGCAACATTATCACGGTCAAAATGAGCCGTAAAGTGACGTCTGACGGGACGACGTGACTTTCCTGTCGAGTTAAAAACAATTACTGGATGAGGCAAATGTGATATCCGGAATAATCAAGGTCTCGAGAAGTGTTATCAGCAGAGGCCAAAACACTTACCTCGACCTTGACCATTCCAGACATCACAAAAAATACGTAAAATTGTTTTATTACACACTGTTTTGAAGAAAGTAATGACAAACGCATAGTCGCACAGAACTGCTCTTAAAATCAAACATTGCTCGCACAACCTTGAGATTGTTTAGTTATCTGCAAGAAGACAACTAACTAATCTGTACGTTGCGCTGATATCCAAAGTTAACTGAAGGCTCTTAGGCAATGAGAAAACAGATAGTGAGTACAATGTACAATAAAAATAATTTAAAGTATATCCCGCAATGCTATTAGAGCTCCTATTTGCTGCCTGACATAAAGAGAACTTATCAGCTACGTTTGCACTTGAGAAGATTTTTCTGGATTCATAAATGTTTCCGGATTTATTCTATTAATGGTATTCGGATTCAAAGGAGTTTACACTGTTCAGTTTATCTGAGAACATTCATTTGGGTACAAAATATTCACTCTAGACTTTGAATTAAAAATCTCTGGACACAAGATAAATCTGAAACGTTTTGATTTCAGATTCATGAATCTACGTTTTGTCGACTTTCTTCCTCATTTTGGCCCTTGTTTTTGTTCCAACAGTTGCTAAAAAAAATGTGTGGTACAAGACAATTTCACACACCTTTCTTTTCCGGAGTCTTTTGCACTTTCACAGCTCGTTGTTTTTGAACTATAACCTTCTTTTTCACTCTGCGTTTCACCTTGACCTTTTCAGGGACCATAACTTTCTGCTTGGTAGCTTTCTTGACGGTTCTGGCTTCAATCTCCTTTACATAGTTAGCAGGAACATAGCCAGCTTCTTTGGACGTTAAACGCCTGAAGGCAACAAAAATAATCAGAGAATATACCGGTATCAAGTTTAAGCTTTTGTTTTTGTAGTAACAATCTTTGGGTAGCAATTCAATAGACACTAAAAATCTTAAAAGACAAAATCCTACAAACAAACAAACAAATACTAGGTGAAGAAGGCAGCATGGCCGAGCGGAGGCCCTGATTTCTAGTCCCACCTGCGTCCTGGTCGCATCCCTCCTGATATCTGGATTTGTTCATGGTAGTCCCGAATTCAACTCCTCGGCCAAACTTGTAAAAAATCTATTAGACTCTAGCCAGCTGAGTTTCTTACCACGTTGTCATATTTATTTTAATTACTTGTTTCTGTCCTTAATTGTGGGCCACGATGCAAACTATTGGTTTACCAGTAATTTTGGAACCCCTGTAAAGCCAATTATATTTCTTAACATACCTTACACTCCACCAATCCTTGTTAGTCTTAGCTATCAAGAAGAAAACCTAGCAAAGTGACGTTGAAACAGTTATTAGGTGAGTAATAGACTGCAAACAGTCACCACTTACTTCAATACTAATTACTACCTATTTCCAAAATCAGAAATCAGGCTGTGCACTCCCTGAACTTGGGCAATGAATGACAGTGGAAGCTGTTTGCCAGTGGTTTAAGAAGTTATGCTATTGTAATTAATAATGGAGAACGAATTTTAAGAACTAAGTTGTTATTATTTTTAATTTTATTATTATTATTATTATTATTATTATTATTATTATTATTATTATTATTATTAATTTTAGGGCCATTTATTGCATGTGATTATAATGGTGCTGAGAAAGTGTCTTAAATGGGGTCCGGCTTTTGTAACCTATATGCACCCTCCCCCCTCTACTCTAACATAAGCCTTCCTCAATAATTCAGTATCAAACTTAATTATCCTACCAACAATTCCCTGCGTCATTTTGTATCTGACCAAACCCTTCAAAAAGCAGCTTTGATATCGACGTTTTTCACTCCAACCTGAACCACCTCTCCCTTGGTATATTAAGTCTGATCCCAACCCCTCCATATGGAGCTTGATGTCCAATTTTTTCACTCATCCCACCTCTCCCTTGGTATATCAAATCTAAACTCAACCCCCTCTATATGGAACTCGATATCCAATTTCATCACTCTTCCCACCTCTCCCTTGGTATATCACGTCTGATCTCAGCCACCTCCTTATGTAGCTTGATGTCCAATTTTATCATTCTACCCACCTCTCCCTTGGCCATTTTGAGTCCCTGTCCAGTGAAGGGATATAGGGCTTTGACCTGTGGAACTTTGATCTCTTGTACGACATCTTTTATGACTTCTTTTTCTACGATCTCCTCTACTTCCTCGTCTGTTTCAACTTCTGCTTCTTCTTCATAAACTTCAAACTTTGTCTAAAATAATGATTTATAACACAATATTTGCTAACCACGTACTGTAAAGTTTAACAACTCGAAGTGAAGCCGAGAGTTTACACCTGATAATACAAGACTGCTAGTTTTGAACGGCTTCAAAATCACTGATATAGATCAACTCATTCTCGCACTAACATTAACATGTGGGGTTATTCTGGTCTAAAAAATTGGACGTAAAGTTTAGCTATGTCTTTATCAGACATAAAGACACTCAGTAAACGTTAATTTCTTTCGTTTCTTCTTTACGAAAAAAGGGCCATTTATACGAGGAAAAATAAGACGCAAACTTCCCGTATAAATGGCACATTTCGTCTGAAATAAGACGCGTCTTAGCTAAGACAAGAAAAATTTCGTATAAATGTCCTTCTTGTCTTATATAAGACGCGAATACATCGTACGCATGCGTTGAGGTTTGGCAGGAACAATTTCGCGTGCCTACCGGGGACTGGCAGGGAAAAAATTGTTTACAAATTGCAACGCATTTTCGTTTCCCTGAGGTGCCAACTACTGATTTGTTTCTTCGATCGAGTCAATATGAGAAGGCCGACAAAGGGAAAGAAAAATGTTTGGTCCAGAGCTGAAGAAAAGGGCTTTTTGCTGTTGTGCAAAGAAAAGCAAATTGCAGACCTCCTCAACAAATGTGTTACATCTGCTGGTGTAAGAAGGTCCTCATTCAAGTACTCATTGTAAAGCACATTTTATTGTTATTTATTTTTGTTTGTGTTACCTCTGCTGCCATCTCAATGCTCTCCATCAGTTTGCTTTGTTCTCTGAGTCTATTCACATCATCAGCAAATCCTTTTATCTCATCTATCACATTTGTGTGTCTTTGCAGTAGCGACTTAAAACAAATGAACAAAACCACAGTCACACATTGATCCCTCATCACTAAAATCAATACTTAAGGAACTACGCCATTGTGAGTTCCACATTTTTTTTTGGTCAAAGCTGAGCCGAAATAATAATAATAATAATAATAATAATAATAATAATAATAATAATAATAATAATAATAATAATAATAATAGTGACATTTTTCTTGAGCACAGCTACATAATCTCAGCGCGCTTTACAAATGTAAGAAATGATGTATAAGAAATAAACAAAACTAAATTAAAATTTATTAAACAAAAATGTTTTGAGCTTTCTTTTATATAGAAACAAAGTTTGCGCGTTTTTAATATCTACTGGAAAGGAATTCCAGCGAGTAGGTGCAGCTACAGAGAAAGAGCGAGCACCGTATAACTAAAATATTGGGACACACATGTAGCTTCTTAATACGAGTCATCAAAAGAAATAACTGATCGTAGGATGGTTGAAGACTCCATACATTGTAGATTTATGTGACTGTACTCGTCTTTTCCGAGATAAATGACATAAGCTGTGAAGTACGACGAAGAAAGTGGAACTGGCTAGGTCACATACTAGAGAGAGAGAGTGAGAACGACTGCTTTACAGCTTTAGGATGGCCTCTTGAAGGTCGGAGGGCAAGAGGAAGACCAAAAACTACTTGGAGAAGGACAGTCGAGAAAGAGTGAAACAAAGCTGGGTGGAAGAGCTGGGAAGTAGCCAAAGCGGTTGCACAAGACAGAAAGTGTTGGTCAGATAGCGTGGAGGCTTGATGATGATGATGATGACTAGTCTTTTCAAACTGTTTATGATTTGATCTTTGCAAAGAATAATGTTGTGTAAACCTACCATAGCACTCTGCTCATCTCTGCCATAGTCTTCACTACTCACTACATACATTTTCTCTGTCATCCAAGACTCTGCATCATTGGCGTCTGAATAATACTGCAAGCAAGTAAAAATCATTTGCCATTGAGTAATACTGCCAGCAAAATTAATATAAATCCGTCATTGACCAATGACAATACAATGTACTGCAAACAAGTAAAAATATTGGAATTGCACCATGCATTAACAATGCATTACGTTCAACATGTCTTGAAGTTAGAAAAGAATACAGAGTGTGTCAAGCTCTTTATCTGAAATTAACCCTTCCTTTCCTAGACCAAATCCTGACAGTGGGATTTACAAAAATCACTCTTAATCTAATATGTAGCTAAAATCCTGTGATGTAACCAATTCAATTCAAACGAACTAGGACAACTTTAGGAGAACTTTTGCATGGTAAAATATATATTTAAGATTCCATTTCCTTAGGCTTTATAACAGGGCTAGGTCAGTTTCTTAGAAGATGTACCAGGGGTAGGTCAGCTTCTTAGGAATTGTAACAGCGCTAGGTCAGTTTCTTAGGAGTTGTAACAGGGCTAGGACAGTTTCTTAGGAGTTGTAACAGGGCTAGGACAGTTTCTTAGGAGTTGTAATAGGGCTAGGTCAGTTTCTTAGGGGCTGCAAAGGTTGTTACCTAGGGCCAAGGACTAGGGATTTTCCCCAGCTACTACGAGCATGATGCCCACCCCCAGCTATTTTCATAGGGAAAAAGGAAAACAGGACCAAAACAACTTCCCAACTGTTCAATTCCCCTCATACTTATTGCCTACTAACTCTGTAACTTGAAAACTTAGTGACAGCCCTGACCTGTATAATAGGGAGCTTAGGCAACAAGGACGGCGACGGCTACGAAAACTTCACTTAAAAAGTGAGTTCACGCTGCTTGAAACTTTATCGCGCTTATTCCATCTTGTTCATTTCCTCAAATCTTGGCGACTTTTTCGGGAGTTGAATTCTAAAGGACTCTATCAATAATCAGGAAAAGAAAAAGAGGGTCGTTGAATTTCGTTCACGTCCTCTCGAGAACGTGAAATTAGTCAGTTTCAAGTCATAGTCATACAGCGACGGCAAAGAAATGTACAAAAAAGCATGATGCACGTACAACATTATTGTTTTGCTAAACAAACCTATTGCTTTTTTGCCCTTCTTGTCGCCGTAGCCATCGTCGTTAATAGGGAGTTTTAGCATCGACGACGGCAACGGCAGCGAAAACGTCAGTTTTAAAATGAATTCCCGTTTTTTCAATCTTTGTCGCGTTTATTCCAATGGCTGAAAGTGGCAAGTGTAGGCGAATTTCCCTGGAGTCGATTTCTTGAGGACCGCACTCAAGTTTAGAGAGAGAAAAAGAGATTCCTCGTCGCTTGTTTACGTCCTCCATAAAACTTGCAATTAGGCATTTTTACGTCGTAGTCGTGCAAGGACGGTAAAGAAATGTACAAAAAGGCGTGATGCACGTGCAAAGTTGTTTTTTTTGCGTAATAAACCTATTGCTTTTTTGACGTCCTGGTTGCCGTCGCCGTCGTCGTTGCTAAAGCTCCCTACTTAACCTCCCTAATACCCTGTAGCACATAAGAAGGAAAGAAGTTACTACAACAGATCTTGCTGCTTGACACTGGAGCTCTGAACTGCACTATTAATAATACAGGAATAAAAGAACTGTAAATTGAAGCTGTAGTTGATTATTTACCTGAAGAGATTGAGCTGCATCTTTGAGTCTGTCTGATCTTGTGATCAAAAGTTCTTTCAGTTTCATCCAGTTCTGCTGTAGTTGTTTAATCTTTGCCCTAATCTCCTTAGAAGCATAATGACCTCTGTCAATCAAAGACTGTCCTTTGGCGATTACTGTCTCACAGTGTGCAAAGCGGCCACTCATCTCAGCCTCCAGAGCCTGTTAATAAGAAAAACACAGTCACAATGAACAGGGGAGCTTACCACATCTACCCGTGTAGTGGCATAATGGAAAGTGATTTACCGTATGACCCTCAAATTACCATTTCCATGGCACTTTAGATCTAAAAAGGTGTAAGACTGGAACCAAGAGAAGGGTGAATGGTAATAAGAAACATTCTGATTAGTTTAAACAAACCAGAACGAAAGGACTATCCCAAAATGTGGTCCTCACTGTTCCACTGGAATTTCCAAAAATCATCTTACCATTAACACTCCATCTGAAAATGTCTGCAGTTTGGGTAAAATGGTGAGTCCCCCTGGTTTTGGGTATAATTCTTTCTGACTAAATTAAGTATTGGTCTATGATTTATACATGTATATACAGTATAATACAGTATAATACAGTAATCAACAGGGAGTTTAAGAGTACGGCGACGGCAACGAGAACGTCAAGAAAGCAATAGGTTTAGGTTAGCAAAACAACACTCAGCACGTGCATGCTTTTTTGTACATTTCTTTGCTGTCACTGCACGACTACGACGTGAATTGCCTAATTTCTCGTTTTATCGACAACGTGAAGATACGAAGACGAACTTCTCTTTCTCTCTTTAAACTTGAACATCTTTCTTAAGAATTCAAATCCAGGAAAGTTTGCCTACATTGGACAAAGTGAGCCAGCTGTGCTAATCGCGCTACAGTTTCAAACAACGTGAAGTCACTATTAAGTGACGTTTTCGCCGCCGTCGCTGTTGTGGTATCTTAAACTCCCTATTACTTAAAGAGTACGAGAGGATGGAGGACGGGGAGGGGGGGTCAATCAGGAGAGCCCATCTACTGTTTCATGGGTTACAATCAATCTTTTTCTATAACTAACCTTGTGCTTTTGTTGGAGTCTTGTCAAGCTTATCAGATCTTTCCCAACCTCCTTAGATGATAAAACTTTCTCAGTTTCCTTCACAAACATTTCTTCTTCCTCCATATCACCAAAGAATTTGTAAAGTCTCAAGGAGTCTTCAAGCCTTGCTCGACGTTCTTTTCCCAGCTGAACTAATCCCTTCAAACAAAAAAAAAACAAGTCAAATCTGTAGATGAATCTGTAATATGATCATTCAAACAAAACCCTCTTCTGTAGAACTTAAACCAAGGTGTTTTGGTACCTTTACAGATTTACAGTTATGATCTACTACAATGAAGTCAAACCAGTATAAGCCTTGTGAAAGGTTTGAGTCCAGGCCGGAGTCATTTCATAAGAAGGTGGAGCATGATGGTCAGGGAGAGCATGCCATTGAAGAGGACTGTTGTTGTTGACAGTAAATGACCTTTTGACAACCTGTGCGGTTAGTCATCTTCAGAACCAAAGTGAGTTGTATCACGTCAGTTGATGGTATTAAACTCTGCTTATTGACTTAACAGCGTGCAAAGAAAGTGCATGGTGTCCGATAGCCTAGGGCTAGTGGATTTTGCTGTCGGGCTAGTGAATTCTGTTCTTAACTTGCCCGATGGGCAAGTGATTTGGGGGAAATTCAAATTACAGAAGAACTGTAATCAATTCTGCTCATCAAATTTTTTTCGGGCTAGTTGAAATGACGTTCGGGCTAGTACATGCTAGCTACAGCTTGCCCGAATGGCAAGCTGTAAAACTGACTTTAAGTCGCGATGTTATTGGTCGTCTGAAATTTAACCCATGCTGTTATTGGCTATGAAGATCCTAGATGTCATTGGTGTCTTTTGATCCATCTTATGTCACCGTTAAACAGTTGCTTATTGTTAGTCAAAATGTCAGTTGTCCAGTCACTCTGTCCTTGTTAGTTTCATCAAAACTTGCTTACCTCAAAAGCCTGGGTAAGCAGTGTCTGTCTTTCCTTTATGACTCTAATCTCAGGATGCTTTGCTTTGATAAACTTTTGTGCAACATTGTTGATGCGTTGTACACTCTCTCCTTGGGACTGAATTTGAGATTCAATCAGGCTGTGCTTATGAAGGAGATTTTCAACATCTAGCAGATGCTTGCCGTAATCTTCCGACCTCACAGCAGCCTGTAGAACATATACAACAATCATGTTAAACGAGTCCAAACAACAAAATATTTAGGAATTCACTTAGATGAAAATCTTAAAATCTTAAATGGAACGAGCATGTTGACAAACTTTGTTCAAAAGTCAATCGATCCATCAGTGGTCTAAAACAGGCACGTGATTATGTACCATTAGATGTTCTAAATACTATTTACAAATCTCTTATCCAGCCTGTGTTCGACTACTGCGACGTTGTTTGGGACAATTTAGACCAGGCACTTGCCACTAGGATCCAGAAATTACAAAATCGTGCTGCACGCATAATAACCTTTCAAGGTTATGACGTTCGTTCAGCACAAATACGAAAACAGCTAAACTGGGAAGAGCTTGCCTCGAGGCGTCAAAGGCACTTAAGTCTATTAATGTATGATACAGTGAATGGAAATATACCTAGTTACTTAAGCGATCTTTTCTCGAATGTCTGTGAGAACAACCCTTATAAGTCTATGCTAAGAAATGCGGAATATAATGTTGTACTGGACCACGTTCCAAAAACGGAATGTTATAAGGGGTCTTTCTCATACAGAGGAGGAATGCTGTGGAATTCTTTACCAAATGACATAAAAGCGTCCGAATCTAAAGCTATCTTTAAAAGAAAACTGGCTAGTAGGCGGGCAAACTGTTGACTACATTTTACTATATTTTATTATTTGTACGTATTTTTAGTGTAGTTGTACAGTATTTACTTCTGTTTCTATACGGCTTTCATGTAAAGAAGTTATGTAACTTATGAAATTACCGTATTCAAATAAAAGTGAATCAATCAATCAATCAAAGTCTTTAAGCATAAAATTATTCTTAACCATAATAACCCCTTTCCACTCAAACATCTGCCTGTTATTACAGGAACGCAATTTTTTTTAGGCAGCTTGTACAACTGTCTCTGGTTGTTCAAATGTTGGATAGCGCTATTCATTGGATAAATCACTATCCAGCAGATGGCACAATATTGATTTCCCTAATACTTATTCGCTGGATAGTGATTTATCCGGTGGATAGTGCTATCCAACGTTTGAACAACCTGGGCCAGGACAAGAAGAAAAAGACAGCAAAATGTTATTGTATGAAAATTGTGACAGGGCAATTATATGCGCATTCTGTTTTGGTCTTTTACAAAAGCTAAAGTTTTGTGGAGAATTCATAACACAAGGTGTTAATTTGACAAGATGTTAGATCTTAATTTGTGACCAACACATGCAACCTTTACATTGTCATAAGAAAATTAATGGGTGACTGCTAATGCTCTAAAACTTTCAGTGCAATAGGTGAGTGGAGGACTAACAAATTCAACATCTAACAGTTGCTCTCCATGATCCTCATATCCCACAGTTGCCTACAACAGGGAATTAAGGGTATTGGTTAACTCACCTGTCTTAAATAATAACCTGTCTTAACCCTTTAACCCCCAAAATCCACATACAAATTCTCGAGACTGATCTCCATACATTTCTTTAAAGAATAGTTGAGAGAATTTGATTTAAGATCAAGGCGTTCTCCCTTTGGTAATCAATTTAGTAATTCTCATATCCTTTATTCTTGATGATCTGCTACTGTTGTTAGGAGAAAATTGATGTTGGTCACTCTTGAGACCTAAAGGGTTCAGTACCTCAATATCTTGCATGTCTCCATGAGCACCATCCATTTCTCTGAACAATCCAACAAGATCTCTAAAGCCCACCAGGGTCTTTCGGCGAGCCTCAAGTTTACCAATCAGTTTATCCCACTTAGTCATTATCACCTCCTCTCTGTTGAACACAACAATCATAAGTGAAACAACAAAGTTACAGGTGCATGGAACTGTTGTTGCTGGCTCTCTTATCCTGAAGGGAGGTGTAAGGCTGTCAGTGTGCTCTAAGAAAAGTAGTCTGCTACACAGCCGTTTTTAGTGTCGTCACGCAACGCTCCTCCTCAAACGTTGCGTGACGACTCTAAAAACGGCTGTGTAGCAGACTATAAGAAAACTTGCAACTTGCATAGAGCATAAAAGGTTTAAATGCAGATGTAAGAAATCTAAGTTCTGTGCCTCTGCAGCAATAAAAAAAACTGTTAGAACCCCTGTTAGCTCAGGTGATCATTCTGAGCACCCATTTGGTCCTTAAACTTTCATTCACTTTTACAAAGGCAATAATTACATTTCAAAATGCTCTAAAAAACCTGCCAGGAGAGATCTCTGTTGAAACATCTCCACTTCTGCATAAAATATCATCAACCTTGTACCTTTTCAAATTAATTTGCCACACTGAAAAGTTCTTCTGTAAAGCATTCATGACCATTTCACGGTTCCATGAACAACTGTTATCTTTTCAAAAGGCAGGGAAAGCCACATGACCAAACAGAATGGTCATGTGAGCTATAAAAAATTCAAATATGAATGGTCACTTTGGGGGGGGGGTGCTTTGACAATGGCAAATTAGGGAAGAGGGGGAGGAAACAGATGTTATAATATGACTGTGTACCTTTCACTGATAAAATCAGCTCTGTGGTAATCTTCATCAATCAACTCTTGTGCTAAGTCAAAAACCATTTGAAACCGTTCCTCCTACAAAGAAAATTAGAACTCACCAAAGCAGTTGCCAACGAACCTTTTACACATGTAGGCTTACAACATGTTTCAAGAGCATGCCAAAAAAATCTATCTGGTAGTCTGGGGTGAGCAAAATTGAACCCCTGGACTGGCATATGGTTTTTACTGCAAGTTGCCCATAGGCAAACCATTGTTCTTTTCAATGTGGACAGTATCTAAGTGTGAAGGATTCAAACATGAGACTGCCTTGCATTTGGATTTCTGGTGTTTTTGAAATTTAATGGCTCAAGCAGTAGTTAACTGTAGGGGAATTACAATAGAACACTCACCCTGGCCTTGATATCAGTACTAATAGCTTCATGACGCTTGAATGCTGCTTCCACAGTGGCTGCGTCCTGACCAAGTTCTTCACCTTCAAGAACGTGCATCATGTCATCCAACCAAGATTCTCTTAGGGAAGCCTGCAAGATGGTGTCAGTTATTTACTAATCCTTTTAATTATAGGGTTACAGTCAACTCTAAGACGGACACCTCTGGGACCATTATTAAACATCGGTCTTTGAGTGATGTCCATCTTAAAGAGTTTCAATTAAAAGGAGTAATTAATAGCAGGGACCACCTCTATGTGTCCATTTTACTGAGGTGTCTGTCTCATAGAGCTGTCCATTAAGAGAAAGTCAACTGCTATTTAAAAATACCCAAACGTGAGGACTGAGCATTACTGCATGGTTTGTGCAGTTGACAAAAATTTTTGGCTCTTGAGTGTACGATTCCATACAGGTAAAATAGTACAAGGAAGTTTGGAATAGGACAGGGAATCAGAGATGGCACTGGACTACTGTCCATACAAATTACTTTGTGACAAGCAAACCAGAAGTAAAACCCTCTACAAGATAACGTTTTAAGCATCATATTAATACCTTTCTTTCAAACTTGTCAGCAAGTTTCTCAAGCATCTCTTGTCTAGAAATACCACAAACATGATTTTAATAGCAACAAAAGTAATGCATAACATATTTCCATGGTCTGTAAGTACCTTCTCCCTGTAATGCATTTTTAACGAAAAAACCTCTTAAGTGCAAACTTTCTGCGACCATCACCTTTGTTTAGGCCTTTTTTTTTTTTTTCACAGTATTAGAGAACTGGGCCAACAATAGATTAATGAAGGAAAGACAAAAAGAGCATGACAAATGAAAGAAAAGGTTGTTGAAAATTTTCATCTTCTCTATGCAGCCAAGACTGGGTTTGTGCATAAACAGGTATATTGACTAACATTTCCTATTAACTCTGTTTCAGATAGGTGTAATATTATCATTCTTTTTGCCCACTGCAATATGCAGACATTTACATCAGCATTTTATTGGTTGTTTAGGGCAGGGTCACTTCTTTCTCACCTTAATTCATGATTTTGTCACTTGGCCAGCGAGACTGTTGGATGGGACCTTGGGTTCCTTTTAGAAGAGTTCAAGAATGTAATCATATCTTGCCATGTCCTAATAGTATAAACCTGGTCATTACCTGATTAATTCCTGGCGTAACGCCATTTCCCTGTCATGTTCCGCACTCTCCATTATCTGCCACGCCTTGTTAATGTCCATGACAAGTCTCCCCTCAGGTGGGACATAGGGCCGCTGATTGTTACCTTTGCGTTTTGTTTGCAAACTGAAGAGATGAGCTTCAATATTCACTCGTTCTGAATACCTATTAGGAGAAAGAGTTTTAAAAAAATTGGTTAAGTGAACTGCAAAAGCTACTGTACTGCTGTAGGAGGCCTTTGTGAAGGTGGCATTGCTGAAATGTCTGAGTAAAAAAATGACAGCATTTCATCAACAATTTGTCATTATGTTCAACACATAAGATGCTGCACAGGACCCTCCTTTTTGTTACATTCAACAGCATTGTCAGGCACAAATCCCAAAAAAGACCAGGGCAGGCAAAAAAAATTGAGATCCCCGTCGGCAAGTAAATTTTAGTTGCCGCCACCTTTTAAAATATGACTTGCCCTGGAGAGCTTGCTTGCATGGGGGCTCATGCTGGGACCTAAATTACATGACCCACTTAAGACAGACACCCATATTAACGGGGTTTGACTGTGTATAAAATAATGTAAATCATCATACTTGGGTGGCTTTTCAACAGTTCGAAAATGTTTGAATTCTGCCATTTCTCTCTGGACTGCTGTCATAGACTTCTGGAAGGGTCGCCCAAGTTCAAGAATTTTTGAGTTGAGCCAGTTTAATAAATCTGAGACCATCCGTTCATAATCTTTCTCCATCTGCTCGACCTCCATCAAGATTCCTACTATCTGTTGATCAAAAACAAATCTTTATCAATTTTCATTATAAATTATTAGACTCTTCTGTTAGTAATTTGCCAACACAGTTAGATGTTTAAGTTAAAGAGGGTTAATCTCCAATAACCTAATAGACCCTGCAGGATTAGCTCAGTCAGTGGAGTGCTTGACTGCAGAGCAGGAGGCAGTAGGTTTGATACCCGGGAGTGGACCAATACTCAGGGTCTTAAAATAACAGAGAAATAAAGGTACTACCTTTGCCCTACAAATAGCTAGACCTTTGCGTGGCTCTGATGACCATGTAAAATGGTGGTCCCGTCTCCAGTAGGAGACGAAAAAATAGTGTCCCCAATTAGCAACTTCGTGCTAAATACATTGACACTCAAATTAAGTACCTTTTTCTGTCCATGATGTTTGTAAATTTTATACACACTGTCCAATCGTTTGATCATGGATAAATCATGCAAGCAAAGCAAAATTGGGAGAACCCTGATGTGATCAGAATGGTTAGATAGTCTGTTTTATAACCACTTTCAAAAGCAGGAAAACACTTGTAGTTTGTTTGTTCCTTTCATTTTGATTTTCAAAAGGGGATTAAAGTAAAGGAAAAAGCTTGGATTTTGGGTGAATTTATTACAAGAACTTGCTAATAGAATAACCCCTTACCTTAGCGATACGCCTTCCTCCAGTTTCTTCACTCTTCATCTTAGCAAAATACTGGTAATACATTGAAACATATGTCATGATGGACTTCTCATCTGGTCGTGGACAATCCACATCTAAAAAAATTAAATTTATAATACTATTAGGCCAATTATCTAAATTTGAAGAAAGAATCAACAAAGGTGATAAAAATACACTCAAATACTACATAAACAAGGTTTTGGCCTTTAAATTTTAAAGATAAAAATTAATTTACTTGATTATAAGACTAGAAATGCTGCTTTTGCAACACAATATTTAATCTACTTCTAAGTGAAAAGAGCATGGTAACAACACATATGCATTTACCTTCTGCATCCAAAAGTTTGGTTATTCCCAGACTTTCTTCAGCAATATTAAATGCATTGTTCAGATTTGCTTCATGCTGACTGGGCCGCAACAAGCTATAGTTAATGATATCAGGTCTGCAAAGTACATCCAAAAATTAATAATACATGTAGGTTATTTCATTACATAATGCACTGTTTAAATGACTTGACTTCCTGATTGGGCACATAACCAGAGGAAACTCTACACCCTACGATTCTCGTCAAAAATCTTGAATTACTTGTGTGCGTTTGTACTTCCCGAATATTGATTTGGGTATTACAGGTGTCTCAGTGCTCCAAAATGTACGTCGCTCAACATTGGGGAAGAAGAGGGGCACATTTGAGTGAGAAGAAAGGTGTGAAGAGTAAATGTAAGAAATTTTCGAAAAAATAAATTCAAGAGAAACGGTTTCTGTTTCAACGATTTGTGATGAGTATTGTAGGTGAGTCCCACCCAGGGCTTAAAAAAAACTTGCATTTCAGGTTGTCCTTACCCTTTAGGCAGGCAGCTGGCAAATTTATTTTGCTTGCCCAGGGCTGTTGCACCCATCTCCAAATTTAAGATTAACATAGAGGATGACTTGCATGGGCCTTTGCCCATTGGACAGTTACAATGTACTTCCTGACAAGGGAATCTATTTGTCTCAGATGGTTGGACAGGACCAGACAGAGCCCTGCCTCCTCCATATACTGTACCTACATGTTCTACTTAAACCACTACTAACAATTGCATCATACAACCTGAAAAAATTAATTTCACCACTTGGTTTAAAATGGTGTTGTGTTCAATATCATCTAGTTCCATTTCTGAGCATTTAAAAATACATGCCATTTTGCTTGATTCAGTCAATGAGTCGTTTGTATGGTGCCAGTAACTGTTGACTACGAGGCAGTTGGCGTTTGTTCTAAGTTAGTAAACCAGCTTTCTAAAGTGAGTCGTTGATAGTAGTCAGTGGAATATTATGTAATAAATGTCATAGCACTTTATTTGTGTAGTCACTCAAACTGCTTTAGTTAGTAAGGTGATATTCACCTGTGTTTATGAATAAGAGCATTAAAGGCCAGTCCATTTCTCCAACTTGTAGTAAAATTTTGAACATCAACTCCAGGATAACTGTGAAAATACAAATTCAACTATAAGAAACTAAGAAAATTTAAAGTAGAACAACATAAACGGGTCAACCTGCCAACCCCAAAGGTTCTCAAAACCATCTACAGCTGTACCGTGCGACATGACTTTGCTTTGACATTGTCACATCACTCAAGGATTTGAAGAAATTAACTTGCTTTTTCTCAGAGTAAAGAGGGGGTGCTTTCCATTAATTTTGTCAGAACTGACCAGCCAGACCATTCCAGTCATAATGAGAATTTCACTTTTACTCAATACTATCCAACCAGATCAGTCAAAACCTAAAAAGCCTTGTTGAAAGGAGATGGGTTTTCAGCAAAAACTCTCGGAAAAAGCCTATCTCATTGTTCAAAATGACTGGTCCTGTTATGGTCCAGCCGGCCAGTTCTGACTTTTGGAAAGTGCCCTTAGACTATACATAATTATTACATGTATAAGTAGCCTTTACCTAGGGTGAATTCCATTGGGATGATCCAGATCAGAATCAGTGATCCAAGACCAGTCCAATCACAGCACATCAAAGGAACAAACCAATCCACTGTAAAAAAAGGATTCATTGGTTCTTTTGATGTCCCTTTGATCGGAGTGATCTCAGATTGATTATCCTGATCTGGATCATAGCAAAGGAACACACACCTTAATTGTTAAGTTTCAATATTTTCTCTTTTTTCCTATAGTCTGGTACTTTGTATGGTCACTTTAACAGTAAAAAAAGTTGTTTTTATAGCATGTGTGTTATGGTTTTTTAAGTATCACAGGAATTCAAGAATTTATTAATCTATGCACCTTGGGATATTCACTGCATGTTAGTATAAAACCTACCCTCTTGTCATTCTCTGACACCAAAGAAGTAAAGCTTCTTTGGCGGACTTCTTCTCCTTGGACATTTCATCCTAATGTTATCAAAAATATAATAATTTAAAAGTAAAATCAAAACAATGAATAAACAGTCTTCTGTACAAGTAAGATAGCAGGATTGGCCAATATGTTTTGACCTCTAGTAAGTGCCCTTAGTGTGTGTAAAGAATATTATTTTAACCACATTTTACACAAATTTTACCTGGTAAGAGATATCTGCAATCTGAAATCGCAGTATAATCATCCAAATGACAGCCAGAATTAAACGCTCATTACCATCCACTATGTCTTCTGCCCCAATACTTTCCAACTTTACCTGCAAACATTATAAAAAGATTGAAAGTACTGAGAGTCCTTTAAAACTCCAAGAGAGTCTGACCAATATCTAATTTCCCCTTAAAGTATAACTGTGAAAATAAAACAATACAGTTGAAGAATAAAGGAGATTGACACCAATGCTAAAACGTTGTTATTTCAAAACAAATTCTCCTTTTATATGAGTATACCACAAGAAATGCATGAAGAACAATGTTGAGAATTTGCATGTTGATATAAGTGAATGAAAACAGTGTTGAGCTGTACAGTAGTACAGGCTAGTGACTAAAGGTTTAATAGCTTAAACTCTGATTTAACTTTATCACACTGAACACAACACTTCTGGTCCCAGTTGTTCAAAAGGTAGATAACACTATCCGCTGGATAAATCACCATCTAGTGAATAATGCATTTGGCTTTCCTGATACATATCTGCTGAACAGTGATTTATCCAGTGAATGGCATTATCCAGTGCTTGAGCATTAGGGGCCAGTTAGTTTGTGAAAACTGAAAGAATATCAATGTCTTTATTGCAAAGGAAATTCCCCTTTTGTTTCATATTTTCAGATGATTCTTTGGATTTCAGTAGAACATGCCTTCCCCTTTCCTTTTAGGAGTTTGAATGGCCTTTCACAGTGAAGAATAAAACATAACATCTTTTGTCACCACACAAGCTACTGCAATATAATCAACAATCAAGATGAGTTACAGAAACCAGCTAAGAATCAAAACCTACCGAGCGTTGAAGAAATTCAAGTGCTTTATTCACATTTTCAATCTTGTGTACCCTCAGCTTGCCCCGAGCTACATAGTAAAAGAAAAATTATCATTACTTTATATGCATGCATATGCACGTATCACACCATTTCTAAGCTTTCACTTTTTCGTTTTCTACTTTGCTACGTACAGGTAAGCTTAACTTTTGCTTTATTCTTAAAAGCAGTTGATAATTTGTTGTGATGAAGACACAGCCGATCTCCAAGAGGACTTGTATAGATTAGAAGATTGGCAACAAAAGTGGAAGATGGAATTTAATCCTTCAAAGTGCAAGATCATGTGTTTTACAACCAGGAGAGATCCACCAAAGCGGGAATACGCATTTTGTGGACAAATCCTAGAAGAAGTGGAATCTCACCCTTATCTGGGGGTAGTGCTCGATAACAAAATGAGGTGGTCACCACACATTGAAACAATCACATCTAGGGCAAATAAGGTCTTGGGACTTATCACGCGAAATCTGTGGAATTGTCCAACGTCAGTGAAAGAAACCGTGTATATGACACTTGTGAGGCCAAAACTCCAGTATGCCTGTAGCGCATGGGACCCACGTTACCAGAAAGATAAAGCCGCTCTAGAAAGGGTACAGCGGAAAGCAGCCCGCTTTGTCACTGGAAATTACGATCGAACAACGAGCGTGACGGAAATGCTGCAAGACCTACAGTGGGACACACTTGAAACACACACTATATACAAGATGTGCCACGGCCTCCTAGATGGGGACTGGGGGGATTATTTGATAACAAGCAAAGAAAGGAGAACCCGGGGAAGCCATGATTTTAAATTTATTGTACCGAAAGGACATAAAGACATTTTTAGATTTTCTTTTTTTCCCAGGACAATAACTGAATGGAACAAACTTCCAGAAGAAACTGTTTCCAGCCAATCCCTCTGTATTGTACTGTAGCAAACTAATTTAGTTTTCTTTTTATCAGTAGTTTTTTAATAGTTTTTAATAGTTTCGTATATTCTAGTATAGTTTTATTTATTATTCTTAGAGTTGGCGTGATGTCCCAAACGATTTTGCCGACATAACGATATTTAGATTTAGATTTAGATTAATCTTGACTTTTAAAATCCCAGAATTTTTGTGAGTCATCCAGAAAGATCAGAATTTTGTATGTAATGTATCAGTATTTTACTCTGGCTCTCAGTACTTTACGCGTAGCTTGTTGGCCGTTTTGTTTTTGTTTTTTTTTGTTTTTTTAGGAAAAAGGCCAGCTTCAAATTATCAAAATTCATGCTTGGCTCAGAGGCTGAAGGGAATAAAACAAAAGAAATGAATAAATTATTATTCCCTGAATCTCAACGTGATTACTTTTGTTTTATTGCCCACAGCCTCAGAGCCAAATATGAATTTTAATAACTTGGAACTGGCCTCACCATTTCAGTGGCTTCTCATTGAATAGTGTTAATACTAATAAAAATAGTAATAACAATATTAATACTTACCAACTTTCCCAAGCTTTTCTCCAGAAATAATCTCAAGAAGAGATATTAACAGTCTTCCATCACAAAAATCAGTGAACAAGTCATCAATGTGTTGATTATTCTGCAGTAATCAAAAAATAGAAATACAGCTCTAATTTTTTGTAAACAGCCACCTATCTCAAACCCCAAGGTGGGCCTTTTGCAGAGGTTTGACTTTACACTGGAAACCTGTCAGGGTGTGGGGGGGGGGGTCATGTGAAAAAGGGTCCATCCACATCGCACAAGCAAAAGGGCTATTTCACAATGATGACATTCGACTACAACTACCAGAATTAATTTGGTTTTGCTCTCTTACAGTGGAACCTCAAAGTAACAAAGGGCCAAGGGACAGGTAAAATAATGTTTGCTTTACGGTCTCATTATATCGAGACTCCATTTCATATGTTTTACGATAACAGGGGTAAAGAAAAATAAATAGTTCATTATACTGAAGGCTTTGTAATAAAGGATTGTTATATTGAGGTTTTACTGATTTTAAATTTGCCACTAAGGTTTAAAAAACTAATTTTGCACAAGAAATTAACAGACTGAAGAATTCTGATAGTTTTAGTAAAATGATGCCACCATGTAATATATTGTCGTATTAAAAGGAAGGTTGAATTCCAGCAAGTGTAAATGTATCTATAGTCAACTCTCTCTAAGACGGACACCTTTGGGACAGGAATTAGGTGTCTGTCTCATAGAGAGTTCAATAAAGGGAGTAAAGAAAGGCAGGGACTACCTCTAGGTATCCCTTTTACAGATGTGTCAGTTTAGAGAGAGTCAATTGCGTTATTAGTAACAAAAGCTTTTACCGTCTAATATACTCAAAGCTGGTGTCACTAGCATTGGAGTCACAGTCGGAATAAGAAGAAAGGAGCATTATGGTCTATTGCTTCAGAGTAAACTTGTTTAGTGAAAACCAGATTGTCGGAGTTGCAAGCAGAAGTGGACAGACTTGCCAACCCCAAAAAAGCAAAAAATATGAGATTTGAAACCTAGAGCTGGGAGAAGTAGTGACAAATGGGTAAAAAGTCGTGAGATGTCCCAAATTTCCCAGTGGAAGGACGTTTTTTGGAATTGAGCTGGCTATCTATTGATACATCTGTATCTACCTTGGAAACAAACCCTACGGTTCCATGATTTTTTTGGAGTTTGACCTTTTGAGAAAGCATGAGAAATCAGTTGCCAACTTGCAAGAGCATGAGATACCATAAAATTCTGAAAATAAGCCCCAGGGCTTATATTTTTCAAAGGCCCTTTTTGAGGGGCTTATTTTTGGAGGGGCTTATATTCTGAGGGGCTTATTTACAAAGGAAAATTTGCGTTTCAAAATCGATTTTGCTAGCCTTATAATTGGAAGGAAATTTACCGTTTTTGCTTTGTTTTACTTTGTACTTGAGGGCAATTTCCAAGTACAAGCTCACCGGGGGGGGGGCTTATCTTTGGAGGGGCAATTTATACGGTGGGTTTTTTGCGTTACGAGTTTGGGAGGCTTAGATTTGGAGGGGCTTATAGATGGAGGGGCTAATTTTCGGAATTTTACGGTAGGTCATGAAATCAAGAGACTCACGACAAAGTCATGAGACTTGGCAAGTCTGAGTGGAGAAACCAAACCAATCACAGTTCATGAGAATGAGTACCGTGATTGGTTTGTTGTTCTGCTTATACAATGTACTTGCAACTTCGAGAATATGGTTTTTATTAGTTGTACGTATGTATTAGTCGTACATGGAGAGTTGGACAAACTGTTGACTCCACTTCTACTGATCCTACAGCTCCATTTTCATCTCTGATATTTGATTTTCACTGGGCTGTAAGCACCCGACTCATTATTAATGAAAACCAGCTTTCAGAGAACATGAGCTAGAAAGCTTCCTAATTAACGTAGCCTTTAGCCTCTAATAAAACATATATTCCAATTGCTGTAAGCTTATTTTTCTACTAAAAAAAGTTACTGCAAATTGTAAAAAAGGTTTACGTTCTACAATAAATTCTATTACAAATTGTCAATTAGCGTTAACGAGCAATGAAGTTTTAATGTCTACATTATATGATCATCTTGATCTTTACATAGAGTAGGAGAAACAGCGAGGTTTTCTTTAGAGAGGGGCAGTTAATTGAATTCTTGTAAGCTAACGTGCAATGCACTCACCTTATCAAGAAAGGAGTTCACCCACTTTGTAAAAGTTTTCTTTTGGGAATTAATGCGTTCATTCTTCAAAGCTCTTATTCTGTCCTTTTCGAAGGTAGGTGTAGGTGGAGGAACATGAGACATAATTGTTATTCCGTGTCAGAGGCCGCAATATATAAATGAAGTAGTGTGTTTACAATGGGTTTGTAACTCGCGCCATGATGATGGTCAAACTGTACCGGTCAAACAATACTGAGCTTATCAACAGTCTTCGCCTCTGTCTCCAACATGTCCTTAACCACGTAATATTTTGTTTTCTTTGCACTTTCTTGGATACCCTATGTTTTGCTCATCAAGATAATAAAAACTTCAGGCAATAGTAGCTAGCTGTCGATATCAAAACCACAATCCATGTTGACCTTTTGCTCGTGCAAATCACAACTGATATTTGCTGTGATTTGTCACTGCCAAAACCACTGAAGTAAAACACAACAATATAGCACTTCCCAATTAAAAAGGTACAAACCACTCAATTCTACTCAAAATGTTCAAAATGAGGCCATGCGGGTGAGGAAACCTCCAAACAACAGCGTCGTTGGACTCAAGGGAATCTTTTGAACTTGTTACACGATAGTGTAGTGGAATGCTGGCTCGGGTGACCGCGAGTTTTCTAAACTGCCCACTATCTCTTCCTTATATGGAATTTTACTAATCCTCCCTCGCTTCGCGCTCCGCCCTCGCGCACGAAGGTCAAAATTTTTGCTAGCAATCACCACCGATAGCGGAAAAGACTTCACGTACCTTTGACAAGCCTGCAGAACAGGCATTATTATTATTCATTATTATTATTGCCATGGGTCGGTGTATGTGTGCCCCTCGTTTTAAGTTTGTATTATTTTTTCGCATTTTTCACAATAAGCGCGAACCGAGCGAGAAGCGCGGGACACGCGTCACGGGGAAAGGCGCCTTCCAGCTTTTAAGCTTTGATCGGCCGAAAACGTGAAAAAAATAACGACTGTTCTGTAGGCTAACCTTCGATAGAGGTAAGAAAAAAAAGTAAGAACAGCTCTCGGTGGAATTAGACTTCCGGTGAACATCCAAATAGAAAAACTAATTTGAAGCTCTGCAACGAACATCAGGTTAGCGCTTCTGTGCGGTTTTGGCTCTAGGGTCCTCTGAGTACAGTCGAAGCCCGCTTTACGGACACCCGCTTAATACGGACACCCCGCTATTAGGGAACGTTTTCTTTCTCCCTGGGGAATGAAAGCCCTTACATTTGCTCAAAATTTAACCCGTTTAATACGGACACTCCTTAACAGGCCTGGCCTTTCCAGATTCTGCTCCGAAAAAGCTCAAAAGTTGTTACGAAATATGCCAAAAAGTTGCTCAAAATTGAAAAGATTGCTTAAAAATTTTGTTAAGTTGCTCGAATATTTTTAAGACAGCATGTCTAATTTTATTTTATTTAATTTTTTTTTAATTTTTAATGATGCACTAGAGAGCAGCACACTTACACTTCCAGTGAACATTCTCACTTGGAAGAAGGGGAAACCATGCTCGCCCGGGGCAACGAAATTTTTTTTTAATAAAATAAAAAAATAAAGAAGAATAGTTTTACTAGAAAGATGTTTAGAATTTTAACCAAGAGAATTTTAACTTGTTTATGTAAAAAAAAGGGGTTATTCAGCATTTTGGTTCAAAATAGCCCAAAAATTACCAAAAAAGTGCTAGTTTTCCGAAAAGTTGCTAGAAGCTGCTCTCTGACAAAAAAGTTGCTCAAAATCCTAAAAGTTCCTAAAAAGTTGCCGAGCAGAATCTACAAAGGCCTACTCCTTAATGCGGACAACGGACACTTCTTTCTTGCCCAATCAACAGATTCTCATAGAAAGTCAACCTCGCTGATGCAGACACTTGATTATCAACTGTGGACTGTTATAGACCTTTCCTTTCTGAAGGTAAAAAGACCTTCAGTTGAGAGCACTGTCGATGTTACCAGCGCTACAGTACACCGGACGTAAAAACACAGAATAAAGAGAATTGCTTTAGTTCTTCCTTTATTTATATACAGAGTCACTTAGAAAAATTGTGTTCTTGAAACTTCAAACTTCCCAAAGGGGAAGTCGACGCATTAGCGCATTGATCTGCTTGTTCGTACATGGGCTCCTGGCTTATCGTATGGTATTAAGGTTAAGTGACTTTTCCGTGCTGCGAGGGCGTGACTTGCTTTGTTTCCTTTGTCGCTCCTGGAATGTCTTGGTTTATCAGAAACACGAAGCGAAGACCGCAAATCTGTTGAGATGAAGGAGCAAAGAACATTTTTAGTTCTATTATCCACTTTATCGCCAAGAAAGTTATGTTTTTAAACTAGTCTATGAAAATGCCCGTATCCTGAACGTCTGTCATCTCTATCCTGAATATCGTTTACTTTCCCCATTCCGCATCCTATGCCCAGATTTTGGCGAATCCCACTTCCCGGGTAGCTATTAAAACCAGTTAACGTTTCCCGAATCCTGCACTGTATTTTGGTCAAATCCCGGGATCCCGGGAATGCGCTTCCAGAACCCGCGGGTAACACAGCCTACGTATAGCAGTTACCAGCTCCGAGTAGTGGTCTCCTCTTCCTCTGGTACGAGGAACAAAATGAAGGAGGGGACAAACGCAGAAAAGAGTTAACCTGGTAACAAGGGCGGAAAACATGTTGATCTTTTCCTCATGTAGTTATGAACTGAAATTGCACGCCACAATCGATAAAATATGAGTATGGAACCAAGCGCTGCCGTGAAGTAAAGATGCATTTTCACACCCAGTGTTTTTTTATGTGTAACTGACGGCAGAGGACCATTTGGAGAAAAGAAAGTGCGTTCAAGGGCGTTAACTTAATTTGACATTGACATTCAACACATGGTGCAGGGTCAGTACTTGACCAAACCGCATTCCAGGTGAAGCGCTCGTGCGCTCCAAGGAAACGACTATAACCTTAACTTGCGAAAAGCGGCAAAACGGGCCTTTGATACAAAGGGAGGGCAACGCTTTTTCTTATTAAATGGCTGAGACGGGGGAGGGGGAAAGCATTTCTTAAAAAAAAAACACACACACACACACACACACACACACACACACACAGAAAATTCCTCGCATAATCCCAAACCAAAATATTGATCAGGCAACTTCCATGTTTATAGGTTAAGAAGATGTATTCGACAAAATTAACGCTTTACCTCAAAAGTAGAGTTGTGATGGAGCCTCGCTTTGGTTCCCACGATGACGGGCTTACCATCTATGTACAGCGGTCTGCGCCCCTCGTTGATGACGTAATACTCACCATCACTTCGCAGTTTAATAACCGCCTAGGAAAGACAAAAAAAGAAGAGCTAATATAATATGTTCAAAATACAGTATAAGCTCTCGTAATCGGAGAGCTCTACTTAAGGTTGCAATGCAAAAACCCAGATTGAACTCCTATGCAAAATCTGCATTTACACATTGTGGTAGACGATTGTTCCAGTTCGGCTAGATTCCCGTCACTCTCTCGTTCTCCTCGTTCTTTCGCCACAAGAGGAGGAGCGCGGGCTCATTTCCCGAACAGCGACTGGTAATCGAGCCTACCACTACCGCACATAGCCGCGGACAGTCTAGCCTCCTACGCGTTTTTAGGGGAGCTCGTTTTTCATCCCAGGGATGAAAAACGAGCTCCCCTAAAAACGCCTGCCTGGGAGGCTACGGACACTCTTGATGGGTGCGATTTATACTTAGCGAGCTTTTTCTGGTTTCTAAGCTCTCAAAGGCAGACACCACACACTCACACAAACCCTATGCAGAGTCGAGCGGGAGTGTTTTATCAGTTTTAAAACACAGGGCAGAGCCGAGCGTTTTAGACTTGATAAAGCACGAACTGTGAGTTTATTGAAGATCTTCAAAAAGGTCTGAAGTAAATCTACTCATTATTGCACTTACATTCAGATTTGGAGTGAATTTGGGCAAGAAAAGATGTAACGACACCATTGATTCCTATGTATTTTCTTCAAGAATTATTACTGAGCACAATTTATTTGCTATGACCGATGTTGCACAGGACAAAATAAATTGATCAACGACAAACTTAACAAGACCAGGGGCCTGTTTCTCGAAAGTCCCGGTAACATTTCTGGCCCGAAATCCAAAATTCAAATCAAAGTCTGAAAAATATAAGCGCTAGTCCTACCTAACAGACAAGTTCATTTATTTTTGTTTTGTTAATTGACAGTTTCATCACATTATCTGTAGAACTATTGAAACCTCGATGCTAAATGTAAACAGCAACAGCTTTCCGAGAAGTCAATTATCGGGACTTTCAAGCAACGAGCTCCAGGATTGGTTCAAAAAAGTGAAAGCTTTAATTACCTGTCGTCTTGAGATTTTCCACGCTGGTCCTTCTAAGGACAGGTCTACATCAACATGGCTGTCAGCTGTAGATCTTCCAACAGTAATCTGTTTTGCAAACGGAAAATTAACACTTTCAACTCATTTTAACACGTTTAAAAACCAGTTACTGTTCAATTGCTATTACTATACAACTGCGATGATCATATTTTCACTTAAATTTGTATTTCCGCAGTTTACAACATCGTCTTCATTCCACGTTTGATTCTTTCACGGATTAAACTCAACAAATTGGTCGGCTCCTAATTTTTGGGTCTTCCATTGCTCAACTGGGTAAAGCACTAGAGCGCTAACGCAGAGGCCATGGGTTTGAAACCCACTGAAGCCCTTAAACTTTTTCCGGGTTAATTTGAAATTGCTTATATAGTATTTGTATACGTAATAGCATGATTTGTAGTGATATTTGGCATAAATGGCACGAGTGATATTTCGGAATTGTTATACGTAATTTCACGAGCCGTTAGGCGAGTCAAATTTGGGACAATTTTAAATATCACGAGTGGTATTTATGCCAAATATCACATACAAATCATGCTATTATTTGTTTATACTACTACCTGCAAATGGTTTGTAAATTTCCCCTGTAGGTATTTCAAACTAAGCTGAAATACCACTGCTCTAAGCCGATCAAATTGCAGAAATTTCTCATGTAGTAGTATAACTATTTGAATGCATCGATCACAGTTTCATTTTTTTTTTCTACAAAAAATCATCTTCATTCTATTTTGAGAATTTTGATGAAAAAACAGCTAACCTCTCTGGAGCGCATGAGGTACCGAACCAGCCGGCCCCTAAGTACTGCAAGGGTATGAGAATCAAATTCACTGGCTGGGGTCACAGTTGTAGTACCTGCTGTTAGAAAATGAGCACAGTGTTACTCACTAATGACATAAAATAATTGCGGGCGACAAGAGGAGCACGCGTTCCTAATCTCCACTGAGGTTCCAACTTACTTGCTGCATTGAGTTTCTCCACAATAACTTGCCAAAGCGGAATTTCTCCTTCTAAGAGACGAATTTCTCGTTTGTTACGTTTGTCAGCTAAAGAAAGCTCTTGCTCCAAATTGTCATCTTTAGCTTCCCTAGTTTTTCAAGCAGACAGTAATGTTAAAAACACCAGACCATTAAAATCTACTACCAAAAAACAACAACACAGCACGGCTGCAAATAACAATCAGTCATCAGGCACTGACTGACTAAACAATTGTTGGCAACTTTAGAAACCAGAAGGGAACTAGCCTGCATAGCAAGCGCTTCCGCATGAGTTCGGCGAGAAAGTTGGGACGAGAGCAAAAAAAGGAATGACGGGGGAGGGGGAGGGGAGCGAAGTTTCTTTTTTTACTCTCCCATTCCCCTTTCCATTTTTTTTTGCTCCCGCTCTAACTTTCGCGCAATAACTCGATTGGAAACGCTTGCTACGCAGGCTAGAAGGGAACTGGAGCCGAAATGTGTCCCGCAGTGGTTTCTGGGATCGTGCTCACTGGCCAATTTTTCCCCTCTCCCTAAAAACCGTCCCAGAAGCCTTTGTAAGAGTTAACTCGTCCCAGTTTCTTTCTCGTTTTGAAAATGGTGAATTTCCAGTGAAATCTTAACTGTGGTTGGATATGACGTCTGGACAAGGTTGCAGATAAATGGTTTGGGTTAAAAAATAAAAATCTTCACTTAGTAGGTACCAGCTAAGGAACTGCCTTTTTGCACCATGAAGGTTTTTGGTATGTACTGAGGGAATGAATTATTAACATCCGTTTTCACATGTATGTGTACTTACAGTAGTTCTGCATCATTGATCTGCTCCTCAGCATCAGAGAAACTCATGGCATGCTCTGCTGTGGAAACTGGAAGACAAAACAAGTTTAGTTATGGGGAATAAGTGCCGATATCTTACTGCCCAGCTTAAATCCAACTGAGGTCTCATTGATGGCACATGTGAGATATACAGTATCCTTGTTTCTTGCAAGAAACGTTTTGCAGCCACAGAACACTTACAGTAAAGAAAGGGGGGAAATGCATTTCTAATTTCTTCACCCTACAGACACTGGGTTGCTGTCTTGGTTATTGACTGACTGACTGAAACTGGGTTGCTGTCATGATTATTGACTGACTGACCGACTGAAACTGGGTTAATGTCTTGATAATTGACTGACTGACTGAAACTGGGTTATTGGGTTAATAACTGACTGGCAGACTGGCAGACTGACAGACTGATTGACTGAAACTGTGTTGCTGTCTCGGTTATTGACTGACTGACTGACTGACTCAAGGGTTTAGTTTCCAAAGAAATTGTTGCGTTGAGTCAGTGGGGGAACCAAACACAAAAATTTGGGATGATATTACATGTAAACTCAGTTTTCCACAATAGCCCACATTCGATATATTAAAATTCTAACATGACTCCGAGGTTTTCTAGTCATTTTTCTACATTTGGTTTGGTTTTCTTTGTGCTCAAGTCTCTTCTGGAAATTGTGAGACAATGAAGTCGTGAAAAATTTGCAATTTTGACCCTAACACCCCTGAGCCATGTAAGCATTTTAATATAATGAACGTCAGCTATTGAAATGCTTGCAAAAAAGGATTGGAAAGGCTGCATTATAATGATCCTACCTGTTTGATCAGAAAGGAGCTGGAATTGTCGCATAAGAAGCCAGTGATTCCTTAAAGCCTTGGCTGATCGACATTGGTGAAAAACTGCTGGATTTTTACCTAACAAGTCCTGGAATAATTCTAATGAAGCTGGACTGTTCTGGAAGAAAGAAGAATACTATGTATACTAATCAAGTGCGCAAAAAACACTTAAAAGCTTTGCTTGTGAAGCTTTAGTTTAGCTAAAGAAATAAATCATGCTTTATTAAATTTGATTTGGTTTAGAAAATTAAAAATGTCCACAACAAAAAACTGTCATCATACTGCAGGAACGTTGGCTAAGATGTTTTCCTCATCCTTGCTCCAAAGTGCACTGTTTTGTGCCTCAGCTATAATGTCTGGGGGAAGCTGTTTAATGGCAGTTGTAGCCAACCTAAGAATACAGATATGTGGACAGGTATGATTAACTCACATTCAATTCACTCATAAGACACAGGCAAAGACAGGCACTTATACAATAACATGGGCGGATTTAGGGGTGGGCTGAGGGGGCCGCAGCCACCCCTTCTCCTTTGAAATTTTGTATTATTTTTATAGAATTCCGTCTCAGTAGGCTGTTAAGTGTCCCACCACCCCTTTCTGAATTTTCTAGACCCACCCCTGATTACTACGAGGTTTGCATTTTATTGTATGCTATCAATCATGCAATGATGGACAACTTCTGCATAAAAATATCCTAATAGGCTAGCTGTGAGCAGACATATTTTTTTTGCAATCAAAAGCTGGTTGTTTAAGCTGATATTGTTGTGGCTGCCATATTTCATTTTGTGACAGAGAAAAGTACAGTACAAAATTAATACCAGCCCTTGAGGTCCATGTAGGAGTTGGGCCTAAAAACAAGGTGGGTGAAGGCAAGGGCGAGGGGAGAAGAAAAAACTCTCTCTCCTCACACCCCTTCTTTCCCTCCTTTGACTCCTCCAAACTCCTTGACTTTTTCGACATTCAACAAGGCAGTTAAATGCAAGCATTAAGCATAAACATTTGTGCGCACCCAAAGAACAGGCCTGCAATGCTGGCTACCCTTTAAATTGATACTTTCCCTGGTTCCAAGATTGTCCACCTCTGGAATTGACTGTACAGTGAAAGTTCTATTTAGCGGACCCCCATTTAAGCAGACACCCTCTATTGCGCAGATACTAAGCCAGGTCCTGAAATTAACTTCTCATATTTCCCTTTGTAATGAACCCCTATTCAGTGAACACCTCTATTAAGCAGACGCAGACACTAAAATAAATTGTATTAGGCTAATTTCTATTGTTAAAAACCTCTATTAAGCGGACACCAGACTGAATTGACAACAGTAGTATTGGATTACGTCCTTGAGAAATGTACTGTAGTCGGTTAATGTTTTTGCATTTACAAACAAATTAATCAACATTCGTAATGAAAGGTAATGAACTTGAACTTTGGATAGCTTTCTTAACAATATGGAACTTTATCACAGTACAGAGTAACCGTTGAATGCTAATCGTTAACAAACATTAAGCAATTTTTACAAATCTCTATAAAGAGGACACCCTCTATTAGGCGGACACTTGGGAGGGTCCCGAAGGTGTCTGCTTAATAAAGGTTTCACTGTAACAAATTCTAAAATGCACAGACTTGTGTTTTGCAAAAAACATCTCACATTCAGTTTAAAGGTACATGTAGATCTTCCCAAAGTTGCTGATTCAGTAAAGTTATTTTTAGTAGCTATAACACTTTTGATTGTCATTATTTTATATTTTGAACTTACACACAACTGAAACCTTGTTTCTTTGTACTTGAACTCAAACAAAAATAAGGTTTATGTATGTCAAACAAAGAGACACAAACCTAGACACTACGGGATCATAGAGAAGCTGATACCATCTCTCTTGAATTTCTTTCTGACTGAATCTACAGGAGAACTTCACTCCAAGGTAAACAGCAGTCAGGTCATTTGTCTACAAGAAAAAAATATAAACAGGGCTGGAAAACAAGTCCCACCTGCTAGTCTGTGACAAGTTGATTTTCTTGCTGGGGAAGTAACTTTCAAAGCTTACTTTTCCCAATAAGTAAGGATCTAGGCAGGTTATCGTCTAACAGCATTGTTAACTAACACGAGCAAGAGGTGACCCCTGACGTGCAAAATGTCAGAGCTGCTTGCTCAAAGGACAAGCTGGAAATCAAGTTTTTTTGAGCACTGATAAACCTTGAGCAATCATTGAAACATTCTTCCCGATAGAGGAACTTACAGTCATACCGTGAAAACTGTGAACACCAGAAATATTTCTGGAATGTTTATTGTCTTGCAAGAGAAAAGCCAATCAGGTGTGAGAAAACTAAACCACAAGGAAGAACGTTAACCAGTTTATGGTTTTGTGGCCAGTTCGCGTGTCCTGATCTTTGCTGTGATTGGTCATAACACAATAAACATTCCTGAGATAATTATTTCAAGTGTTCACAGTCTTCCCGGTTGCACTGTAAAAAAGAGGTTCTTATTGTCTTTTACCTGTTGGATTGCAGTGATGAGAGCCAAATCATCTGCTGGTCTCCATCGTCCAAAATCTTTATTCACTTGAGGATTCTACAATGAATAGAGAAATGATTAACAAATAAATTCTCCTACAACAATCAACAGTAACCTTTTTACACCTAGACCAAGTTATGGTGGGATCATTAATTGTCACTCTAACTTCAGATCTGTGGATGAAATCCTATGGTGTAACTATTCAAATAGAATCTCTTTGACACAGCTATTGCATAGAGTG